CCGTCAGCGTTGTGATACCGGTACGTGGTCATTGCGGTTCAGGACAGACAGTATCGAGAACGAGGACGAGGACTGGACGATCAGGTCCAGAGCCTTGTTGGATGCCTCTAGCCAGAATCGCCTGATAATACTTCGTCGAATGACGGATCTACCGGCATACATACATATGCCACAGGCTACAGCGGCAAAGTCAGCAAAGCATGAGCATGAGCATGAAGCATGTCGATAGCTTCAACGCAAGTAGTCAAGCATCAGTCACACCGCAAGACAACCACCACCACCACCACCCAGGTATGTTGTGTCCGGGGATGTCTTCCTCCGCATGCTACACCACTACGCCGTACGTTTGGAATCCGACCGACGGCATGAACGCCCATTCTCTAGACGAGACGATATGATAGGTATATTTGCGAGATTGTTACCTGACGAGCGCGCCTGAGAGAGAAAATCTCTTCCAAAAAGCTGCCGTGAGGGGAAGCTGCCCGCTACACTGCCTTGGTGTGGAAAAAAGAGGAAAAGGGAAAATGGACCAAAGAGAGACGTGCCTTATGAGCCAATGAATCCGCGTCGGACCAGGGCAGATATGTAGAAGGATTTCGTGAAAAGATGTCGACATCACGCCGCGCGGAGAAGATATACGGTTCAAGAAGCGCGGCTCTGGGCTGGGCACGAAAACGCGGTTAAAAAGATGGCGTCTCGTCTCGTCTCAGTCTCGTCTCGGGAGCCCGTGTAGACTGTAGAGTGACAATGATGCGCGTCAACCCGCGTGGCTTTGGTGATTTGGACGAATCCCGAACTTGGAAAGAGGAAATCTCGAAATCTCGAAATCGCCAATTCGCGAATCTCGTGTGAGGATCTCCGACTCGTCCGGGGTCCAGGCAGGGTTGGATTTATGATATCTTTTTTTACCCCGCGGTTGGTTGGGCTTGGAAACTTCCAAGGATTCACGAACCTGCAGCATCAATCAGGCCTCCTCGGCCTCCTAGCGTAACTGTAACGCGGGGGGTGGCCTATTGGGAGAGATCTACGATGTATTCAAGATACATAGTGATACCCGGACGCGGTGAGGGAAAGGGTCTGGCCTGTCTTTTACGTGCCTTTGCGTGTTGGTGTCGTGTTTTCGGTCACTTTTATCTGCGAGCCTTGCTTCCAGAATCGCTAGCACCATGCGTTCCCCTCTCAGAGGTCGTCTTGGTCGGGCATTGATACAGCTTCGGTTCACGGTGTGCGGCATGTTTTGGTGAGGATCACCGCGGGGAATTGGACTCGGCGTGAATGGTTGTGGATGGAGACTTTTGTCAAAACGTCTGAAATTTGGACACCGAGAAGCGGGGGAGAGCAACATGATGTTATGTATCCCAGTACGAAGGCAGAAGGTTGGTGTTAATTACCGACTTTCATAGACCTTACCATTCTTACAGGCATCTATCTATCTTCAGTTCAAACTTACACCCCCGGCTGTAGGTGACCCGAAATACGTACCCGAGTGTACCTGACCCTGTACATACCGCTATGTACATACATATGTAACGTACGAACGGAAAGACGGGGCTGCATTACACTACATCAATGTGCATCTTGCACATCCTTTCCCGGAACTGCATATTCCATGGTTGTCAGATCATCTCTTTCCATTTCAAGTTCCCAACTCCTTTTTTCCCTGTGTGAAGTTGTGTAAAGGACGAAACCCAAACGAACGAACCAGACAGTCCATCACGCATCTCGCCATTACAAACGCAAGATCCAAGGAATATTCTCACTCCATCCTGACACTTTGGGATTCTTCGGTACCATCCAGCTGGAGCGAGCTGGAAGTGATCGACGATGATCAGACACTCCACTCGAAACACACCGAAAACTTGAAGGATATCCAGGATATCTTAAACCGAGCCAAGGATATTGATTTCCATTACGAATGTCCTTTCCTTCGGGTCAAGTTTGACGAAATAGGCGATTACTTGGCAGTATGAAATCCCGTTCCTCGTTCTCGGCACGTGCGTGTAGTATTGCCCTGCTAGAGCTAGCTACCTAGCGAGGGGCGAGTTCCGAGACAATTTCAAGGCTGACCGTTCGTAGTTCAAGCCGGCCAGTAGAAAATAGCTAACACAGGAAATGACGACTACAAAAGAGTGACTATCCGACTCACGAACCATTCGTTTTCTCTTTCATCGGCGGGTTCATGTTCCATGTGTGTTAAAAGTTCTATCAAATCCCAAAGGAGAAACGAATGCCGTTCAAAACCCACACAACTTCGCCGTTCTGTTCGTTACACATCACATTCTCGAAACTTGGAAACATGAATAGCGGGTTACCTCAGGAACTCAGCTCGGTCTAGTGTAGTTACCTCGAAGGAGCTCGGCTACCTCTAACCCCCCCTGGCCGATCATGATGTCCCATTCAAACATCCCAATCTTGAACAACTTCCGTCGAACCCCGAACCTGTCAAAATCCCCGTTTGCACGTTCGTGATCCGATTACAGATTTGCTAGTTGGTTGGTACATAAGGGGAACCATACATAGGTACCTGGTAACGCCCTCCCTTGAGACTTGCCCGTTCAGATTTCTACGAATACTGTCCAATCAAACGGGTTCTGAACCAGAATGTCGGGGACTTTGGATCATGGATGGATACTGGATGGATGGATGGATGGATGGTGGCCTCACAAACGGAAGCAGGTTTCATGAACTGGTTCGAGCCACCATTTACGACGCTCATTGGTGATTTGGAAGCCTGGGAATAGTAAGGCCTGGGTGATAGAATGGCAAGCACCTCACCTCGTCAACTCGCCGGCTCGCCTCAGCCAGCCGAGACAGTGAAAGGAGGTTGAGCAGCGCAAGCCACTCGACCTATGTACTATCATGACGGGCTCCTCGAAAAGGAGATAGATATGTAGGGCCCGGCACGAACACATCGTGTCGGAGCTGAACCATCAAACCCCGTAGAACCAACCACTCATCAGGTATCAACCCGTCCTGTTCCGTTCTATGCGCGTTGCCGTTACGAAATGTCTTTCATGTTCCAGCATGAACGAGATCCGTTCGTTGTCCCGTTTAATAAAGCCGGAGTCGTCTTTTGTCGATATTATCACTTTGAGAATTCCTCACCTACGTTAGGATGAAGAAGAATTAATTATTGCAATAGCTGTATGCTTTAGTTGTAATTCATTACATATGTAAGGTAGGTAGCTATCACTATCACTATCTCTACCAAGTAATGCAACACCCTCACTCACATTCGGGTTGCTAAAATCTAGAATCAACCAGCCGGTTACACTGCGCCGGCTGGCTGGACAAGCAATTTCAAATAACTTTGCATGGTACCTATGCTATTTGGTTACATACTTCCCCCCCTGAGTTCATTCAGTCCGCAGGCATATTATCGAAAAAGAGAGTTTCTCCAAACCGTTAAATTGAAATTGATGTTCAACCCTCTCATTCCTCCTCCTTGAGACAGACGGTCGACAACATATCAATGCCTATGACTTCAATCCCCAACTAACTGGACCAGATCACAATCCTTCCTCCCACTTGGAGGAGGGAGGCCAAAAGATTCCAAAAAAAAAAAAAAAAAAAAAAAAAAAAAATTGTTCCAGTTACACAACACCCATTATTTTCTATTTCTCCCTTCTCTTCCAATTCTCGAGTCATCACACATCCATCACAGTACCACAACATCCCGTACCTGGCCTGCCACAGCATGCAGATCTCATACATTACATGAGGGACGGCCGACGGGTACCACTTCGGAAGATACGAGCCACGACGGCAGCAGCAGCAGCGGCGGCGGCGGCGGCGGCGGGTTATGTTGCAGGTTGCGTTTGGGGGTTCTCGGGGGTCTTCGAGGGGGAAAGGAGGGGGCAAATGATTGTCTGTTTTGTGTTACTAGTTGAATGGATCGTGGGGGGAATGCTTGTGAGATGTACAAGGTGAAAGAAGGTATTGTAGGAGGAGTGAAGTAGACAGAAAAGATGGGCAAGGTCTGAGAGAGGTCACCGTCGATGATGATGATGTATCGTGCCTGTCTAACGCGTGAAATGCTCCGAGTCCAAGTCTGTCTTATTCCATGGTTATACCCAGGTCTTTGGTGATTACCGCTTGATTTTCCGCTCATAACTCTGCAGACGGATTATTTACAATGCTGTTTGTACTCTTCAACGCTTTCACCATCCCATCTCACTACCTTTCCTTATGGGATCGGACCTATCATGTCCACTTCGCTTGCCCCTGGGGGCTTCTGTCACTCTATTGTTTTTTCTCTTGCTCATTTTGTTAACTCGCTCACTCCTGCAGTGCTTTGCCTGAGCTTTCTGGTGACGGTCGGGTCCTTTCCTCCGGTATGTGCATACCTATCTGGCGACCCAGCAGCGGAGAGGAAACGACTGAAGATCGCATTTGCCTGTCTTAAGCTTCCAGCCTCTTTAGCTATTTTTTTCTGTGAGGAGAGTGTATGAATATAGGCCAGGGTCGACAGATATGAAGACCAGATATGGTGATGCTCAATCTGCCTTTTGGGCTAGCAGTACCACCCAACGGGTATTGTGCACCTGCTACCATGCTGTGTTTGTGGACAAGAAGAAGCTGCTTGCTCAGCATGCCTGAGTATAGCGTGGTCAAGCGACGGAGTCTGCGTCCTTCATAGAGTTGCCCTGAGGGTCGCTTCCTGCGTGCGGGAGAGGATATGGAATGCCGTAACGAACTCGGCTCCCATGGTTATATAAATGGACCGCCGTAGACATCCCGAGGCATAAGTTGACCCGGATGGATGAAAATAACCCAAATTCCCGACCAGACTTCGTTTCCCATCACGATTCCCGACTCCAGCGGGCACTCTATGCCCAAAAACAGTCGCTTGTTCAAGAGAAGAGAACTGACGGAAACCGCGACGATAGTTCGTCTCGTTCATCCTGGCTTAGTCCACTGTACTCCTCCTCGATAGCTTCCAACATGAATTCGTCGAACAAAACGATTGACCCCAAGTAAATAATCCGTTTATCACACCACTAGTGATATGGAATGCAGAAGTCAATCCATGTGCCGAGGTAGTCGAGACGGTTGCCATGTTCCTCTTCCAGCTTCCAGACAATTTCAAATTCTTCGTAGTTGAGTCTGCCCCAGCCGCCACGCTCCTTGGCCTCCTTTTCGGCTAGGTCGAGGAAACGCCACTGAACAAGAGTATTGATTGGAATGTTTGATGGATCTTGCGGTTCTTGGCTTGCGTCGTGGTTGCCTTCTGCCGTAGTTGTGCTGGAGGATGCAGATGGGATAGCGGCGGCATCAGCCTCGTTGGCCCTTCCCTTGGGTGAAGGGTGGTCTTGAGTTTCTCCAGTGACCGAGGTACGAGGCACAGTTTCAGACATGGAGTTGGGTCGAAACTGAGGCAGTGTCGGATCGCAGTAAGTGGAAGCACTCGGTTCGTTGTGATGCATCTCTTCCGCCGCCTCGACAGTTTCAGCGCCGTTGGAGGGCTCTTGATTGTCAGCATCGTGTTGTGGTTCTTCTGTGGGCTCAGCTTCAGCTTGAGAGGTCTCGTCGACACTATAGCCACTAGCCGCCAAAAGCTCCTGCAAACTCTGCTCGGAGATGGGCTTGTCGCCGTCCCGGTCATTGATATCTTCTGACGGACGGAAAAACAGCATCTCCTCGGCAGCCTTCTGGATCATGCCGCCGTCGGCATGTTGCACCACGCCTTTCTCGATAGACTCGAGCAATGGGCGGTACTTGTCGCGGACAGCCTTGGTTTCGGCACACCGAATCGCTATGTCCTCCTTGAACTTGAAGAGCCTATCGAGAAGCTCGTTGAAGGATTGCTGGATAACCTGGTAGAAGACCTCCTTGCCAGCGTCTCTTTCGGCGCCGGGGATCTCCATACCTCCCCAACGCTCAGGGATGCTTCGCGAGGATGTGGAAGGGTTGGATCGAGTGTCATAGTCGTCCCCGTCCTCGGCAAACCGAACTTTTGGGGATGATGGCGAGCGCGGGGAAACCGGTTTGGAACTCTCACCCACTCCATTCAGGTTGGCCAAAATGTCTTGTTCTGGGTCCCAATAGCCCGGAGGCAATGCGCCCTCTTCCTCATCCAGGTAGAATTGTCGTCTCCGGTAGCGTTCAATGAGCCTTTTGCGCACGTTCCTCTCAGCGCGGACGTATCGGCGGTAGCGGGCATCGGCGTCGTCGGTCATCCTCATGACAAATCCCTCACCACGAATGATGTTCGGGTCTGAGTCGTCCTGTTGGGCTCTGGCACGGTCGCGGTGTCCATCCTCTTCCTCGCTCGTCCCGTCATGATCTTCGTCGGGGTCGGTAACAAAGAGGAGATCGTCGCCTTCCCGTCGTCGACCAGTAAGCAACGATGGTAGGTCCTCAATGCGGGCAGGTGGGTTCAGCAAGGCAGCAAAGTAGCGCAGGGACTCTCTGGGCATTCCATTAGCCTCCTGGTTGTTGTATTCCTCCAGGATAGCCGCAAAAAGGGATTCGCTATCACGATTTTCCTGCTGAAAGATGCTCTCGAGCACGGCGTCACGATCAGCTGTGTCGGGTTTGTCCTCATTGACAACGCTGGTGCGTCCGTCCATGATTCGCACATTACCGTTACTGGTAAAAACCTTTCCATACATGGGCCGATCACTATCCGATCTAGGGATAGCACCTTCACGTCCAAAGAAGCTGCTCACAGGATGTCTACTAGAAATCAGCTGCTTGACTTCGTTAGAGCTCATGACCTGATCGTCGAGGCCTTCCAGCATGTCCTTGTGCATCTCCTTAAACAGCACGTAATAGGCGCGGAACAAACGTAGAAAGTCACGGCGGTCCACATAACCATCTCCGTCAATATCGTAGCCATTGAAGATGCGGCGAAGCCTGTGCTTGCTTTTGCGGTAAGTGGTGGCATGCAGGAACTCGGAGAAGCCGATCAGATCATCGTTGTTGGTGTCGTAGAAGGCGAACATGCGGTCGTATAGGAGATTTGGGGCATTATGACGGTTCGAACCAGAAGGCACCAGGGTGCGCTCAAAGGTCTTGCGATCCATGGCCAGGTTGAGGCCGTCTGGGTCCTCCTTCCACTCGGTGTTTGCCAAGAATGTCCATTGCTCCCACAAGGCTTCTAGTTCGGGACGCTCCAAGCCAGTCGACCGAGACAGCTTCGCGATGGCCGCCCTATTAAGCACTCGCACGCAGTTGTCGGGATTTCCGGGGTACCATACAGGCTGGAGCTGTCGGGGACCCAATCTCGGGGCGGGAACCTTGATCTTGTAGAACACGTGTGTCTTGATGTGGAGGTCTTGGGATTCGCAAGTCTCGCAGAGGTCGAAGTCGGCACAGTTGGCGCAGCGGTATCGAATGCCACGGATGGGCACTATTCCGCAAGCGTTGCACTGGCAGCCACGGTGAACGTAGGAGCTGCGCCTGGCATTGTCCTCGGAAACGCGAAACAGGAGGTTGACGATATTCTGGCCGGCGCGGTGATTGGCGTACCCGTCTCCGGGGCCGTTGTCGTTCCACCAGTCGTCATCAGCAATCTGTAGGGCCTGGTCGTCGGCAACAGTCTGGGCATCGGCGGGTTCGGCGTTCGTGTTGGGGTCATCAGGGTTGCCTTCTGCGGCACGAGCGGTAGCGGAGTCTTGAGAAACATCGGAGCGGCGGCGGTCGGGGTCGCGGTCGCGGTGGAGGTTGGGGGCAGAACGTCTACGGTGACGGACGGCATTGCTTCGGCGGACACGACGGGACGAGTCAGGTTCGGGGAGAGACGGGTTGTAGATGCGGTAGCAGAAATAGCCCAGGGAGGCGGCGGCAGCACAGGAGAATAGGGCGACGCCGATCCGGTGCCTGGTCAGCGTCGAGGCTGCGGCACTTGGGTGTTCCATGGTGATGACCGTGATGGTGTTGGGCAGCGGATCATGGTATCATGCTTGGAACTATGTTGTGACAAGATGCGTGGTAAGCGACTGAAGCTTGTCGTGACTTGTGTATGCGGTGTTGAAGTGTTGGTTCGTCTTTCCTTTGGATGAAGAAGTTGGGGAGGAGGAAGTTTGAAGTTTGAATTCAAAGTTCGGAGCTGTCTCGAAGCGGCAGTGGATTACCCCACAATTCGTCAACACACCCCCCCTGCTCTTCCTCCCCACAACCCCATTCTCCCTTCGTCATCAATCATCTTCCTCCAATTCAACGACGAGGCATGGGCATCGTCAAAGACGCCATAGTTTTACTCATATGGTAATTCTCAGAAATGGGAAAAGACTCAGATTGTTTGCTTATTGTATCTTGAACTTTCTTTTTCCTTCAACTCATCAGCTTCCACTTCCACGTTCTCCTTCCACATCCTGACCAAGATCTGACTTACACAAATCAAGACAGGTACTGTGACTTCACCTCCAAGTTGGGAATATAAATCCAAGAACCCTTTTCCCCGCATTGCTGTTGATGGCTAACCTTGAATTCTTTTCTTTGATCCAACATCACAATGTCCCCCTACCCAGTACTCAACCCAACTTTATCTCTTCCTCCCCCAAATCCGGCACCGTGATGCACCCGACCAACAATGCCTTCACCAACCACCACCATGGCCGAACAATATCTCATCTGCACCGCCTGCGGCACCCAACACCCCACTACCGACCGCTCCTCCCTCAAGACCTGCTTCATCTGCGACGACCCTCGCCAATTCGTTCCTCCCTCGGGGCAATCCTTCACCACCCTCTCTGACCTGCGTTCCTCCACATCTCCCAAGTACAAGAATGAGTTCCACCCATACAAGTACTCCAGCCCACAGGAAAAGTTCGAGTCGTCAAAGTCAGACTCAAGCGGGGAGCCAAAGGAGGCAACGATAGACGAGTTAAAGCAGGCAGAACTCATCTCTATCGTGACCACCCCCAAACTCGGCATCGGCCAGCGCGCCATCCTCGTCAAAACCCCCTCGGGAAAAAAGGTACTGTGGGACTGCGTGGCCTTTTTGGATGAGGAGACAGTGAGCAAAATCAAGCAGCTGGGAGGCGTTGATGCGATAGTGATTAGCCATCCGCACTTTTACACGACGCATCTGGAGTGGGCAAGGGCTTTTGGTGATTGTCCTGTTTATTTGGCAGCGGATGATAAGAGGTGGAGGGCGAGAGTGGATGATGCTGTCCAAAGGGAGATTACCGAGGAGGAAACGAGGATTACGAACAAAAAGGGGGAGGATTTGGGGGTTGTGGCTGTCAAGTTGGGTGGCCACTTTCCTGGTAGTTGTAAGTCCAGTCTTAGACCCCTTCAGGTTCTTGATGTGTGTGTGTGTGAGAGAAGAGATAACTAACAAGTTAAAGTGGTCCTCCACATCCCTCACTCAGGCCATCTGCTCACGGCAGACACAATCTTCACCACTCCCTCTGGGCTGTCTAACTGGGAAGTGAATGCCCTTGGAGAACCTCGCTCACGACCAAAAGACACCAACTCTTACTCGTTCATGTGGAGCATTCCCAACCTGATCCCTCTGAGCGCAGGTGAGATTGCGCGTATGTGGGGGATCTTGAAGAAGTATGACTTCAAGAGTACTCACGGCTTGTTTCTAGGCCAGGACATTGAGGATGTTAATGTCAAGAAGAGGGTGTTGGAGAGTGTTCGGATTCAGCTGAGGATGATGGGTCTAAAGGAGCATCCTGTCTACAGTGTATATATCTGACGAGAGGGACGTCAGAGAGTTTCCATGGTGATGTTGGTGTTAGGATTCAGAAAACATGATGATGGTCCTAATAGTGTTGCCCTGGGGACAAAAATATCATTGCAATCGTCATCGCCATGTGCCTTCCCCCCTGAAAGTTCAATAGCAGGAGTCCAACGTGCCTTCCACTGTCCTGCTTAACGGAATCGACTTCCAAACACCAACAAAAAGACATACAACACCAGGTTATTCGCTGGCCGTCACCGAACCAGCTACTAGTCTGGCGGTCACTGGCTTATCTAGGGGAGATCGAACGGGATCCCGAGTTTTTGCCCAAGTGCCTATGGTCGTATGTATTTTACAGATGGCTACAGGTGGAGGAAGTGATTGGGGTTGGTGAAGAGGGGGTTATATACCTTGCTGGAATCATCTTTCCTTCTTGTTCATGATATGCTTTGAGCCACTATCCAATTTTTTTCCAACTCAACTTTTCATCTATCTTTTATACAAAAACATTCCAACTTCTATATCTAATCACCAGTTCCTCATCAACAAACTTCCCTTCCCTCCCAACACCCCGCTCATCAACTCTCCGTCACTACACCAACACCAACACAATCACCCTTTCACCTCCTTTGCCTCCTTCGCCCCAGCCACATATTTCGCCTCATCCCTATCCTCCCGCACAACCCTTCCCCACTCCACCAGTACCCTAAACAAATAAACCTCCTCATCCTCCCTCCTCAACGCGCTCCCCGCCCACTTCGCCCCTTGCTCCGCGATCCACTTGGCCTCCTCCGTCCTACTTTTCAGTCTGACTTCGCGTCCATTAATCATCGCCCCCTTTGTGTTTCCCAACCGATCGGCGGCCGAAGCTTTGCCCTTTAGTCCCGTAAAATAGGCGAGGGTGGCGTGGAGAGAGTGGAAGCGGATGTCGAGCGGGATGAAGTGCAGGTAGGGTTGGAGGCGGGTGGTGTACCAAGAGACAAAAAGGGTGGAGGAGAGGGGGACGGCGGTGCTTTTTAGGGCGGTGGTGAAGGGGATGGAACCGGAGGAGGAGGAGGAGCCAGGGGAAGGGTCGAGACTTAGGAGGTATTGGTTTTGTAGGGGGTTGGGAGAGGGGGGGAGGGTGCTGCCCCTGGTTGTGAATTCGTTGGGGGAATCTTCAGAAGAGGAAGAGGAAACGGAGGAAAAGCCAATGTCGAACGGCAAAAGGAAGTTGAGTAAAGAGGTGGGGACGCGTTCGTAGGCGGCGCGGGAGCGGACTTCGTTTTGGGGGATGAGCATGAGCGTCTCAGAAGAAGAAGAGTTGTCGGAGACCAAATGGACGAGACGCTCCTGGTGGCCGCCGTGGAGGAGCTCGTCTGTCACTTGCGGTGCTTGAGCCCCGCGCCAGTAGAGGGCGGGCGTCTTGAGGTCGAAGTCGCTGGTGTCGGGCTGGGTGTTGGCCTTGTTGAGGACTTCGTCCAGAGTGGGGATGGGGATGAGGATGTCGCTGTAGCTGGAGGTCTTGGACCGGCTGAAGACGGGGACCAGGTCGCGCAGCGGGGGGACGGCGGGCGAGGTGAAGAAGAAGCTGTGCAGGTGGAAGAGGTCGGATTGGTGGCAGATGGATTGCGAGACGGCAAAGTCGCTGAGGAAGATGCCGGTCCCCTTGGAATGGGGGCGCACGCACGAGAGGCAAAAGTCCCGGACGTCCCAGTGGATGCCGGCGCGGGTGGCGGTGCCGGGCGGGCAGGTGAGGGCGGTCATTTCTTGGAATTTGCGGACGGAGATGGATGAGGAGGGTTGGAGAAGGTCGAGGGGCTGAGACGTTGGTTCTTCTTCTTCTTCACGCTTGGTGAGGAACTTGCCGAACCCCTTTTTCTTTGCCTTCTCGGTGAATCTCCTCACGTCCTCCCAGGGGGTGAGTACTCGTGGCCTATCATCCAGGTTGATGGGGAGATCCATGTCGGGAAGGTGTTGTGCAAACTTGTTGGCCATCTTGACCAACTCATCCATGACCATTGCGTGTTCGGAATCTCTGGATAGGCTGTGCGAAGCTGTGCCATTGGCGACTTTGAGCAATGCGATGCCTGGTTCCTTGGCCACCCGCCGAATGTCCTCTCTGATTTTGCTGGGCGAGATTCCCCAGAACGGACGGATATCATGGACCACCTGGTCGAAGTCGTCGATGATGGGTGATTTGTGATCCACGGCGTACTTGTACCATTCATCAAACCCTGGTGGCGGATCTCTCCCTCCGTAGCGAGCTTTGTACTCATTAACGGCAACTGGGAGAAATTTGCTGGCTGCGGCATGAGTCAAGTACCTGTCGTAATTGGTTCGGGCCTTGAAGATCATTGTCTCGATGGGATGTTCGAATAAGTAGTCATTCCTGTTGTTGGAAAAGGCGACGATGGTGGCAGCGATGAGCGAGATGAACATAAGCGCAACCAGGATGGTACGGTGGATGAGCACCACTCTTTGTATGTTGTTGGCGTAAACAAAGATCGATGTACCCAAGCATATGAGGACTATGGCGAGGTATGCAACGCCGTGCATGGTGTTCTCAGCGCCTCCGGTGAGTTTCAGCTTGCCCCATCCAACAACGAGACCGGAGATGAAGGTGAAGATGCCCACAAGAGACAGCGGTGTCTTCTCGGTGGTCAGAAGGCTTGCAGAAACGAACAGGACAGCAACGGCAAAGCCATCCGTAACGACGTCAAAGACATACAAGGCATCAATACCCTTGAAGTGATGGCTTAACGGCACAGAAGGCAGAAACATGCGGAGCGAAGTGTACAGGAAACCGCTGCCGACTGCAGAGGCCAGAAACACCACACTCAGAGATATCAGACGGCTCTTGTTTGTCCTGGCCCAAGCGAGGACACGCCATAGTAGGATCACAATGACGCCGTCCAAGAAGAGACCGAGCCATTGAAGAGAACGGACAAGGGTGCTATTGTCGAAGCTGGTACAGATGTAAGTCGACCTCATGTCCTGTGAAGAGGCGAGATAGGCGCCCAAGGAGATGAAAAAGGTGGAAATCGTGAGGGACTGTTTAGACTCGGCGACCCAGTCCGCAACATCATCCCATGTTGTTCGTCCCGGGTCATTTTCCTCCTCGGGCTCCTTGGTCGAACCCACACGAGCTCGTCGACCTGGTAAGAGCTCATAGAAGAGGATTACCAAAGGAAGAAAGGCCTCCACGCCTGGAGACGAACACTGCAAGCCCGCCGTTACCCGATGGAACAGTTCGAGTCTAAAAATGATGGCTGCTATGAGAACTGGGAGAAAGTATCGTCGTGGTCTTTTTGGTAGGCTGGCAGGAGCAGGTCTCAAGGAACCCCCCTCGTCATCTTGTCGAGGTCAGTATCGTTGTTGATGGACCGGAACTGGTTGTCGACTTACCGAACCTCCCGTTGGAACCTGGAAGCCATTGCCAAAAGTGACTGGCAGCATAAGAGAAAGCCCCGGCTGTCAACAGGACTAATATAGATGAGACTCGTGGTTGTTCTGTTGCATGTGTAAGTAGGTGTCCGTTGTGTAACATGTTGTGAGTACTCCCACTTACCAATTAACTGGTGACTTTCTATACTATGACCAAGCCAAAGGAAGGAAGCTACGGCACTAGGAATAACAAGTTCCAATTAGCATATGTTTGTTCTATGCATCTTCATGTCGGCATCAAGTCTCAACTCACCAAAACGCCGAGAGCTGTGACCCTCCAGTCGCTCCGGACGCCATGAAAGCTCAAAGGGGTAACTGTTTTCTTTACAAAAATCCAATGTGTTTAACGAGAGGCTCGAAGTAAAACTCTATAGTACGAATACTAGTAGGTAGGGATATCTTCAAAAGAGAAATAATGCTATCAACCCATGCTCTCCCAAGTGGCAACAAGCTGACATGACGATAGTATGAAGGAAAAGGAAAAGAAAAGGACCTCCATGACTAGTAATAGCACTCCGCTGACAGAGTTCACGGACTGAATCTCAACTCAGCCCCTGTTTCCATCGCCAATAAGATCTCCGTTGGGTGGCTCCAGAACCCTGGGATAAGCCTGGAGTTCGGGGATAATGACCCCCTTTTTTTCTCCTGACATCTGCCTGCCGGGGCGGCCGGTTGTTGTGTTGCTCTTGCTGGGGGAAGCTGCTAGTAAAGGGTACCGACGAACTGCGTGTTAGCAGGCCCAAACGAGAAGTACCTGCTAACAGCTTAATTACTTGCATCGGCTGCACCTCTGACGTTACCGCCACTCCACCATCCGCGGCTCCCCAACGTTCCGTTACATTCCCAACTTCAACCCGACGTTTCCATCGAAGCCTCCACTTTGTAGAATCCGACCCCTTCTTCCATTTCGGCAGCCTCGTGGTTTCCTTTTTTCAGCACATTTTAACTTCTCGACACTCGTTCAAACACACAGCATACTTGTACAAAATTCTTCACAATTCACAAAAGAACCACAGCTTCAACTGACTAATCCCACCCGATACTTCCTACCAAAACCACGGCCGACTCTCAACACCACCCGAAGACACCCCACGAACAATGTCAAGATGACCAACATCCAAACCGGCCCTACCACCCGCGGCCTCTCACGCTTCGCCATCCCCGCCGTCTGCGGCCTCATCACCTTCCTCGGCTACTACTCGCAATACCTCTTCAACACCAGTCCCGACCTCGCTCCCGGTCCGCTCACCCGTCGCGAATCCATAACCCTCAACACCCTCCTCGTCTGCCTCTGGCTCACCTACTACCAAGCCTGCACCGTCGATCCCGGCCGGTACAAGTTCCCACCGAAAGAGAAAGAGGAGGATAACAATAACAACGATAATCATATCACAAGAAGAGGAGGAGGACCCCAACAAAACGCAAGATGGTGCAAAAAGTGCTCCGCCCCCAAGCCCACGCGCGCCCACCACTGCCGACACTGCGCCCGCTGCATCCCGCGCATGGACCACCACTGTCCGTGGACCGGCAACTGCGTTTCCTTACAAACCTTCCCGCACTTCCTGCGCTTCCTGGTGTACACCAACGCCGCGCTGGTCTGCTTTGCCCGTCTGCTCTGGGCCAGGCTGTACTACGGCCTCTGGGACCAGCGGCACGTGCCCGCTTACCTGGGTCCCAGCGTGGGGGCGCTGCTGGGCTGCACGATGCTGAGCATCGCGTGGTTTGCGACGCAGTTCGCGCTGACGGTGTTGCTGGTTACCACGGTGCGGAGCTGGATGCTGGGCAAGACGATGATTGAGGAGTGGGAGGCGGAGAAGCACGAGGCGCTGTTGGCGAGGTCGTATGATGGGGATGATTACTGGGGCGCGGATGGACACGGTGGGTTTGTGCCGGTTAAGGTGGAGTTTCCGTATGATAATGGGTTTTGGACAAATATGGCGCAGGCGATGGGGACGAACAACTTCTTGAGGTGGTTCTTGCCGGTTGGTGGGGGTGGGCCAAAGATCAGCAATGACACGCCGTGGAAGGGGACCGGTTGGGAGTATGAGGAGAATGGGTTTAATGATCGGGTGGGCATGTGGCCACCGCCGGACCCGGAGAAGCTGCGTAGGGAGAGGGCGGGTGCTGGAGGAAAGTGGCCGGGTGCTAGGGAGAATTTGGGCACAGGAAAGCCGGAAGTCGAATACTACCGGAGTTCCGAAGATATGAAGGCTGCGTTTAAGAGGAGGCAGCAGGAGGATTTGCGAAGGAGACAGCAAAGGAGACAGCACTCGTCTGAAGAGGATGAGATCATGGCTGAGTTGGAGGAGGATGAAGGGTACGAGCAGCGCTCAAGGACACGCTCACCACCGCAACAGGGTAGGACATGGATGAATAGCGAGGGTGATACGCTGTGGGATTATGGTGTTGATGTGGACGAGGAGGAGAGTTACGGATATCCAGGCCAGGGAGTCTCCGAGTCAGTACCGCTTGTCGGGACGGCGACTGGATACGATGATGACCAAGGAGATGAAGACGAGGACGTGCCCCTCGCTGAGCTAATGCGCAGACGCAGAGTAAGAAGCAGCGAAGGATATGAGTGAGGACCAAGAGCAAATATGCCATACTAGCTTTATAATAACCGATACCCAATGCACATATTCTTTTTTGGTCAGCCCCAGTGATCTTGTTCTGGTGGTAAATTCTACTTGTTATCATCCTTCTCATGAGCCAACAAATGAATTCTCCAACCTTCAACTCAACGCCATGATAAGGCATAACAGATGCCTCGCATCGGCATCGGCATCTGAATCCCCAAGGACCTGCATGATGTCATGTCAAAGATGGGTTGAACTGCCGGAGACTCGAAGTTCAGCTCATGTTCAGTTGACAAGTTGACCCTGCGGGGTAACCCCCACATAATGAATGTGGGGTAAAAGGGGGCCGGGGAACATTATCCCGAATCCAATTGTTTCCCCAGAAACAGAGTCGTAGGGCATCACAGCCCCCCCTAAAACCGCCACTGAAGCCTGAAGGAGTCTAACGGATTCTGGGAAATAATAATGTACATCTTGAGGGGTCGACGCCGTGTTTGGCTGTTTATTGATGATGATCAGGGACCACGTGCTTGTGCTGTTTTTCGTCGTCAGGTTGAAAAATCTGGGCTGGACTGACTCAAAACAAAAATCTCCAGGAGGCTGAAACTGATCTGAGACTCTCTCTCTTCCTTCTCGTCTGTTCTTGTAAATATTTCGTTTGTTCTCATCCTTGGAAAGATCCCACTCCACCACCAACACCACCGCGGGTTTTTGTCAAGGGTTCGGAGAACGACTTCAACGGCTTGCCAAGTCTTGAATCTCTGAGCCGCGATAACCGCTTCGTGTTACCTGACCTGCGAGAAGTGAAGGACATCAAGTGTTGAGAGGATCGAGAATCTCATCTGATCTTTTCTCTCTCACTCAACAAACTTGGATTCCTTTTCATCCCAACTCAAGAGGTCTCCTCCGTTTGCTCTCAAGTCCCGCGGACAGACAAGCTGGTCATTCACCTTCTAGACTTGGACTTGGCAGCTTTGTTTGGTCGTTGGTTTTTGGTCGTTGGTCAACCCACTTCGAACTTCCTCGCCTTGCTCATCTTCCTCACCACTTCGATTTGGGGCCTCAAAACACATCAAATACTCCTCAACCCGACTCAACCAAACTCAAAAGGACGTAGACCAGACCCGTCCAGTCTACAAACCCCTTACCAAAACACAACCAACCACACACACACATACTCAACCACCCTCCAAAACCCGCCAAGATGCTCAACTGGTAAGCCCCCGAATCGCACATCTCACCTACACCCCCCCTCACTCCTCCCCGCCAACCACCATATCTTTCACCTTCCCCCAACACTAACAACGGCCCCCAGGTACAAAGCCAAGCTAGCCGCCCGCCCCCTCCTCACCCAAGCAGTAACAACCTCCATCCTCTTCGGCATCGGCGACATAACCGCGCAACAACTCGTCGACCGCCGGGGGCTATCCAACCACGACCTGACGCGCACGGGCCGCATGGTCCTCTACGGCGGCGCCGTCTTCGGCCCCGCCGCCACGACTTGGTTCCGCTTCTTACAAAAACGGGTCGTGGTCCCCGGTTCGCCGAACAAGACCATTCTTGCAAGGGTTGCCTGCGACCAAGGGTTGTTTGCGCCGACGTTTATTGGCATCTTTTTGGGGAGCATGGCGGTTATGGAAGGGACACCTGTTAAAGAAAAACTGGAAAAGAATTATTGGGAGGCGCTGAGCACGAATTGGATGGTTTGGCCGTTTGTGCAGTTGGTTAACTTCAAGGTGGTGCCGTTGGATCATCGGGTGTTGTTTGTTAATGTGATTAGTATTGGGTGGAATTGTTATTTGAGTTGGTTGAATGGGCAGTGATGGAAGGAGAAGTGAGGAGTGAGGGGGGCCCGAACGGGGCAGGAGAGATGAAGAAGGGAAGGGCATGAGAGGGGTGGGTGGACTAGGTGAGCAGGGGACTCGGAAGAGGGAGTGTTTGAGGGCTGGCCCTTTGAGGGCACTCAGGCGAATAGAAATAGAATAGAATAGAATAGATCGGGTTGAGCGGAGGGGAAATGAGAGAAAGGAATTTTTGGGAGTATCAAACCTGGATATTGGTCGGAGGATTTCGACATGGCTCTACGACTGCAGTGTAATGATTACATTATCCGTCTTGCCGCGTAAGAAATACTTCTAATGACGAAGTTGGACAATTGAACACGTGTAAGGGAAAAGCAGCCTCGACGTGCGTGCTTTGAAGTTATTTGTTCAAAGCCGTTTAGTATCCGTTGGTTCCCAGCACTGCAGGTAGAGCCACAAGTGACAAATACGCAGTTAACAGAAACTGTAATCTCTAACCCTGTGATACTTCCCGTAGTATTCCACAATCTAGTCCTAAGGGTTGATATTTGATAATAGCTTTTTAGTATTGAGGTTGTTATATAGTGCATTAGCTGAAAGGTACAAATCCAAGTAATTATATTCATATCTTCATATATAAAACTAACTTCATCGACTCTCCCCTAGCAAAATTGTCGTCGGCGAAGCGATGGCGACGTGGGAGCAAGCTCGTCCTCGCTAATAGCATAATAAGAGTTAGAATCACGGTTGATTTCGATAGTTAATATGTTGTATAAGTAAGTAGTTGGTATAAAACTCGCTGTTGTGTTTGATATTAATGTTGGAATTGTGTTAATATGATTAGTTTTGGTAAGGTTATAGTGGTTTGGCGTAAGTAATTCTCGATGAGATTTTATGGTAGCTACAAATCACTAACTTAAACTTGTCGAATTAGGATTTATTAGGGTTGGCGATTACTGTGACACTACCCGCGTAGGAAAGTGACACTGCCCGTCGAGCAAGTCTCAAAGTAAAATAGGGGTGCTTTGTGCAGGGAAGCTTGGAACATAGTTCTCAGAATAGCATCAATGACACCCCAGTGAAATCACCTTCTTGGATACTAGCCCTATCTGAAATAAGCAAGATCGAGGCAGAGCAGAAGGCGGCGGGCAAGGGCAGCGGCTCCGGGGGAACAGGAAGCAGGAAAAGGAAGCGGACAACAGATGATGTCATCGAGGCACGGGTCGGAAAACAGCGGCGGACGGATGAAACGGAGAACTTACCTTGTCTCGCCATGAGGGCTATTACAAATGGAAGCTTCTCTTCTTGGTTTGAAACTCGGGACTTGAATGTGATCTCATCAACTGGGATGCGTGTGTCACTATTAGTGTCGGCGCTCTTCACTAGTTATGTAGGTTTTTCTGGGACTGGGGTTCTGCCTACTGGGAACTGCCAGAACCGGAGACTTCATCACTGGTCCCAAGGCTAGTGCGTTGACTCCTCCTTGCGGCGGCCGCGGAAATCTGGAACCCATTCACGGTTATCAGCACCAAACGCTCCCATTTAGCGGCCACAGCAGCAGGATTATAGGATACTTACGTTGGGACTTCATCTCGATACCTTGGCGTTTGTTTGCATGAGAGGTTGAACTTTTGTGCAAGAGTTGATTGGATCCACTGTGAGAAGAAATGTCAGTACACAGTATCAGTATGGGTAAGGAGGGAACCTACCTAGATAACCTCTCCACGGGCCTTCCCACGGTTGCCAAGCAATGTCCATTGTTCGGAATCTTCGTCTGAATCTTCATTTGAATCTTGATCCCTTCTCTTCGCAAGCACTACAGCATCAGCTTGAGCTACTATATGCTTCCATACAGCAATAATAGTCACTACTGATTGAACTGTTGGTACCTGCTTCTGTTCCTCGGTACCGTCTATATACAGACGCCTGCATCTTGCATAGCGTGTATAGTCGGCCAGAAAGCTCTTGCAGATAGCAATGGACTTTTTCTTATTTTGGCACACACCAAACCAAACCTTATCAGCCTCTTTTTGTGTTAATTGTAACACTTCTATGACAAATCTAAAAAGCATTAGTACGCAATATCAAAGAAAACAGCAAAATAATAAGGTACATACCTATTCCATAGACACCATGCGCGTTCTCGCTCGGCTTTGGTCTTCTTACAAAGCGAACGCTCATGTGTTGTTACCATAAATTCGTTGACGTCGGCAAATGCTCTTCTTTTCCGTTCTTCGACATCGGATACAGTCGGCGGTATCGGCGGTTTTCGTAGCTCCATCCCTTCCGTATTGCATATGGATGGAGTGCGATCGGCACCGTGAGACTCAAACAATACCCTCTCAAGCTGCAATGGCTTACGAGCTCAGCATGTTTTGGAGGAGAAATCCATTAGAAAACTCGGAAGGAGGGTTTCATATGAAAACCAACGCAACCCTCACAACGTAGGGGCCATAATTCATGCGGTAGAATCAACTGGGAAGAATTGATATACAATGAATACAATGAGAATGGGACAGAAGTTTGCTTGTTTGGTTCAGTCGGGAATCTGAGGGTAAAGACGCAATATATATCTTGAGGCCCTTCTGACTCGCCTGAAGGGATATACGTACGAAAACTGTTCACCAAAGCCAACCACACCTCCCAAAAGCCAACCACACCTCCCAGTTAGAAGTACTAAGTATATAGAGTAGGTGTCAGGGGTAAACGAAGGCAATGAAAACGGTTCTAGAAACGGCGGCGGCATTTTTGGCTGAGTCATCCAAACCCCTGTAAAAAAACTACAAAAAATTACTCCCATAGACAAGCCACCGATATGTCTGCTTATCTATGGGAGTGGGAAGGATATGAAACGGGTCTTTTAATCACGTGGTAGGGTCAAAAAACTGAACCACTACCTCCCATATCCATATCGTTCGGACGGAGGAATTACGGTGAGTGGGGAGCCGGCGCTAAAAAGATGAATATAATTGGGCGGATTACGAGAAAAGTTGACCGTCCTGACACTGCGGCTAGATCTTTTACACGGGTAACACCAAGATTGCACTCGGTCAGAAGACCATTCCTGATTGGTTCCTAGTACTCCTCGGCCCAGTTATGTGTATGCAGTTAGTCGTCGAGTCTGATGAGAGCGTGGCAAGGGAATCTCTCGCTCTTATTTTGTTGGATCACGGTTTGGTAATCTACTACGACAAACTGATCACAATGGACCTCCTTCATACCTGCCTTAACCTACCTTCTTCATCTGCCTGCCTTAACCTACCTTCTTCATCTGCCTCTTCCCTTCCATCCTGGCATGTCATAACCATGGTGGTTGGCTTGCAACACACTGCCGGCGCAGCCGCCAACACCTTTGTAGACGAGTCGATTGGCTGAGAGAGCTGCATGCCAGGACTGCGAAACAAGGTGACGGCGGCGTTGAGACCTTCCAAGTCAAGTATGGCGACGGATACTACTCCGCCGACCCCAACCTTGATCTCATCCCTTCCAGACCTCCGGGTCTTCCTCTCCTCGATCCCTCCGCCCAGCACGTTCTATCTGGACCTTGAGGGCAAAAGTCTCAGCCGCAATAGAACCCTCTCCCTCTTGACGGTACTCGTCCTTCCCACGCAAGCAACCAGCATTGTCGATGTCCAAACCCTCGGCGAATCTGCTTTCACCACTCCCGGCATAGGCGGAAATACCCTCAAAGCCATCCTCGAGGATGCCCACACTTCTAAATGCTTCTGGGACGTACGCAATGATGCGGACGCCCTCTGGGCGCACCATAAGGTCCGTCTCACGGGTGTCACAGACGTCCAGCTCCTCGAGAATGCATCCCGCGTCTGCGACAAGACCTACCTCCGCGGGCTCGACAAATGTGTCGAGAAGGATCTTGGGTTGAAATTCATGGAGGTGCATCGCTGGGTCAAAACCAAGAAGGAGGTGCAGGCTCTGATGCCCAACGACATCTTCGCCCGCCGCCCTTTGGACGCCAAAACGGTGCAGTACTGCGTCAATGATGTCGTTTACCTACCTGCGCTCCACAACCTCTACGCCAAGCGCATCACTAGCGAATGGCTGGGAAAAGCTATAGATAAATGGCTTGAGAAGATGGAAGAGGACGAGGTGGACGCAAGGGAACGGGATACGTTCGGAGATGACTATGGCGACTACTACGACTATGACGACGGTCCTGTGAGCTCGAAAGACGCCGTGGGGGACGACACATTTGATAGTTGCTGGGAGAAGTGAACTGTTGGGAGGCACGGCAACAGAATGGATTGATGGGGGAAAGGTTGCAGCCCAGTTGTGGGCGGCAGAAACATGGGCGGTCTGGAAGTGCCCAGGCGGTGGTCCATCTGCAACACACCCATAGACTGCCTAGTCTGAAGCCATGGCCAACCTCCCCCCCCCCCCCCCGAATACTAAGTACAAGTTCCATGGTGTTGGCCTTCCTCTGTTATCTTCGTTGAGGCGGCATCTCCAGGGGTTGGTGGTGGAATGAGACGGTTGCGGGGACGCGGCGGGCCCGCTCCTTTTTGGGTGAGTTTCCCTCGTGACTTCTCGGCGCTTACAGTAAAATCGCGTTTCGGTCGGTCTCCGAGATACTTAGAGACGCTCAATCTTTTAGCAATAGATGGCGAGGACCAAATGCGATGGAGAGCCTCTTTCGGGAATTCTAGCCACGGCTATAATCGATACTATCTCAACAGAATGACGCGCCGCCCGGCAGTTCTACGTTCCTGGGCAAAACTTCCTCTCGGTGCTCGCCGGTAACCCTAACCCGCTGTGTTAATCTTGGGATTTCGTTTTGAGGCTTCACATTCGGAAAGTTCGTCTACGCTCACACCTTCTTTTCCTCACCTCACCGTTCCTGAATGTACCTTCTTCCCTGAAGCTCACCGTGACTTTCAACCACGTGATGTGGAGGGCATCAGAGCGAGCAAGCATCCAATCAAGACCATCTTCCCAATGCATTGCCTTCTCCTCTTTACCCATCCACTCAGAGCAGCTCTCCACTACAGTAAAGGCTGAGGAGAGGCCTCCCATATATGTCCCAACGCCTTTCCTTTCCGGGCTTGGCGCCCTGGGCCTCTCAATCACCTATGCCCAACGATGTACCCAACGCGATATTGACGAGTCTTCTGCTTGCAAGACAACTGTGCGAAGAGGCTGTGCCCGATACCTCTACTCAGTTCCCGTCGGTTGTGGTGGAAGTCAGAGTCCAACTTTCTTTTTGCCAGACATCTCGTCCATCGCGCGACACCGAAAATATCACCATTTTGAACGCGAGGATTGATACGGACGTTTGGAAACCGACAAGCGTTGGTGTCGTCGTTATCAGATCGGACAAGGCACCCGCTCCACGACAATGGGGGACGATCTCAAGTACGCCGCTCCTGCAAGCAAGAACGGCTTTGAGATTGCGATACTCTGCGCACTACCCAAGGAACGAGCAGCTGTTTTGTTACTCCTCGACGATCTCTGGGATGGAAAGGGCAGTAACCGGCACCGGTATGCCAGGGCCGAAGGGGACGTCAACATCTACACGCATGGGCGGATCGGGAGGTTCAATGTAGTTATCGTCCTTCTTGACACCATGGGCAAAGTCCCGGCTGCCGGTGCAGCTACCGCCGTCCGAATCAGTTACCCCAATATTTCCCTAGCCCTGATCGTCGGCATTTGCGCCGGGGTGCCGTTCCCCAAGAAGAGTCAGGAAGTCATCCTCGGCGACATCGTTGTCAGCAACATCCTGATTCACCGCGACTTTGGAAGACAATACTCCGATCGCTTTAAGGCCAAGGTTGAAGCCGAGGATGTGTACGGCCGACCGAACAAGAATATTCGGAGCTTGCTTAGGTCGCTGGGAGACGATGGTTGTCCTGAGGTCGAAGAACAAGCTGCAGAGTACCTACGGCAGCTTCAGGAGAAAAATGATACAGACCCAAAGCAGGAAACCGGCAAATACAAATACCCTGGAGTAGACAAGGACAAACTTTTTGGCGATGCCTACGAACATAAACATCACGACCCTACCTTGGATTGCGGCTGTTGCACACAAGGTTCTACCTGCGAGGGATCCCGGGAAATTGAGTGTGATGAACTCGGCTGCGACGACAATTTGTTGGTTCCGAGGCAAAGACTTACTCGACATCGTGCCCAAGGATCGACCCCGCTTCCTCAGATACACATTGGCCGTATGGGGTCCGGAGACAGTGTCATACGCTCTGCCCAGCACCGCAATGCTCTCGCTGCCGAAGGAGTCATCGGCATAGAGATGGAGGGTGCGGGAGCTTGGGACGAACTGCCTTCTATTGTGATCAAAGGGGTATGTGACTACGCTGACAGCCACAAAAGTAAAATGTGGCAGGACTATGCGGCGGCTACTGCTGCATCAGTTGCGAAGGCTGTTTTGGATGAGTACCCAGGGAGCGGAAGGGTTTCTGGGGACACACATGGTCCGCAAGAAGCTATGAACCCGCTTGTTGATTCTGCAAGGCACCAGGAGATGCAGCAAATGTCAGAGAAGGATCAGCAATGCTTAAAGGACTTGCGCATTACCAATCCTCGCCACGATAAAACCCGCATCGAACAGACCAAAGGCGGTCACTATAGAGTCAAATTCTCTCTTCGGGGTATGCCGAGGTCAAACAACTTCGTGCCTCGACCCTCTGATATTACGGATATTGAGAAATCTCTTCTTCCTCACCACCCGAAAAAACAAGGGTGCAATGTCTTTGTTCTTCACGGGCTCGGCGGAATTGGGAAAACTCAACTAGCTGTCAACTTTGCACGGCAATACCAAGCTGCCTTCAGCGCCATCTTTTGGCTGGACGGCACATCAGAAGACAGCCTTAAACAAAGCTTTGCCAGTTGTGCAAAGAGGATACCAAAAGACCAGATTCCTGAGAATATCAGAAGTCCAAAAACAGGCGATGAAGTCGATCTTAACGATATTGTGGAGCACGTACAAGAGTGGCTCGCAGAAGATAACAATGTCGATTGGCTTTTGATCTTCGATAACGTTGATCTCGATCATACGCAAGGAGAAAAACCGGGCGCTTATGACATTCGAAAGTATCTTCGGAGTGACCACGGCGCAGTCCTGATTACATCCCGGTTGTCCAAGCTAGCACAGCTTGGCGAATCTAAGCGCATTAAACGTGCTGACCCAGACTTGAGTAAGAAAATATTCGAGAAGTGGTACGGGAAGGAACTAAGTGAGCACCCCAAGTTACTACGAGACCCAACCCTAAAGCTGATGCTAACGCGCTAATTCAGTGATGGATGATGATGCACAAGAGTTGCTGCGTTTATTAGCAGGTCTGCCACTTGCACTCGCGCAAGCCGCTGCATTTATAGGAGACTTAAACCTATCTGTCGCTGAGTACATTCGCCTATATAAGCAGCAGTGGGGTAAACTCTTCCGGAATACGAACTCCGGCCTACTAGACTACGATAATCGCAGCGTGATGACGACCTGGACGATATCATTCAACAAGATCGAGGCGAGGGACAAGAACGCTGGGAATCTACTACGGCTTTGGGCTTTTCTCGACAATAGAGAGATGTGGCACAGTCTACTGCAAGTGGCCAGAAATAACCAGGAGCAGTGGCCTGGATGGTTGCGCGATATAGCGCGCGAAAAGGTTGAGTTTCTCAATGCAGCGGGATTGCTGCTCCGCTACTCTATGATCGAGGCCCGAGAGTCTGAGCAAAGCAGCTATAGCATGCATCCGGTAGTGCATGAATGGATATCGCATATACAAGATGACGATGGGAAGAGAGTGTTTCTACGGCTAGCGGTAATGTTGATAGGATTTTCAGTGCCCGACCGTACGACTAAGAATTATTGGGTACTCCAGCGACGGCTTCTCCCTCATGCGGAGAGGTGCTCATGGTGGATGGGAGAATTAGAAGGAGGAGAGTGTAATATGGAAGACATTACCATCGGTCATGCAACACATAGCTTGGGCAACCTCTATGTGACTCAGGGCCGGCTAAAGGAGGCTGAAGCGATGTATCAGCGAGCGTTAGAAGGCAAGGAGAAGGCGCTTGGACCGGATCATACGTCGACTCTCAATACAGTTAACAACTTGGGAAGCCTCTACGCGGATCAGGGCCGGCTAGAGGAGGCTAAAGCGATGTATCAGCGAGCGCTAGAAGGCAAGGAGAAGGCGCTTGGACCGGATCATACGTCGACTCTCGATACAGTTAACAACTTGGGCCTTCTCTATAAGACTCAGGGCCGGCTAAAGGAGGCTGAAATGATGTATCAGCGAGCGCTAGAAGGCTACAAGAAGGCGCTGGGACCGGATCATACGTCGACTCTCAATACAGTTAACAACTTAGGCAGCCTCTACGCGGATCAGGGCCGATTAAAGGAGGCTGAAGTGATGTATCAGCGAGCGCTAGAAGGCAAGGAGAAGGCGCTTGGACCGGATCATACGTCGACTCTCGATACAGTTAACAACTTGGGCCTTCTCTATAAGACTCAGGGCCGGCTAAAGGAGGCTGAAATGATGTATCAGCGAGCGCTAGAAGGCTACAAGAAGGCGCTGGGACCGGATCATACGTCGACTCTCAATACAGTTAACAACTTAGGCAGCCTCTACGCGGATCAGGGCCGATTAAAGGAGGCTGAAGTGATGTATCAGCGAGCGCTAGAAGGCAAGGAGAAGGCGCTTGGACCGGATCATACGTCGACTCTCGGTATAGTTCACAACTTGGGCCTTCTCTATGTGACTCAGGGCCGGCTAAAGGAGGCTGAAATGATGTATCAGCGAGCGCTAGAAGGCTACAAGAAGGCGCTGGGACCGGATCATACGTCGACTCTCAATACAGTTAACAACTTAGGCAGCCTCTACGCGGATCAGGGCCGGCTAGAGGAGGCTAAAGCGATGTATCAGCGAGCGCTAGAAGGCAAGGAGAAGGCGCTTGGACCGGATCATACGTCGACTCTCGATACAGTTAACAACTTGGGCCTTCTCTATAAGACTCAGGGCCGGCTAAAGGAGGCTGAAATGATGTATCAGCGAGCGCTAGAAGGCTACAAGAAGGCGCTGGGACCGGATCATACGTCGACTCTCAATACAGTTAACAACTTGGGCAACCTCTACGCGGATCAAGGCCGACTAAAGGAGGCTGAAGTGATGTATCAACGGGCGCTGTCTGGTTATTCAGCAGCCTTAGGCTCGTCCCACGCGAAATCTCTTCTTGTCATAAAGAATATAGGATCTTTACAACTTGCAAAAGGTAGCCTCTCTCTGCAAGAACTAATAGTTAAGTTTGCTAACATTTATAACTAGGTTCATCGTTGGAAATCGAATCGTCGTTCCATTATTCTTCGGCAGATGAAATTACCTCCACGATAGTTGAAGCTCCGCTTCAATTAGGTTCATCAGCCGCGACTAAGACGTCGTTGTGGATGAGGCAATCAAAAATTTGGAATAACTTACGAGATAAGATACGCAGAACCCCTACGAGAACTACGCCATCTGAGAGGAAGAGGGAGGAAGAGAGAGGAAGAGGGAGGAAGAGGGAGAAAGAGGGAGGAAGAAGATAGGGAGTTGCGGATAGAGGCATAAGAATAGACGGAGAGAGACAGAAAAGGGGCTTTTATGGCGTAATAAATCCTGGTCATTGTCAGTGACCACAAATGAAGACCAGTTTGAGGCCAATCAGCGTTCCAAATCGAGAGCCTTCCCCGAGCTGGTTACAGGTGATTGCTGGGTAAGTCGCCGGAGAAGGTGTCTTCCGAATGAAAAAGAAAGGAGAGAGAAACCCAGATCACCCAGACAAGGCAGCAGGATGCTTGTCGTCAAATCCCTATCCCAAGTTGTATCGACGCCAATGCAACTTGTTCAGCCGACTTCATGTCTCTCCTGACAGCGCAACCATCCAATATCTACGAGCGTCTGTATGACAACTACCGCAGATGATAGCAGTGGCACGGTATGGTGTTACGATCCAACCAGGGATCACTTATGTAAGCTAGACTAGACAGAACCAACGGACCCGAAGGGTTCGGGTCCTCGGGTCCTCGGGTCCTCGGGTCCGATATATCGGGTCCGCTGAAGGCCTGTATAAAAGAAGGCCTCCCGGCCTTCGTTTTATACTGGGCTCTTCAGCAAGCAATAGCTTTCACAATCAATCAGTACCTTTTGGCTACTACTACCGTTATTCCTACTCCCAGCGATATACTCCTGTGCTTGTAACGGTTCGTCATATATGGATAACCGAAAGGGCTTTTTAGATGCCAATCCACCATGGTCGAAGACGTCGTACTTCATCCAACATGGAGCGATAGGTGAAGAGAGTTTCTTCACGGATTGTGTTTCAAGATAAAAGTTCAGGACATCCCCCGATTTTCGGTTGCCTTATTCTCGCATTCACATCCTATCCTTGTATCATCAGACTTGGACATGCCAGTTGTCAACTCTTCAAGACCTTCATAGGAACGGACATCACACCACTCCACGCACACTCGTTCTCCTCTTCCGACTTTTGGACCCGAACTCAATCCGGATCACGTACGTATAGTCGAGAGATTCTTTGACATTTTGGAAACGAAGCCATATACACGACATCCAAGAGACCTGAATTCAGCACCAACCTCAATGGATCATACTAACCCCGTTTACCTGTCTCATCCGCAATCCGAAAAGGACTTTCTGGCTCAATACTACGCCAGGCTCTCCTTAGCGGACACGGGTGCGGACAAAAAAATCTCCCATTCCTGCAACTGCCCCTTCCACTGTCACGGCTACACCTGAAGCGCCAGCCCAGCAATCCCAGATTGTCACAGAGACCACGGGCACGGGAGCCACAGGCCTCACCATCACCACGGTCACGGGCATCGCGGGCACATCCACGCGCACCATAACCGGACCGGACGGAATGCGTGTTATAGACTAGAGGGAAAGGTGATTCCTGGTATGGTTTATACGCAGCGTGGTAGCTCTCAACATATTCAAAATTGATCCATCGCATCCATTCCCTCAGAATCCTCATAAACATCAAACGCAAGAACCAAAAAGAGGTAAACATAACCATTCAATAAGAATAAACATTAACTAACTACTCGCTCGCTTGCTTTGCCTGCTTTAAAACGACTGTAACCGACTTTCGTCTCCTCCTCCCATGCTGCTTGCTCTATGGTTTGTAGGGGTATAGAAAAGATAAGCCATCCGCGCCGGTAGTAGTTTAGTAAATGAGGTACGGTTAGCCAGATCACCCGATGGTGATAACCTGGATCTAGAAAAGAGAAAAACAAAACATCGAAAAGAATGCCTCCAACTCCATCCATACTTCTTTTCTCTTGACCCGCCGCCGAGTGTCTTTCCTGTCCGTCTCTGACCGTCTGAAAACGATATGTGTGTGGTATAATAATAAAACAGAAGACCCGAAAGGAGAAGAATCCAAAACGTCAATCCATTACTTCATATCGAACCAAAAGCAGCACCCATTTCTCTTCTTTTCCTTGCCGACGTTCCCGTATCTAACCCCACTCCTAACGTCAGCCACCGCCTCTTCCTCAACTTCGACCGCTCCCCTCCCCGCAAGGAAGGACTACGCCGGACGATCAGACCAGCAGCAGAACACTACCCACTGCCGTTATCCGTCCGCCCGAACATCCTCCTCAACGCGCCAAACTTCTTCTTCTTCCCTGTTGGAGTCTCAGACCTTTCAGGCGGAACCACCTCGTTGCCCGCTGTGCCCACTGCAGACAAAGCAGTAGCGGTACTGGTCCTCCTTGAAGCCAAGCCGGGAGCAAACGGACCATTCGGGTGAGCAGATCCACCGCTGATAGACCTCGTCCCGAGACTTCCACTATTAAGATTAGTAGTGGTGCCGGATCTCCTAATAAACCCCGGCATGGGGATGCCTCCTCCATTCATAGTCTCTTCGACCGGGGGTGGTGCCTTTTCGCCTCGGCCGGGGAGAGAGAAGCTGGGCATTATTGACCCGCGTTTCTGGAGACGGGGATGGGGATGGCTCTTGGGACTTATTTCAGAGGTGTTGTTGGTGTCGATGGTAGCGGGGGTTCGCAACCTTTCCTCGACATCGACCTCCTGGTCTTGATCGACTTGGCCTTGGTTCCTCAACCCTTTCAACTTGGCCTTACTCCTCTCTAGCTTGGTATCCCTTCTCACAGCGCTCTCCGTTGGAGCTTCTGGGCGAGCGATGGCGTCGGCACCTTCCTGGACGTGCTGGTGATGGTACTTCTTACGCGAGAAAACGGACATCAGGCCACGCTTGGGACGGTGCTGCTCGGCAGCGGCAGGAATATCGGAAGTCCGAACATTAGGAGCCGTCTGCGACGTAGGCAGGATGTGACCACGGCCAGAGCGGGTTCGACTGAGTTCTTCGTTTCCCGCTGCTACGTCGTTGTCGTAGTCGGCTTGCGTAGACGAGATGGCAGAACCGAGTCTCGCCGTTTTCGACAATTTCTGATGACCACCAATGGATCCAACGCTACCACGCGCATTACCATTACCATTAACAACCCCGTTGCTGTAATCATACCCTCCTTCCTCCTCTTCAGCAATGGATACCTGTCTGCCATGCATACTGCCCAGAGCCATACTCCGACCAGCAGCCGCCACAGGCGCCGAAGCCGAGCCCCTCAATCTGGATGGAACCACCGGTACCGGCGGCACGACCTCGTCTTCGTCACTTGACTCGTCAAACCGGCTTCTAAACCTGCTGGAAATCCTGGCATCCTCCTCATCGCTCGAATCTCCGAATCTGCTAGAGAACTTACTCCCAGTCGATGTCCTCTTCTTCTCAGAAGCGCCCCCTTTCTTTCCCAGTGTAGGCATCTTCATACCGCCAGAACTTCTCCTTCCACCGTTACTTGCTGCCGAGTCACGCAGAGTGGTGCGCATACCCATACCCATGCCTGAACCCACTGTCCCCCTGCTAGAGGGCGGGGTGTCAAGTCTAGAGTTCGAGTTGGTGGGCGTCATAGCTCGCAAAGAGGTGAGAAGCTTAGAGCCACTTCCGCGGCTGTCTACTGATCCAGCAGCTGGCGAGTTCGGACGGAGAGATTTAGGAAAGCCGCCAGCAGAAAGGCCGTTGCCGGCTGAACTAGCACGGGCGCGCTTGAAGCTGCTCTCGCTGCTGGTGGAGTCGCGGCGCTTGACATGAGACTGGTGTGTGCTTGCTAAGCGGATGGTAGAGGCTCGGGGAATGTTAGCCTCTGAAGCTGCGCGACGTTCTCGTTTCGTGGGTTGAGGTGTTGAAGGAACAGGAGCAGGATCTGGGTAAGATGCTCGGCGATCGACCGGAGGCTCAGAGCGCAGGGATTTGCGGAGTCGAGGTCCGTCGTTCACGGGGGCAGCCTTGGGTTGAGGAGGCGCACTACGCATAGTAGTTCGCATCGTCATCGTCGATGCCACCGGTGCTACAGGAACTTCAGGCTCTTCCCACTTGGAGCCAGGCTTAATCTGATAGGTACGCTCGGGGATCACGCGAGCAGGGGCAGGGGCAGGGGTAGCCGTTTCTTTTGCCTTCCCCTTGGTCTTTTTCTTCCGGGGCTGCTCCTCCTGAGGCGGCGCCTGCTGCTGCTGCTGTTGCTGCTGTTGCTGCTCAAGCATCATCTGCCGAGCCGTCTGCACAGCTAAAGCCTGCCTTTCCGAGTTCCTCCTCTCAACCGACTTCTTCCTCCTGGGCTTCTCTACCGGTGCGCTCATTTCTTCCCTGTCACCTTCGATTCCAGCATCCTCCTTGGCTTCACGTTCCAGCTGGGCTCTTCGCTCAGCTGTAAGACTCCTCCAGTAAGCCTTGGCCCGCTCCCAGTCGTCCTCTTGAGGCGATTCGCCGGAGTGAGATCCAATGGCTGTCGTGGCGGTCGAAAGTGCAGGCACAAGACTTCGTGGCGGATCGGGAGGTGATGGGGTGTCAGGGACTTCATGTTGGCGGGAGTTGTTGGCTCCAGGGAAGTCCAAAACAGCATTGAGTGACTGAAAGCCCTCCCCTTCGGCCTCAGAAAGATCTTCATGGGCATCAGCGTATACACTTGAGTCATCCGATTCACTTTCCGATGTCGGCTGCGATTGGGTGCCTGTCGTCTGTTGTCCAGTAACTTGTTCGACACCAGTGGCCGAACTCTTGGACGTATCCGAATCTTCGGGAAACCCACCGGGAACTTCCACAAAGAATTTGGGCGTTTCGTTCTGACTCACTGGGGGGGTTGGCTGCGTCAAGGAGATAATCGGGATATTCGGAGCACTATTCCGTCGCCGAGCTTCCTCCTGAGCGAACCTCGAGTCGATAGCGGGGGTGTTTCCATTCTGGAAGGCCGTCTTGACGGGAGATACTTGTGGTGAGGATAGAGAGTTCCGGCGCGGTTGTTGTGGCGGGTCCATGAAACTCGGATATTCGTATAAACTGCCTGTCATCTCGGACGCAAGACTGGTCGACCCATCACTGTCGCTAGCATATCCACTGCCCTCCACCGACGTAACCACTGGTGGAAGCGGTTCTCTAAACCGTGAGATATTAGCTGGGCTTCGGACCCGCTCCTCGCGCTCCCTTTGAAGCACGCCACCTATAGCATAGTCACTGCTTTGCGCAAAGCTTTCAGCCATGGGGCTTAAGGGAAGTGGCGTATTGTATGGAGTAGTGTATGCAACATCTCCTATCGGTCGAAGTGGTCGTTCGTCCTCTTTCGCTTCCTGTAGCTGTGGTTTTCTGACATTCCTCACGCTGCCAAAGCTGGGAAGCGCCGGTCGTGGCTTCATAACCTCCTCATCGTCGAGTGTCGCCGACAAGTCCGCGTTTGCCCATCGACGGATACCTGTAGGGCTAGCCAGAGGCGGTGAAATCGATCGCTCTTTAGGGGCGGGCTCGGCGACGGCTGGTTGGGTTTCATCATCGAAGCTTACCCGCACGGACTTCTTCCGTTTCACGGGCCGGTCTGTACTCCATGAGGCTTCCGACGAGAGATCAGAAGGCGATGGGCCGCGGACGGGGCTGGTCTGCTTTAGAGCCGACTTTCGTGGGGAGACTGATCGGGGTGGTGGTGAATGCCTAACAGTTAGAGTATCTTGAACAGGTCCAAAATGTGCTTGTCGCGCCGGGCTTATTGACGAGGTCCGGTGAGGTTGGTTCTTCTTCTGAGACACTGAAGCTGCCCGTATCGGTAGCAGACTAGCTTGGGAAGATGACTGTATTGGTTGTTGTTCTGATTGCGAGCGGGTATGTGAGACTATCCTCTGTCGAGATGGTACCGAGTCGAGGGCACTAGAGACCCTCGATGTATTTGTCTCATCTGACTCTGACTCTTCCAACTCCGGCTCCTCCCTCACAATGGACGGCAACCTCCTCACCATTGGGCGACCATCCTTAGTTACGACCATTGGTGTTGATGTTGTTGGGTGATGGTGGTCGGTGATGACCTCTTCTTCAACCTCGGAGTCCTCTTCCTGTGGTTGTTCAGTCGACTGAGGTTCAGTAGCTGGCGAAGTTACAGCAGATCGAGAGGGTGACCGTTCTTCGGTCTCCTGGCGTGAGTCGTGTACTGCTGGTGACTGTTGAACAGGGGCTGGTACTTGTACCTGTGGAGCTGTCCTTGTCGTGCCGGTATTACCGGTCTGGTCGCTTGTTGGGACGTTACTCTTAGTACGACCCACGGTGCCTTGTGCGAGGTGTGTCCCAGCCTTGGGTGGGTGCTTCTTCTTCTTTGATCGGGTGGGTTGCTGCGATGCTGCTATGATGGCGTGTTCAACGGCGAGGAGGTCGGAACGTCTGATCATCCGACGGGAGTTGGGATCGTAGACCAATGTTTTGTCAGCGGCGGAGGCGGAGGAAGCTCGCGGTCGAGTGGAAGATGGGGTCCCCGCCTCTAATAATAGGGAACCCCTTGACCGCTGGGGCTGGACCGCCGATTGGGAATCTTGGGCCGGAAAGTCGGTGGTGCTGCGGGTATCAGCCGGGGATACTGGCGGTGAGCCGACCCTAACCCGGGCTGGATACGAGAAGTTGATGGATGACGCTCGACTTTCAGGCCGATCTTCCTGATGCATCGCAATCTGGGGTGGACTCGATGGCGGGCTTGCCATTGCGGGATCCGTTCTCCGGACGCTTGACAGGTCTCTCACTTTGGCGGGCCCAAACCAAGATGGAGCATCGTCCGTCCCCAGTTTCTGTGATGGGACGCGTTCAACGCCCATGCTTTGTGTTCTGCGGTGCGCACTCTTCTGGGGCGCGCCCGCCCCTGCCGTTCCAACGGTCGTGGCCACATTCTTGGGCAATGCTGGAACAGGGGGCAAGTCCTCGATGGACTGAGACTGGCGACGTCCGGAGTTTCTGCTATCGGGTCGGTGTGGACTGGGGCTTCGGAAGGTGCGTTCGGTCATGGAGCTCGAGCTCCCACTGCGCCGCAGGTTTGGTCTTCCGCGGGCATCGGGGTTCGTACGCGTGGATGCCACGGAGGCGCTGCGCCGGACGGTGCGCTTTGTCTGGACTTCGGCGACATTGGTCGGAGTGATGGGTCGGGCACGGAGGGCGGCGGCGGCGGCAGCGGCAGACAGGTTCGAGGCTTGTTGCGTTTCATTGCGCTTGAAGACGGCGGCGGCGGCGGAGGCAGCATTGGGATTCGCAGTCGCCGCGGTCAAAGGCTGTTTGTTGCGCGACATGGAATCTAGCAGTCAGCAATCGGGATTCCTTTCGCGACTGGACGGGACTGGACGGGACGGGGACCATAGGGTATCCGCGAAAGCATGGGGAAGGTAGGAATGGAGAAACAAGGGATAATTGAACAGCAGCTGGTTTGGTGGAGCGAGCTAGTAGTAGTGTAGGAAAGTGTAATTGCAAGCGTGTCATACATGCAGAATCATGGCGTCGCGAACAAAGACAACGATGATCGAAATGGGCACTGTCTCACTGTCTCGGGGGACAGGACCAGGCCGAAAGGAGGTCTAGAAAAGGGCCAATGACGACATACCGGATTGGGCGGCCGATGCCTCCGTGAGCTGCCGAACATTGTTCGAAAGTCGTATCCTCAGCTCGACAATCTAGTACCTCTACCTGGATGTCGCTGTCGTCGCTATCATGTGTGTGTGTGGTGTTTCTGTGTTCTTGTTCCAGGCCATCCCAAACCTGGCGATCTTGCTCATTACCGAGCGAGGCTTCTCATAGGGCGCAATCGAGGAATTAGTGGAGGGGACTCGGGTCGGCTGCTGGATGCGAGAAAAAGGAGAGATTGAAGGAGCCGTTGGTCGTCGCAAAAGGTTGATCGGGACGGAAGAGATGGAGGCTCGAGGGAGGGTCGGCGACGACACGTGTAGATGAGGGCGGTGATTGCGTGGTGTGGTGGGTGTGCTGGTTGTTTTTTGAGAGTGGCAGCGCCGGACTGCACGGAAAAGGAGGGTGCCGTTCCCAGAACGGGACTTGTTGTCGAGTGGTGGTGTGGTATCGAGAAAAAATGATGACGGAGGACGGGAGTTAACTGCGGTCGCAGTGCAGTTGCAGTGTGCAGCAGCGCCCTTCGTTCTTCGTCTGCACAGTGAGGTCTTCTGTCTTCTTGGTTTGCATAGTTAGGAAGTGGAAGGATGCGTGGAAGGTCGAAACCTAAGCCACCCACTGCAACCTACCGGACGGAGCCATGTGAGCCGAATCTCGTTCCCGCCGAGTCTGCCGTCCAACAAAAACTGGAACTTGCTTGTGCCCTGATGAGCTGACGGAGGTGACGATGACGACGGCACAGCAGCAAATAGCTTCACCTCCTACGCACGGGATCCCCGGATGTGAATTAAGTTATCATGGACCTCGTCAGCAACGGAAGCCCTGAGAAATGCCGGGATGGATCTTGAAAAAAATAAAAAGTGTATCGCCGTGTCTGTTCAACTCCACACCACATACGGGCATCCTGTCACGTTCAAAACTCCAAAACAATGGGGCACCTCACTGCGCTGCCCTGTGCCGTGCCGTGACGCTGGAGCCACATTTCCGCATTTCCACTTCTTGTGAACGTCGTCGTTGTCGTGAATTTGAAAAGCAGGAGCGGAGTTTCTCTCACGCTAAACCTCAAACTCACAAGGCTAAAAAACCAGGGGATTGGCAAACGCGCTAAGCCCGATTGAGGCTTTCACCACTCGACAATCCCAATTCGTGAATGCATGCGTCAGTGTGTCACTTTTTGGGTTTCCTTTAACTTTGTGTTTCCCAATCCCCTCCAGTCAGTCCCAATTCCCAAAGCACACAGCTGCCAAGTCAGTCCCGCGGTCCCCACGATTTTCCTGCATGTGCTTTGCTCGAATGGCTCTCCCGCCCTGCCGTGCATCGAACAAGCATCAAGCATTCTGTATGGCATCATACCTGGCTGGAGAAGATGACTTGCATCATGATCACCTTCTCACCTTCTTTGATCAATATGTATGCGCGGATCTGCCTTGCTTGACCTCTTGGCCTTGTTGGCCTGGCTGTTTGAACCCCATCTTATCCTCATTGTCTAACAACTTACTATCCCCGTTTGTGATCACCAACTCACAGGTAAATCTGTTCGCCTTTCCAAATGAGGATGGAGTATGGATTCACAAGGTTGCTCAACATGAATCCCAAAAAGTTAAATGCAACAGAATGCACCAACAAGTCTCTTCTCAAAACCCATCCGTCAAACCCTCAAACACTCAAAACACGTTTAGGTTCGACTCAGTCCAGCCAGCACAGGCGCCGTTCATCCAATCTGTCTGCTCGAGATAAACCATGTCTTTGTCTGGCGTCGCACGAAACGGTTGGGCTTGACTCTTGAGGCTTTGGCCTTGGGCGGGGTTTGTGACATCTGGCGATTGTCGAGAGCTCCTCTCGTTCGTCTCCACTTAGTGATCCCGTCATCGTTCGGGAAGCGCCGTGTGATGCCGGACCTCGGTTCAACGACACCAACAATGAACATCTTTTGTAGTATTACACGACTTAGATCAAGCCACATCACCGGATAAAAGGCATAAGTATGATTTTGATTTTCTAAACATTATCTGTGTGCTCTCTTGATCTATCCCTATGCATTTGCGATAACGTAGGTACATTGTTGCTGTCCTCTCTCTCTGTCTTTACCATTACCTAGCATTGCTGATCGTGTGATAGTAAGCTGTATACCAGAAAACCTCGTGTGTTAAACTGTGTTAAGCTGTGATCATCGTAGCTCGTAGGTCGTGTTTCGAAATTGCGTGAGCCGACCGAGCAAGTGGTATGCGTTTGGTTGTATAAGTGACTGCAACCCTCAAGCTGTAGTTGTTTTAACAGTTCAGTCTCTCCTGTTGTCGCCTAGACGTATCATCCGCACTCTTCATCGTATCCCTCATCACGTCGCCGGAGCACCGAGTCCTGATGCTTTAGCGGTAGAATCGCTCCTCCGGTCACTCATCTCCAGTCGCTGTGACTACTCCGACATATTTCTCCTGCGTCGGGCCTTCCTCTCCATATCATAAAATCCAGAACGGGGTATAAAACAACGCTAATATTGCTGCAGACTAATATTACAAAGAAATGGGGGCAAGGTGGTGGCATGGCCACAAAAGCCTTGGCTACGTCCCGCCCCCATCAGGTACCGTCGAGACACGGGGAACGTGATCTGGAACACGTTCATGTCGTTCGGCTTCTATTCCGTTTTCTGGCGGCAGATCTTCGTCCGGGTCGTAGTCGTCTTCCTCATAGTCGTCGTCGTCAAAGTACTCCTCGCTCTGAGTGCCTTGACTAAAGTCGCAGTTCATCGGAGCACCATGGCCACCCGAAGGTTGATGGGCATCCTGAACTCCATCGTGACCCTTGGTAGGCAGTTTGCTGTTTTTCTTCCCCTTGTGCTTGCCCTTCTTGAGCCTCTCCCACTGAGCCTTCCGCTGTTGTTCCAACTGGCGTTGCTTGCGGGCCTTGATCTCATATTGACGGACCAAAGCTTCAGGAGGGTGGCCGAAAATCGACTCGTACTCGCAAAAGTGGCATATCCAAATATCTTCAGGCTTAGGAGGGTGGCGCTTATTCCGTAACTGCGTCTCACGGCGCCGTTGTCTGGCCGCGGCAGCATACTCTTTGGCAGCACTCCTCCTCGTGGTTTTCGGCGCTGGGCCTTGCTGCCCTTGGCCTCCAGTGCCACTCTTGCCCTGTGCTTCCTTCCCTGCGGCACCTGTTGCCGAAGGAAGAGCGTGGGCATTACCTGACTGGTTACCAGGGGCAACACGCTGCCAATTCTCTTGTCCTTGTCGAGCCGATGACGGGGTCGGCATGTTGAGTCGTCGATCAGAGCCAGGCCAAGAGAGTGCGTTAGGACCGGGAGTGGTAAACGTGAACTGTGCGGACGCAGGGCGTTTCGGTGACAGTGAATTTTGCAAGAGACTTGTATTTTCAGACCCCGCCGGTGGGTTTAGCTTCTCTGCATTTGCAATGGCGTTGGATATGATTCCCTGGTTCTCGGCTACAAGGAGAGATATCGTCAGTATCTCCATCGTAACAAGATTTCGAGACAAATCAAGTGGAAAGGGGCCAGGGTAAACGTTGTCTGACTTACCTGAACTGAATGTCCATGGAACAGAGCGTAGCTTCCCGCCTCTTCCGAGCCAGTTGGTGTTCGAGTCCGACAAGGGCCTGAGCGGGCTCCTCCCGTTCCGCGGTCTGCCATATCGACCTCTACCAGGACCAGGCACATTCTGCAAGCCTGGCATATATCCCCCGGAACCATACTGAGGTGCCGAGCTCGAAGACGTTGTTTCCCCTTGGCCTTCAGAAGACTGAATAGAGGTGGTTCCGAATCCAGCATCTATGCCAACATGAACCCCGCCAAGAGCTGCATCACCTGCTGTAGGGATTTTCCTCTTCTTCTTGTTGTTTGTGTTCTCGAACGAGTCATACCCATCGATTGCTGATGCTGCAGAAACAGTAGTCTGCGAATTGGCCGATCTCTCCTCCTGTTCCGTCCTCGGTGACTGATGACCCTTGCGGTTGGAAGAGTCAGACACTCCGTCATCTAACAGGCTGTGGCCGCGGTCCGGTATGCCTTGTCTCGACGCAGTAGTATATCCTCCACCCTCTGCTACTGAACCATCTCTTCTTGATTGACGCGGGGCAATCTCGGCAACTCGCTCGCGAGGGGGGGTTGAACTCTGGTCTGGCTCGTCATCTCGGATACTATACAAACTCGGAAACAACGATGTAGAGATCGAAGGTGCTGGGGGGTATTGAATCGACTCCGCGGCTTCGGGGGTTAAACGGTCTCTCAGTGACCTCTTGGGCAGGGGATGGATTCTCCGTTCGCTTCGGTATGCGGGTGACACCGACACCGTATCGGCGGATGACATTCTTGTAACTTGCTCGAGTGCTCTGTTAGAAGCCAAGCGCAAACGAGTTAGCAACGACAATGAAAGCCATTTGATGAGTGAGAAGATGTCGTTTAAAAAGGCTAGCATCGGTGCCACACTGAACAATAACAAAAGAGCGGCGGGACGAGAAGAAAGGCTGAGTGCAGGGCCGGGACAGACATGTAGAGGCGGGGTTAGGACGGGAGGGAGTTGGCAGACTCGACTGAAGAAGACTCCGTTTGTTCATGCCACGTATTTCTGGGAAGCGGCCTTGGAAAGCAATCCAAGCATTGCAATGTGGAAGGCGCGCGCCTACGAACGTACCTTCAGGAATTCACATAGTACCCAGACAAGACGCTATCAGCTTTCGAAGGAGCGCCAGCCGCCGAGGCACTTGACACGGAAATGCGTCAACCCGAGGGGATTTCCTGGCTGCTATCAATCCGTATGATTGTGGGAGTTCTGTGATGCGGAGGATATCTTGGTAATAGGAACTGGGAGGAAACGCGGGCGCCGACGTCGCTTCGGATGTATCCCTTTCTGCCCAAAAAGACTCATCAGCACCGAGGCGGCGAGAAGGGGGGGAAATGAAGCCATACAACTGAGGGGGCAATCAGCTGCTAATCCCAAGCACCCACCTTCTTGGCTCGAGTCTGGCTCGTGCGGATATCCGGGGACAGGTTGCAGGCAAGATCGGTGAGGAGCTATGGGAAGGCCAAAACAAAAAGAAAAAGCCAAATTTTGTCAACAGTTCGTCCGAGTCAGTGAAACGGGTGTCGTGTATCGGTGGTGTTGAGGGGTGGAAAGCAATGGAGTTCAGTGGTTGGGATTAGGAGAAGCGGGTGTTCACTGTAGTGAGGGCGGGCGGGATGGTATGGCGGGACCTACACAGTAATCGACGCACCCTTGGCTGCCTTATGTAAGCATCCTTAACCAGTGGTTGTCTGGACAGTTTCGGGCTGCGGGTGGTTCAAGCCGCTTCGAAGACAGGCAAGTTCAGTCGCCCAGGGTTTCTCTCCATTACCATCATGATGACTTTCCGAGCGAGTTTCTTCATGAACGGACAAGTCTCACTCTTTATACTCGCCAAACGATGGCCATGCAACGAGCCTCGTGGTTGTTACAGCGACCCGACCTGACTGTTTCCTTCACTCACATGTTGAACCTGAATGGAGGCCGGGTTGTGGGGGGTACCTGAAGGTCGGACGGGGCACTGTGCTACACTATTCGAGCAAGAGCCAAGCGGTTTCCATCACAGAGCAGCGCTGCCATTCACAGTTGCATCTGATTTGATGACAACACCAAGCACTGTCATTTCCCTTCGAGGCACCCGACCCTACGAACGAAAGCCATTCGAAGACAGGAAATGCACTCTCACCTGCAGCCAGCAACAACCCCTCCCCTTCCCGTCGTCCCCAAACAATTTTCCCTTGTGTGCAACAACGAATTCGTCTTCTACCATCGTTTGCACACTCACTGTGTCATTCACTTCAACCCCTTTCGATTTTCAAGATGCCCCTTTTCCTCTTGTCGGTTCGGGCTGGACACGGGCTTCACTCAGCCATTGAGGCGTGATGTCATAGCACGAACCCTCCCCAGAGAGTACGGGTAATTCACCACTCTACGGCTTCTACATACGACTCTTATAGCAAGCAATGCTTGTTTACTCAACAGTCGACACCGAAAAATGAACAACATCGATGCCGGCTTTCGACGCCGCATCCCCGAGTTCATTAACAAGTCGAGCTGCCCATTAACTTTTTCCCGGCACCGGATTGGTCAACATGAGGACCGAGCTTCCAGATGGCCCCGCACGCTTTGGCGCTGCCGCTGAGGAGGAGTGAGGAGTGAGGTGCCGTGCCTGGAGCGATTGACAGTGACGGACGGGACCAGACCGGGGTTGGTGGGTGGGCATGGAAGAGAGTGGGCGCCCGGGCGGACAGCTTTCTGCCAAAATTTACTGCAAGCGAACAAGAGCGCCGTGCGGTGGTGCGTCGTGGTGCCGTGGTGCGGTGCGGTGGTCCCGTCTTTTCTTTGGGGCTGGCAACTCGACTGGGTCCCGGGCTCGCTTTCCACACTACCATGTACACACACCAAGAGAGACCAGCCATCGCTTCCTCCTCCCAGTGCCGTCCTCGCTCTCCTCTTCTCCGAAGATCCTCACCACGCACACCTTGGGTCATAGTCACCAAAACCCTACTTGTCGAACTTCGTTGTTCCCGTCATGAGAGATAGTCTACCACGGATCTACCACTTCGAGTACCGCCCCCCAATCTCCAAATTGGCCTAGCCAGCACTTCGGATCCCGTCATACACATCTCGACTCGTCGTCCTCCGTCCCCTCTTCGTCGTTTTTCCCACCTTCGTACCCGCTCAATATTTTACCAAGTTAGCAGGGAACGAATCCTGCTCTCGTGGACATCTAAACAAGCAAGCCGGCGACCTCCTCATCCCGAGCACGCCCTCGATTGAGCACCCTCCTCACTTGGCTGGATTTTCGACCTAAGCCCTCGCGATCCTCCACCGTCGGTCGGTCCATTCTCGACAATTTACGCTTTTCTACCACCAAGCACCGGCTTCAAGCTACGATCGAACATAGCACGAGTCTCACAACCTCGACATCCTCGATCGCCTCTTCGCCCAACAATCGTGTCAGATTTAATTCTACAGTCGAGACTCGGCCACGTCGAGTCCTCGCTTCTCCGTGTCCACATCGACAGACGACCGCGTTTATCCGGGTTTGCTCCCACCGTCACACCCCATAACTACTCACGACCATCCACATCACAATTGTCGAGCTTCAAGTAAGACAATATCGTTTCGGTGCTAGAGTGCGTCATCGTCCTCAGGCACTCCGAATACCCGACCGCAGCATCCCCTCCTAACGGGCCTGCGGATCGTGTTTCTCCTCTTCGGCACCAGGCGTGTCGATTATATACCCTACATACTTCGAGCTCCCGCCTTGAATGCGGCCCCAGCTGCAAGCAATGGCAGGGTCCGATCCGAGGCGGTCGTCAAGAGCGCGAACCTCTCACTCACAATCACAAATATCTTCTACCACGTCGAGCACGTCAGGTCGTGGTGAGCGCAGCACCAGGTATTTCAACAAAGCTGTCTCGCCACAAAAGTCAAGTTCCTCGGGATCGCTATCCTCCGAGGCCCCAGACGAGACAATTACAGCGGACGATTCGTTTGGAACACGACGTCGTACCCGCGGTCAGCAGGAAGAAAGAGAGAGGGCAAATAACAAGACTGAGCAGGTCGAAATGGCACACGGCGACGATGATGCCCAAGACGAGGACGAGGCCGTCCGTTGCATTTGCGGCTACGAGGACTACCCAGGCCCTCCGCCGTTCGACGAAGACTCCAAGCACGGCTTGAAGGACGGTATGGACATCGATCCCATATTCGCGACCGATGTCACCGACGATGCGGCCGGATTTTTCGTACAATGCGACATTTGCAAGGTTTGGCAACATGGCGCCTGCGTTGGCATCATGACCGAAGAGTCGAGCCCAGACGAATATTTTTGCGAAGAGTGCCGCAAAGAATTCCACAAGATTTTCACAGCGAGCAACGGGTAAATCTCACATTTCTTTGGTCCCGGGGTTGCATTGTCGGGAGCTGAACGTCAAGAGTTCAGCTGGAGTGCGTCAAAGCCCACCACCCCTTTGACACTGCCTCACTCTCCTTACAATATCCTCTCCCCCATCCACGACAATTGTCAATTTACTCTCCAGTCGGCTAACAACATGATTCACAGACAACGTTATTCGCACTACCTACCCACCAAGCGCCCCTCTCGAACGAATTCTAGATCCGCCTCTCTCAATAAGGATGGCACGAGATCACCGCCCAAAGATAAACCGGAGGGCCGCAACGGACGTGGTACGACCACTTCCTCCGCGTCGAAGCGAAGATCTACAATGAACAGCCGAGGAGCTGACTACGACGAAGCTGAAGCCCTGAGACGGGCGATTGAAGCAAGCAAAGAAGACGCAGCTCCTGAACAACCCGAAACTACCACGAGAAGAACAAAGCGAGGCAGAAGCGATAGCGAAGAGTAGGTCCAACCTCCTACGCTGCCTGACACCAATTATCGCTAACCCTCTTCAAGAAAGCCAGAAAACAAGAGGCAGAGGACGAGCTCGCGATCGGCCTCTCCTAGCCTCGACAAGACCACCGAGGACTCTGACGACGCCGGTACAACGACACGGAATGGTGCAAAGTCTAGATCGCGGGGCGGCGCAGCAGGCCGCACTCTGCGCACCGAGAAGACAACTGAAAGAGAGGAACGGGAACGACAAAGGGCTGAGGCAGCAAACAAGCGAAAGGGTAGAGCCGAACGCCGGCGAGCTGATGGTACGGAAGCCACAACTCTCGTGAAGACATCTGAAGCTGACATGGACACAGATTCAGACCCTTCGGACGAGTTACCACTAGCAGCTCGTGCCGCAGTAAACAAGACACCCGCTACAACGACACCGGCCGCAGCCACTACCGCAGCAACCACTGCTACGACAACTACTACGGCAACCCCTGGCGCCCCGGAAGAACCGGTAGAACAGGAAGAACAACCACCAGCGGTACCCGAGCCCCCTCCTGCCTCACAGTCGACTCCAGAAGACCCTCCCGCTGCGGCTACCCCAACAGCCAAGATCGACAAGAAGCGATCGCATAAGAAGAAGGGTCGTAATCAATATACGCGTGATGATAACGAGCCATCACCCGCGAGATCGCAGTCAGGGGAGGCACCGGCCGAAGTACCACCTCCTCCGAAGCCAAGTAAGGCCGAAGAGAAGACTACTGGACACGGCAAACACGGGAAGAACAAGGGTGGTATGAGCAGCAAGATCACCATGACCGACATGAAGAGGAGGGCCGCTGCACTCCTAGACTTCATTTCGCGGACCCAAGTCGAGCTTGCTGGCGAGTCGCCGTCGGATGATGATAAGACCAACGGCAACAGCGTCACACCACAGGTGACCTCGAACTCTGAAAAGCCGTCGTTGGCAACAGGCATTGTTGGGGTCAATGGCTCGACCCCATCCGTCGTCATGACCTCCGAAGGGCAGCTAGAAAAGGATTTCAAGGAACTCAACTGCGTGGAGATGATGGATAGCTTGACCCGGAGGCTGGTCAAGTGGCAGCAGGAGTATACAGTATGATACAATGAGCGGATAATGGATGTTATACTTGATGTGCATGTGGCATGGATCACGTCGGATAAGGGCTGATGATTTCCAAATTTTTTCTCCTGTTTTTCCTTTTTTTTGGTTTTCTTTGTCTTGGTGTTTTTCTCGGGCAGAATGGTGTTATCATTAGGCAGGTTTTGCGGCAATCGGATGCTTGGGAAGTTTATTGAAAGTACTCGGGGTAGCTGTTCCTCCCTTCCACCACCTACTGAAGACGTAGGCGGGTGGGTGGTGAGGCCAGCGATGCATTTACTGGGGCGTTTCTTGGTTTAATCAGGATAACTGGTGATAGGACGGCGTGGTGGGCATCATTGATAACGGAGTATAGAGTTTCCAAAATTTCATCACCTGGGTTTTGCTATAATGCTCTTTTCGTTCGTGGGTATCAACCATCATGCTCTATCATTGTTATCTGGTCTTCAATGCTATGCTCGTACTATGCCATCCCTGCTCGTGACTCATGCTATGCTATTAAATCATTATCGTTTCGACTTCATACCGTACGTATATCATCCATCCACTTTTCATTGCACCCCTTCATTTTTCTTTCCGTCTCTCGCAAAACAGCAAACAGGCCCCTGTAACACCCACCGCAAAATCAAATCAACTCTGCTTCTCCCTCACATCCCCATTCTTAATCCCAGACGACGTTCTCGCCAGTCCCCTCTCAACATCAACATCAACATCAACCTCTCCCACCCTCTCACTCTCACTAACCCCTCCCTCACCACCCCTACCACCCTCCAACACCCCATTCCCCTCCCCTTCCCTCCTCGCCCTCTCCTCCACCTCCTCCTCACTATCCTCCGGTTTCCCCGGCCTACAAGCCCACCCATCCACAAACCTCAACGTCTCCCTCCCCCAAATCCTATTCATGACCCACAGCCTCACGGGAACCAAAATAATAATAATCACCGGGAAGCCGGGAGCCGCCACCGTCAACGTCACACCAAAGATGATTCCCGTCAACACGATTTGGGTGAGAGTATACCCGTGCACCGCCCATCTCGATATTTGAGGGTTGGGTAAAGGTGGGAGTTCGCTGGGGGGAGAGAGTAACTCGAAGAAGCGGGGGAGGATCGGGTTGACGGAGAGGGATTGGTAGCCCATGTACATGAATAGACCCGCGAGAACGGAGGTGGGGGTGAAGCCGAGGAGGTGTTGGAAGGGGGGGCTGATGAAGACGAGGATGAGGGCGGATTGGAGGAGGGGGGAGTAGCGCTGTTCGTGGACGCGGGGGATTAGTTTCTTTTTCTTGGGTGGTGGCGGTGTGGTGGTGGTGTTGAGGTCGGGGGATGATAAAGTCGTGGAGGAGGAGGACGAGGAGGAGGGTGAAGAAGCAGGGGAGGAAGCCGTGGTTAAAGGCGAAGAGTCAGAATCAGAGTCCTCAGCGTCAACTTCCACCCAATGACGCAGAGACTCCGAATGCAACGGTGCCTGCGGCAACAACCCGTTCGCAGGCGGTATGCCCAAGATGCCGCAGAGCGCGGTGGTCGTGCCTAGCAGGACAATGTCCCAAGCATACCCGCCCGGTTTTTTCACGCCGTAGCGCTCAACAGTGCAGATAATGCTGCTGATCTCGTGGTCAAAGTAGAACAGCACCGTGATGATGAGTCCGGGGATCATGGAGATGAACACCCACTCCAGTGGCAACTCCCAGAACCTGACAAAAAAAGTGTCGCGGGTCGGGCTCGTGGGCCGGAAAGTCTTTGAGATGGAAAGCCGCTCGTGGTCGAGATTCGCCAGCTCGCCCATGTAAGGGACGCCGATGAAGAAGATGATGGAGATGGCGGCCGCGTATTCGGCTAGTCCCATGCGGACGATGCGCCCGAATAAGGGTTTCCATTCTAAGGCGGTAGACAAAAAAATGGCGAGGAGACAGGTGCCGAAGGCGCCGATAATGGAGTAGAGGAAGGCGTCGAAGGGGACGTTGTCGTGGTTCCGTTTGAGCTCGAGGCTGGCTTTCTGGAAGTAGATGACGGAGTTGAGGAGGGAGAAGATGTCGGCGCTGAAGTTGGTGACGTATTGCATGGTGTAGTCATGGGCGTTGAAGATGGCGAGGAGGTAGTGCATCCAGGCGGAGTGGATGAGGGACCAAGCCATGACTGGGAGGAAGGGGACCTTGATGGTGTTAGTGATTGTCTTTTGACATGTTGACCATCACGATGGTGGTGAGGTGTCGTCGAGTCACTCACATGAAAGTTATTTGTACAAAGTTTGTACATGTTCTCTGCCAGAACCGAAAAGGGACCAGTGACGCCCAGGATAGTCAAAGGTTGTGCAGAAAAGAGGGAGAAGATGAGACCGCAAAGGCCAGTGCTAAAGACAACTTCGATAGTGCCCCATGATTCTCCGGTGAGGACAAAGAGATCGTTGGCAAAGGTGATGCCCGGGAGGATGTTGGTGAAGAAGACATAGACGGCACTGGCGACAACCAGCTGGTTGAAGACTGTCCAATCCGAAACATATCTCGAGCGAAGGTTGTGTATGTCCTGCCTCAATAACCTGAATGGTTGGAGCTTCCCTCCTTTCCTGAACTGGTTCGAGACCGTGGCCAGCCATGAGGCTTTGGCCTGTGGCTTCTCCAGCATGTCGGGTTCCTGCTTCGAATTCAAGCAGCAGTGAAGCGGTTGATGTCGATCTCGGGAAAATAAAGTTGGTTGACGGCGGGGGGGAAACCAATAGTGGTTGGCTGTTTGGACTCGACTTATATATGTATATAACCGGGACCAAAGTCGGCAAAGGGAGGATATTAGATGTTAGTGTAACACTGGGGAAGCGACACACGAGGGAACCTTTGTTTCCCAAGCTCGGTCGTGGAAGGTTCGATCTTTTATCTCATCTTTCGGCCGTTGGCTGCGTATAGACAGGAGATGTGAGAGATCTCACCGCGTCTTCAGGACAGAACTCCGTGTAAGATACTGAGTGTAGATAGAGAGATATCGAGCTAACAGAGCGGTGAGAGAGAAAAGTTTGAGTATAGTATAATGTCTTAAAGGGAAAGAAGGGTAGGGTTCAAGACTAGCATAGGGGGACACTCCGGCCTAGATCTTTCCAGACTACGCCGATCTCATGTAGGTTAACACGAGTATCGGTAGGGATGGGCCAGAAGGACCGAAAAGAACCCCTATCCATGACCACCTCTGGGGGGTTTCATGGTGGGCAGTGTTCAGGATTGAAGAATCTTTTTTCCAGTCTTTTTCAGGGCATGCCCAATCGCGCCCTTTCTTCCAAGACTCTTTGGTGTTCTTGGCAAGAGCATTGGGGCAACAATGCGAGCAGGCGCGGACAAGGCCGTCCTTCGACTCTTGTCTTCGTCAGAGCGCACGTGCCACCGCTGTCCTTGATGCCCGGCCTTGAGTCCACAAAAGAAAGTTCAAAGATGCCCCACAAAATCGCAGATCCGGACCATTGCCCGCTTTCGCTTGTGACAGGGGCTGCAAAAGCCATTACGTCACTGCTCAACCCACCATCACCAGCCGTTGCACATGTTCGGATGAGGAAGGCGGTCTCGACAATTTCCTACCAGCAGTCCAGCACAAGTCCATAAGTGCAAACATCTGATTGATATTGAATGCTTCGAATCACGACATCAAGCACAGCCGCTGCCGGCTTGGCTTGAAAGTGTCGAGGAAAAGGTCAAACACTGACAGTTGAAATATCCCAAGCGGGAGCTAGGCTTTTATGCCCTTATCGGAGGATGATCTGCCGATAAGCAATTATCCGTTATCAGAACTCAAACTCTAGGCTTGACCCAGGATCGTGAAGTTTAGCACAGAGGATCAACAATGAGACCAGGACACAGCCTTAGCACTCTGAAAAGTATGCTATCGCCAACCACAAAGATATTTCTCCCACCATAAGCGCATTCCCTGAAACGAGAGCGACGACGACGACGACGCGAAACCGAGCGAGACTTGCCCCCAGGCGCATTCGATCCGGTCCGGCATAGGGCGAAACCGAGCTCTCCGCAGCACCGAAACATTCACGAGATACACAATGTCTGGCACAATAACTGGCAAAGTAGCAGCCGGCGCAACGGCCGCCGTGGCTTCGGCAGTCGAAAATGTTGCAAGAACCGCAACCACCCTCACAGCCGGCGGCGGCTTCGCACCGCGCGAAGTCTACGAATCCTCGACGCAAATCACCCGCTCCTACTACCTCGGCCACCACGCCTCCGCCCTCAATAAAATGCGCCAGACCATCTCGAACGTCGGCCTGATCATCGAATGCCGCGACTTCCGCGTGCCCATCTGCTCGTGGAACCCGCTCCTCGAGCGCAGTCTCGCGGCCTCCGCCGCCGGTGAGCGCTCCCGCATCATCGTCTACACCAAGCACGACCTCGGTCCGCCCTCGGGCAACTTCACCAAAGAGACCTCCATTGAAGGCTACACCAACGGCCGCTACCAAAGCGGCAAGGACATCGTCAAGACCCTCAAGAAGTTCCACAAAAACTCCTACACCACCAAGGACGTCATGTTCCTCGGCACCTCCGCGGGCGCCCGAAGCCGCAACGACGCGCCCAACAACGACAAACACCTCCTCGAGTCCATCAAGCGCATCGCGCGCGAAGCCGACTCCCTGACGGGTATGCGCACCATGGTGGTCGGCATGCCCAACAGCGGCAAGTCCACCCTGCTCAACCGGCTGCGCGCCAAGGGAATGGGTCTCCCTAAGGCCGCGCAAACCGGCGCCACACCGGGCGTCACCCGCAAGATCGGCACACCGGTGCGCATCATAGCCGGCGAATCCGCCGACGACCCGAGCAGCGCCGGTCTAGGCGAGGGAGTCTTCATCATGGACACCCCCGGAGTGTTCATCCCGTACGTCTCGGACCCGGAGGACATGCTGCGCCTTGCTCTAGTAGGGTGCGTCAAAGACGGCGTGATCCCCTCCGTCACGGTGGCCGATTACCTGCTTTACCATTTGAATCTGGTCGACCCGAAGCTGTACACGCGCAAGTTCGACTTGGGCAAGCCGACCAACGACGTGCACGAGTTCCTGCGGGCGGTGGCGACGCGCACGGGTAAACTGAGAAAAGGGTCGGAGCTGAACCTGGAGAACGCGGCCGACTGGGTGGTGCAGGCGTGGCGGCGCGGAGACCTGGGCCGGTTCGCGCTGGAGAGGGTCACGGAGGAGACGCTCGCGCAGGCGGTGGAGAAGTCCAGGGAGCCGACGGTGAGTATCAGCCAGGCGAGGAAGAGGGAGAAGGAGCAGAGGAAGGTTGCGCAGCAGATGAAGTGGGCGGGTGTGACGGCGCCGCCGGGTGGGAGTGTTGTGTAGGTGCAATTTTGAGCCTGAAAGAAATGTCGGGGGTCCGGTTGGGGATGAGTATGACTCCGCTGAGGAATGCAATTTGAAAGAGTACCTCTACACTCCTCTCTGCTAGATAGAAGGAAAAGAAAGACAAAAACATTTGATACCCGCCTCCGTAGAGATTAGGATGGCTTCATATAAGAATAAATAAATTTTGGATAATCACTCTTCAAATCGACATTTGTCTTTGTGCCCTGCACTCATATCTCTGCTTTGCTGAAGGATAAGGAGCCCACGCTGTGAGAAATGCCAAAATACAAGCTCAGTATATTCTATTCAATTGTGACTCGAGTGCAAAAAGTGCAACATCAATACAAGAACACCGAACTCAAGCATACCTGGATTGCTTTTCTCATTTCTGCACAACGAATTTCAAGGCAAAAAAGAAGGCCAATTAAAATGGCCAACAGGAGAACATGGCCCCAAAACATATGAAAAGAAAAGAAAAAAGAAGTTTTTGGTGATCATCGTGCGACGTGGGCCTGATTCGAACAGACGCTCCCGAAGGAACAAGATTTCTAGTCTTGCGCATTAGACCACTCTGCCACCACGCCAATTGTTGTAAACTGGTTCCGACTGTTGCACCTATCAATGCATTCCTTCCACAACATTCATGGTTCAATCCAATCATTAATTGGTATTCGTCATCATCAGGTCATCAAATCATCCATCTACATCAATCAACATGTCCGTCATTTACTTCCAGTTCTTGCCAAAGAACTCCAAAACAGTCTTGTACCCCCTGATATACTCGCTCTTGACGCGCTCATCCTTCAGATCGGCCCGCGCCGCCATCCACCCGTGGATCTGGTCTTTGAAGGTCTCAACGTGCTTGGGCACGCTGAGGTTCTGCTCGAACTCCTTGACCTTGTCGTCGGGCTCCTCCTTAGAGGCGAGCATGATCAGCGGCACCTTGATGCCCTTGGCCTCCTCGGGGTCGACCATGGCCGGGTGGCACTCGGCGGCGACCGAGAAGGGGTTGGTCTCGGCGTTGGAGGTGATTAGGGAGACGACCTTGCCGCCCCAGCAGTACTGTTTGTTGTCGCAAGTCGGTCAGCTGGACTGCCTAGGCTGCCGTGTGCACATAGATAAAAGGTACGAAAAAGGAAACTTACACCGATGATACCCCAGGACTTAATGTTGGCGTGCTTGGCGCTCAGGGTCTTGACAAAGGCAGGGAGCTTCTCGGCGACACCCTGGGGAGGGTTCTTGCCGAAGAAGGCGCCCAGGTTCTTCTTCTTCTCGTCGTTGTCGGGAGGGTACCACTCAATGGGGCAGGGCTCGCCCTTGAACCAGTCGGGCATGAACACCTTGTATTTGGTGTCGTCACTGGTGGCCAGGATGTCTGCGCCCTGGATGGTCTGGTCGAAGTAGCCGAAGATGTCGTAGATGACGACGATGCCCTTGGTGGCATCATCGGGGCCGGTGACATAGGTCTTCAGACCATCGTACTCGCTGTAGGAACCCTTGGGCTTGTAGCCGGAGGTGACGACGGGAGGGATGTTGCAGCTGGCGATCTAGTGTTAGCCGGTTACTTTCAGGATGGGTAACAAGAGGGGCATCACTTACCAGGCCTCGTTGTGGCCGTGGCAGGCTTGCATAGTAGACATTTTGGCTGTTTGCACCGGTGCTGGTTTGTTAACGAGGGTATTCGCAAGGAATTGAGTAGAAATGGGTCGTGGATGCGCAGTGGTCTGTAGAGCAGCACTGGCTGAAGCAGCTTGGGATGTGCTTGTATGCAGAAGACGCGAATAGGCGCTGGGTCGCGATACAGAAGAAAGACTCGCAGAGGTAGTAGATGGCACGGAAGCCGTAAGACGGAACTGATTGGGAGCAGGCATACCTTCGATTATACCTTGATGAGGCCGGGAGTGTATATGTAGGTCCTGAGATCCAATGTTTTCATGTTATGTTTATGTTCCATAATCACCATCGCAACCGCGGCGCAACACTTACACGGCAGGGGCACCGGTGCAAAGGCGGGGTAGCTTCCTTCTCCCGGTTTCCTCTGATGTCACCAGCACGTCCGAACAGCTTCCCGAAACCCCACCTTCCCGCCCGTCTTCGAGAAGGAGATGACTTCAATCGGGACTTTAATTGCCGACCACACCTGACCAATCATGTTCCACCGTTGCCCTTGTCATCTCAGGGCCAAAAGGTCGATATCGGACGCCAAGAACATTTCTCTTCCTCCATTTCTTCAACCGACTCCAACCACCTCTGAAGTCTGAACACCATCCCGTCTCACCCTCCATCAACCAGGCGGCCGCCTCACCACCTGCCCTCCATGCCGACCCGTCTGGTTTTTTTTTTTTTTTTTTTTTTTTTTTTTTTTTTCGAATTTCGGATTACCTACACTCAGCTGTTTTCCCGAGGAGAGAATGAACATCGGTGACACATGACAGGCTTTATCTGCGTCTCGATCTGATCAGATAAAGATGGACTGGAGGTGGAAACTGGAAGTCCCGTCACTTTGCGATGACGATTTGGATGTCAGATTACACTCTTTATCGCCAAAGACAGCGCGTTCTAAAAAACAAATAGCACGAACCCACCGGCCTTTTCCCATTCTTTTACAGTCTCTTTCGCCTCAACACCCTAAAACCATCACCGGCACCATCGCCATCGCCGTCAACATCACTGCCACCACCACCATGCACCTTCCTGAAAAGCTGTTCAGTCTTGTTCAGCCCATATCCCGTGACCTAAAAGTCTGGCAGGCACTTCAAGTTCACCACTTCGTGCGATAGGCCTCAGCTAGGCGCTGTTGATGGTGTATCCCGATTTCCTAATATCGGCGACCGCCTTCATCACAACGGCAACCTCGCTCGCAAACCGAAGCTTCTGGTCCACCTCCGAGATGGGCACCCAGAAAGCCTCGAGCTTTTCATATGCCTCCTGCGTCCCACTCTCTCCCGTGGCCGTCGAGTCAGCCGTCGCCACGAAGAAGAAGACGGCCTTGAGCGCTTTGGTATCTGACTGCGGGTCTGGATAGAGGCAGGCACCGACGAACTCGGTGCTCATGTGTCCTTCGGTGATCTGAGGGCTCTTCTGTGGTGCCCCATCCACCCCTTCGTCGACGGTAGGCGGTGTTGCTCTCGTAGCAATGTTGAGCTTCAACGGCGTCGCCCGCACTCCAGTCTCTTCGTACGTCTCGCGTAGAGCCGCGTTGAGCATGGGCTCGTCAATGTTTCTTCGACCCTTGGGCAACTGAAAGATTTGGAGGTTCCGGTTCCAAATCAACAGCACCTTTCCGCGGCCGAGGTCAAGCGTTACGGTGCCGCAGGAAATCACAAAGGCGTTAGCTGGGTGAAATACCATGCTGGCATCAATGCCATCCAGCCATGGCTGAAGATCGATTGCCATTGTGCTGTCAGTTCTGTTGTTGATTCTTGGTTTTGGTGTCTCTGGAGGCCGGTGAGGTTCACTGCTGCGGGAGAAGTTGTCCTTGTGCGTCGTGGGAGCACCGAGGAACTGCTTAAAGATGCTCAATATATATGTTTGCCAGTGTAAGGAATGAACGAGCTGAGATTGATGCCTTCTAGTCGCACCACAGCTGTGACAAGTCTCATTTTGTAGATCACGCCATGAAGCAAGTCCTCAGTTGCGGAAGCAGCTTTCTCGCCTTCTCCCAACACTAATACTCAAGTTATATTAATAGTACTTTCCATCCCTATCGCCTGCAGACCGAGCGGGTCAGAAACACGCCATGGTACCCAGTACTCCGGGCCACTTCGTCCTGATGTTCTTCAAACGCCGGTGAGCGACAGTAGCAACCGGTCAATCTGCAGGGCTGATCCGGAGCATGGGTTCACGGACTGAAAAGGAAGCAAGCGCCTACCGGCACACCATCGTGATGGGACCCATGGAAGCGACCAGTTAAGGCCTGTCCCCCACCTATCTATGCAAAATATTAACCACGGACGCGAACTTCGAGCCTTGTGTCACGACCCCTGTTCGCAGACCTACGTACAGTATCGCCCTGTCGTGCTGCGAGTTCGACGGTCCGATACAGCTCCACGTGTTGTCCTCCTTCTAAGTCGTCAGTCTTACCACGGCCTGTCGTCGAATCAACACAAAGCGGCGTTATGTGATACTTTGGAGTAGAAGATCATGATGTTTCGCTTGAGCAATCAAAACGTCGACTTGATTCACAGCATCCTGGTGACGATGATGGCTCGTCATTCCACCGTATCACCATCAGATGCCCGATGCTGTACATTGCCCAAAACTGTCATTAACTCACGATTGCCGGTACAAGCCAAACGCTTTCTTATAAAACCGGAGCTTAGCCCATTTGCCCGGTAAGCACTGGGTCACCGAATTTCACCTGATGATTACAGCGGCGCATCTGTCCCCTGTGTCGACAAGCTGATCTTCACCGGGGTTCTCTGCGGTTGCCCGCCATGCAAACATTTTCCCGAAGAGGAAATTCATACAGATCCGTCTTTTCGGGGTAGCTCACCCGATATACGGAAACGCTTCTCCTACGTACCCCTCAGAAACCGGAGGCCAGTCGCTGGTTCGCATTCACTGAGCCGCCAACATACATCCGCTCCCATCTTTTCTACGCTGTCTTATAAGTCCGCACATATGATAACCACCAAATCTTGTCCACCTCCCCCCTTTGACCGGTTGAAAGCTGGTACGCTCTGCGATCCTACCCCTCCGGCCTTGTACTACCAACTTTTCATTTCCATTCGCAGATGGACCCCCGCGGAGGTCTTACAAGCCATTCATTTGCCTATCCTCTCAGAGGAATGGGCCCATGTCACCCGCCAATTGGGCTTGAGCTTGCCCTGAGAAATACTTTGGCGGTTTTGACTAACTTCTCGGCAGAGTAAAAGTTGAAAACGCATACACATCCACCTGCCACGTTAGATAACGCTCTGAGAAGCCGTGCCCTTGGATGCTACGCTGCCCAAGCATTGCAGAAAGCATTGGGAGGTTAGTCCATATTATAACGACGGAACAGGAACCCCGAGAATACATCCAAAGTAATGGTCCGCCGGCCAATGCGAGGTACCATTCGACCACCACAAGGGGCAAATTATCGAGCACGATCGGAACAACTTTCCTGTCTCGCCTTTGATCAAGAGGTCCAGACTGTGGAAGTCATCGCAACTTCTGCGTGCCCAGAAAATAGGGTGTGCGGACCTCGTCGCTCCCGGCGTAGTCCAGGGGTTGCCTTCTTTCGCTTCTGCATCACCGAGTTCGTATAGCTCAGGAACAGCCATCCTACGTACCATCGGCCACTGATCTCTGTCATATATCCGTCCGGATCCCGCATCAGGTCAGCCGGAGAGTGTTCACGATGGAGGCTGATCTTGGTTCGGACCGACACCATTCCCCGCAAGCAGGTTCAACGGTTATGTGCTTATAATCGCGGAATCCCCTATCCTCGCAAGCGCCCTTCAGGGGAAACGTAGAGGTGACGAGATATTTGCGTTCCAGCAATACGACGGCAGGGATGTCAAACTTCGGTAAACATGGGGAAAGCGGGTGAAATACGGGCTCAGCCGCCCGATGAGTTGCATATACCACAAGCCGGGGAGGATACAGAAGAAGATTCCCGAACGCTACCTATAGCAGGGGGAGAACCAAGGAAGAAGCGCGATGAAGGAGCTTGGCAATGACCGGTTAGATCTAACGTGCAACAAAGTGTCGACGATCCGAATTCGAGCTCAGAAAAGCACGCATCTACCCAGACCGATGTACGGGCATATGCCAGGGCAGCCATGATCGTACACTCATATATCACATTTGATTAGAACCATCGTCCCGTTCTCATCACGATGAAGGGAAGGGAGGGTAATGAGAGTGGGGGTCACACTTTTCCCAGACGCAGGCACAAGGCACCAGACACTCACACAGACCGGGATGTGGGAAGACTAATGCGAAGCAACGAAGGACAGACAAGGGGCGGGAAGGCCGGACAAGGTAGATCGTCATCATCATCATCATCGGATGTCAAGCATTACGATGGTACACGGAGAGCAAGGAAGGAAAAGTCCGGGCCCGATACAGCATCTCATGCAGCAGCTGTGTACACTAGAAGTGGGCTCATGAGTGCAGCTTGTAAGGGGGCATGTTGAGAGGCTCTGCCGTACAGTTTTTTTTTTGTAAACAACCCCCGAGGAACAGGCCGGAAGATTCAAGAACATTGATCTTCAGAAGAGAGCTTGATAATGAAAATGTCGGGAGCACCTGTCTATCAATATAGATATTCATCATCATTGCCGGTCTAACGAAATATCACTTGCACTTAAATTTATACATGACGCCTGTTAAGGTGTTATCACAAAGATGCCCACGCCCATTGATCCACAGACGAAGACACTTTTGTTTAATTTCGCTTGCTCATAACATTTCCTATCACTCATTTTACCTTTTCCTCATTTTCTATACGTAACCTTCAAAACATCACGTTCTCACAACCCCCCCCCCCCCCCCCCCCCCCCCCAAATCTAACCACATCACCACATCCCATCCCACCCCACCCCCTCTCAACCCATCTCCACTCCCCACTTCCAACTCAAGTACAAGTATACCCCCCATCAACCCTCAAATCCGCCCCCGTCACATACCGACTAGCATCCGACAACAAGAACGTCACAGGACCCATGAGATCCTCAGGGTTCCCCATCTGGCCCTGCGGGATCAGCGAAGTCCACTTCTCCTTCAAGTCCGGGTTCTCATCCAGAATCTTTTTCGTCAGAGCAGTGAGCATGTAACCGGGGGAAATGCAGTTGACGCGGATCCCCGCTTTGGCCCATTCTACCGCGAAAGAGGCGGCCAGATGGCGGACGGCCGCTTTGGACGCGTTGTAGGGAGTCTGGGGTTGCGGGACGTTGACGATGGAGCCGGACATGGAGCCTATGAAGACTAGAGAGCCGGGGGAGGAGCGGTCCATCTATGTGTACAGGGTCAGGGTCAGCAAAGACATGACTTGACCATAAGATTTTACGGTTTCTGCCGTGGGCCCCCAAGCGCAAGGCGAAGGAAGAGAGGAAGAAGAAGGAGGAGGAGGAGGATGGTAAAACTCACCAAGTGCCTGGCTACTGCTGTTGCGAATAAGTAAGTTCCGTCAACGTTGACGCCCCAGAGCTTGCGCACCCTGTCTATTGGGTAGGCGGTCGCCTCAAAGTTCTCGGTAAAGCCGGCCGAGGTGACCAGGTTGTCGATCTTGCCGTGCTCAGAGATGATCTCGGCGATGCAGGCGTCGACGGAGGTGGGGTCGGCGACGTCGGCGTAGTGGGCTGTTACTTTGGGGATTCTGGGAGGGTGTTAGTATACTCAAGAAACAAGGAAGAGAGGAGGGAAGAGAGGAGGAAAGGGGAGGAGAGGGGAGGATACGGACTTCTTGGCGGAAGGATAGTCCTTCTTGAAGGTCTCGACGATGTTTTCGGCTTGTTTGGTTGCTTCTTCTTCTGTTTTTGAGAGAGGAGGTTGTCAGCTCTATCTTCTTGAAGTTTCGGTACCTTCCTTCATCTTCACTTCACCTTGCCCGTTGTCTCTCTCTCTTCTCGTTCTTCACCCTTACTTCACTCCCCTCCCGACCCCCTCCTCTTCACGAACCTCTTCACGGCCCTCTTCACCACCCCTTTTCCTTTCCAAATCCCAATCCCCCCTTTAATATCAATCTCATAGACCCCTCCCCTCCCTTCCTCACCCCACCCAACCTCCAGAAAGAAGAAAGCAAAAACTCACTATTCAAATCAACAATAGCCAAATCCCCACCACTAACCACAATCCCCTGCCCCATCACCAACCCCAACCCTCTCGCTCCACCCGTCACCACGCCCACCTTCCCTTGGAGGGAAAACGTCGCAAGCGTCGGGAAGACATTCTGCCCCGCTCGACCGATGCCGCTGTCCACTGGCCGCGAAGAGGGAAGCTGTGAGGAATCATCGGGGTATTCGACGGTTATGGAGTCGTCGGTCCGGGCGAAGGCTCCCGCTTCCGGGGGAGGGGCGGTAGTGGTGTTCTTCTTCTTCTTTTGGAGGCGGGTTGCGCTGATGTGGAAAGCTGCTCTTTGGATAACAACTCTAGAGGGGAGGATGGTTGGGCGGGAGGCGGAGAGGATGCTCGTGCTTGCCCGGAGGGCGCGGGGGAGGGCGCGGGTTGCCATTGTGAAGGTGATGATGGGTTTCTGCTTGTGGCTCTTCGCCGTTGAGCTGTTCTGTGGGAGCTCGAGAGCTGGAGGCTTGTCTTCGTTGTTTGGGTTATGGCTGTTGGGTTGGGAGAATGTATAAGTGACACAGCTCGATATGGAAGCTAGGGAGAGCTTGGCGGGGTAGCTGTCGATCCCAACCTACTGTCGATGGCGTCAGTGCCTGACCTCGAGATATTCCAGGTCCAGCAACAACAAAGGATGAAGTCGTCTCGAGGTGGGAAAGACTATTTTCTTGTATCAAACTTTTGGTACCTGGAAAAAGATGAAATTTCCCAACACAATCTCGAAAACTTCTGCTACGTACTCGTCGGTTAGGTGCACGCATTGGCCACCCTCTAGGGGCCAGCTATGTGGGGCCTCCCTTTGGGGGCCCGCTTACAGCTAGCCAACCGACTCTCATCGTCCCTTTAAGAGTCGGATTTTTTATATATAACGTACAAGCTCTATAACGGTGTAGAATCTACACTCAACTATAATATTACTATTTTTTACTATATTATACCATGAATAACTTCATTCTGCTCGTCTCATCATACTCTATCTTTTACATATACTTTTATCATACTTGTATTTAACACTGACATTACATCCCGTATAGAGAAGGCTGCCTAGTATTTTATTATAGGTTAGACTGTAATTATAACCCGATCTACTACCTTACAATCCAAGGCTAATACTAAAGCTAGAAATAAAGGGAGGGTTACATATAAAAGTATAAGGGAGTTGTTCAACGTTAGTAAAATTATTATTAAAAAGTATATAATGTTTATTAGGGAGGGTAAATCTCTACCAACTAGTATAGAAGTATATCGACCTCTAGTCCTGATTGTAGACGAAGATAAGGCTCTTAATATCGTAATTTAGATTGCTAACCGCGGCTACTTCATTTTAAATAATACTTCCCTCGTTAAATTAATTAATTAATTACGAATTTAACGGCTATATCCCCTCTTTATTAACCTTTATAAAGGGTAGCTTATAGAATAGCGTAAGAAGTATTCAGAATTCGAATTCAAAATAGCTAGCTTTAAAAACGTAAAAAGGATAAATGTTAAAGCTTAATTAAATTCCTTTAAAGATTGGTTTAAAAAGGTAAAGGCTATTTATAATAGCTTAAATAGTAAGGAAGAGAATATTTAGAATATAGATAAATCTCCCTTTCAAATAGGGGAAATTAAAAGAATTATAAAAGTATAAATCACTTATTATATCCCTATATATTACTTTATTAATTAACCTTATACTAACTATTATAGTAATAAATATTATTTATAAAGAATCGGGTACGTATAAGAAGGGTTATATTTAACCTTAGCAATAAAGAAAATTTAACTACTATTAATACTATATGAATTATAGTAAAGAATATCTCTTCCTTCCTAATATTTAAAATATAAATTATAATAAGGTTCTAAGCTTGTTAATTATTTGTAATCAAGCTTAATTTCCCTTATATTAAATTAATTATAAGTATAAAGCAATATACAAACTAATTACAAAGTAGACCCAAACGTTATAATTACAAATATAGTAATTAGGTATAATAATACTCACTAGATACTATAGTAGATTAAGCACTTCAATAAATATTCTTTTAAACTATCTCCCTCGTTCAACAGTACTATTAAGGAGTGGTTTAGTTTATTAATTAATTACCTACTTTCTTTTAAGAGACTAAAGGAGAATATAATAGTAAGCTTCTCAATTAAACCGAAGGTATATAGAATACTATTTATAGATAGGTTTAAAGCTTATAAAGATTTGAATATCTTATAGTACTATAAAGCCTTCGATATTATCCTTTATACCTTACCTTTATATACTAACTATATATTTCAACCACTCGACGTAGGAGTCTACTAAGTAGTTAAAAAAGTATACCAAAAAGCACTAATTGAAAAGATAGCTAGCAGGGCTATTAATATTAACTATATAATCTTTCTAAATAACTAGAAGAAAGTTAAGGAAGTAGGATTTACCCGTAGTAATATTTATAAAGGATAGGAAAAAATTAGCTTATAACTATTTAAATTAAGTACCTTAAATTTATTTTAATAATAGTATAACTATAATTAATACGTCTTTTTAAATATACCTCTCAATAAGCTTCGTAAAGTTATTAAAGTACGGTAAAAACCTTTATTCCTTAACCGATTTAAGGCTATAACTCTTCGTAAAGTACTACGTACGTTAGAATTACTAGCAATTTAATAATATATTAATAAATATAATTTGACTATTAAAAAAGTCTATAACAAAGCTAGAATTACCCTCAAAGTGTCTATTAATATTTAAAAGCTAGTATATAATTAGCAAGAATACTAGAAGTGCCGTATTGAGGCAGAAACTTAAAAATAGAACCCTCGTAAATATATCTCCATTAGCGATAGAGCTTATACGAAGGAAGTATTCAATACCAAAGTTATAGTAAGAAGGGTAGTTAATATAGAGGAAGGTTTGAAAGAGACCTAGCAAATTAATATAATTTTTATTAAAAAGGTTGCCCTCGAAGAGAATCCTAGATTTAAATAGTAGCCTCCACGTAAAGAAAAAGGCAAAAAAAAGGCTAAGCCTAATAATACCCCTATCTTTAACGACCACAGCCTTATTTATATAATAAAAGATAACCCTAAATATAATAAAATCTTATTAGTAAAAGAGAAATAGAACGAAACTATTATTGAGAAAGATTATTATACTTTATTTACCAATATAGGCCTTAACTATTCATATTATATACCAGAAATATATACCTTTAAAAAAGTATTACTAAATTAGAATATAACTACCTTTTTCGCAGGCTTTAAAAATAAGGAGGATTTACACTATAAGCTTATAAAGAAGGCTACCCTTCCTAGTTACTTTAAAGACTTCGTACTTTTTAAGACGTATAATAAAAAGCGGGCTAAGAAAGTTTATAAAGGAAGTTCGTCGTTAATCGAATTTTTTCTCAGTAACGAAGGTATAAATATATTTAGTAAACTCTTAGCTATACTATGGCAAGCCTATCTAGTAAGTATACAAGTGGTACAAATTGGGCTATTAATATTATACCCTTCTAGAAAAAAGTCTAAGAAGGGGAAGGAGAAGGCTATTAATACAAACCCTAACGAAGAGGTTGCTATAGCAACTATAATAGTGGCGGGTAAGAAGTTAGAGGTGCCCGCAAGCTATATAAGGGTGATAATTATTGTAAACGACGATTTTGGTAACGATAAGAATTTATAAGGGGAGGAGGAGGAAGAAGAGGAGTTGGATATTATATTATAAGTACGGGCTATAAAGGCTTTATAATACTATAATAATATATTACGATATTTTAAAAATATTTTACTTATATTGCTGAATGTGTACAATTGAGACGAATAATTTAAATCTTTTACTATCTTTTTTGCTTGTATTTTGGTAGAGAAACGGATTATTGAAGATTCTGACCATTATAGAGCTTGCACGTTACATGTAAAAAATCCGACTTTTAGAGGGACGAGGAGAGTCGGTTGGCTTGCTATGTAAGCGAGGCCCACATCGACCTAACCGACGAGTACACCTACCACACCTCAGCTCAGGGCAGATATGCATATGCACCTCAAAAAGCTAGACGACGATCAGGCCTAGACCCGACCGTTTCCCAAAATCTATTTGCTATTCACTCCCATAGCGTAGTAGCAAGCCCACAGTCGTAGCCATATTCCCCTCTTTCACCTCTCTATCGGTCACTTCTAACCCGATGATCGAGTCTCTCAACTCCGAGTCTCCGACAACCTGGAAATTCTAGACCACACAAACACCCAAACGCACCAACGCAAACACAAAACGCAAAAGCCCAACCGTAAAATCTGAGAGGACCAGCTGACATCTCTGGGAAAGCTTCCCGAAATTCTGTCCGAAAAAGGTTGTTGGGCACTGGCACTGCCATCCGTACGTGACCTGACTGATATTCAGGCGGGCGGGGAGATGATGTTTCAACACCGACTGACCGCAAAGGATCTTCGCTTTCACTGCCACTGCCAGCTGTTCAGACTTCAGGCTGTTTGCACCTTTTGGTCTCCTTGTTTTTGTCGATCACCTACATTTCAGACTTCGGTTAGGACTTCAGCTGAGACTTGTCCCAGTTTGCTTTCTTCCCGTTCTTTGCTTTCTTCACTTTCTTCTCAGTTTTGTTTTCCAGGCTTCAAGCGGGTGTCAAACGGCCTCGGCAGCCTGACCCAAAACAATAACTGCTCCACTTACCCCGCACGAGGCCTCTCCACTTTGTTTCTCAAGTTCTCCATTTCCCCGCACTTCTTCCCCGGAGCGGGATGGGGCGTGGTGGGGGCCGGCCGTAGGACCCATGGCTCGGTGGAGCTCGGAGATGTGGAGTAAGTCGCCGGGGTGAGCTCTCCCGTTGCCTGCATGCTGTCGCCGGCGCAAAGGTGAAGCTATTCCCAATGGTCACACCCAGGGGGAAACGAGTACTACAGCCAAGTAGTAATAGATACAACGTAAGTACTCAAATTCCACCTCCACCGCTAAATTACATCCTAAAAACACCAAACTTTGTCCCCCTAGGCGCCTGCTCATTCCTCCCTCCCAACGCCGCCCTCAACCCAAGTCCCAGGTACCTCCTCGTATGCTGCGGCGGGATGACACCATCATCCCACAACCTGGCGCTCGAGAACACCGCATCGCTCTCCCTCTCAATCCTATCCTGCAACTCAGGATCCGCCTTGGTGCCCACCGTCTCCATCACCTTGGCCAACTGCTCACTACCCATGACGCCAATCCTAGCGTTCGGCCACATCCACAGGAACCTGGGGGAGTAAGCCCGTCCGCACATGCCGTAGTTGCCCGCGCCGTAGCTGCCGCCGACGACCACGGTGAACTTGGGCACGTCCGCGCACGCCACGGCCGTGACCAGCTTGGCGCCGTTCTTGGCGATTCCTTCCCGCTCGGCGTCGCGGCCGACCATGAAGCCCGAGATGTTCTGCAGGAAGACAAGCGGGATGCCGCGCTGGGCGCAGAGCTCGATGAAGTGCGCGCCCTTCAAGGCGGAAGAGCTGAAGAGGATGCCGTTGTTAGCGACGATGCCGACGCGGTGGCCATAGATCTTGGCGAAGCCGGTGACCAGCGTGGTGCCGTAGTCGCGCTTGAACTCGGCAAAGGCGGAGCCGTCCACGATGCGGGCGATGACCTCGTGGATGGGCAGAGGCTTGCGCAGGTTGGTGGAGGCAATTCCCAAGAGCTCGTCGGCGCTGTAGAGTGGTTCTTCGAATTTCTGCTCAAAGTCGGCCGGGGTGACGGCGCCCGTGGAGGAGCCGCGGGGCCAGTTGAGATTGGCGATGCTCCGGCGGGCGAGCACGATGGCGTGTGCATCGTCGACGGCGAGATAGTCTGTCACACCGGAGACGGAGGAGTGCATGGCGCCGCCGCCGAGCTCTTCGGGGCTGACGACCTCGCCGGTGGCGGCCTTGACCAGAGGTGGGCCGGCAAGGAAGATGTGACCCTGCTCTTGGACGATGATGCTCTCGTCGGACATGGCGGGGACGTAGGCGCCACCGGCGGTGCAGGGGCCCATGACCACGGCGATCTGGGGGATCCCTTGGGACGACATGCGGGCTTGGTTGAAGAAGATGCGACCGAAGTGTTCGCGGTCGGGGAAGACGTCGGACTGGTGAGGAAGGTTGGCGCCGCCCGAGTCGACCAGGTAGATGCAACTGTTGGTCATCTATGTCAGTAACTGTCCATCAAGATAAAACAAGGAGGACAAAAACTCACGGAAGGTTATTCTCCTTGGCAACCTCCTGCGCCCTCAAGTGCTTCTTGACAGTAATGGGATAATAAGTGCCACCCTTGACCGTGCTATCGTTGGCGACGATAACGCAAGTGACGCCCTCAACCACACCCACACCCGTGATGATGCCACCGGCGGGCACGTCTGCCTCGGGGTAGAGTTCGTGGCCAGCCAGGGGAGAAAGCTCCAAGAATGTTGTGCCAGGATCAATCAAAGCCGTGATGCGATCGCGCGGGAGCATCTTCTTGCGCAAAAGGTGCTTCTCGCGCGCCTTCTGGGGACCGCCCTGGTGAACCTTGCGGGTGAGCTCTTCTAGGCGGGCCATGGCCTCGCCCATGAGGCGTTCGTTCTCCTTGAACTCGGGGGAGTCGGTGTCGACATCGGACTTGAGGACGGAGATGGCATTGGCTTGGTGGGGAGTCGTGAAAGTTGCGACCGAGCGTCGTTGTTGGTGGAGGAGGTTTTGTTGACGTTGTGATTGTTGTTGTTGCTGCTGGTTGCTGTGGAGGAGGAGCCCGAGATTGCGGGGATGCAGGGGTAAATTGGCGGATCGTGGGGATGTGGAGGCAGTTCTGGACAATTGCCTGGAGAAGAGGAGAGCCTCTCTCCTGCTGGCGGACGAGAAGGACATGGTGATTGATGGTGTTTTACTTGGGATTACAAACTCGACAACGTACAAGAACGACGGGAAGGGAGGAAAGCAACAAGAAACAAGTGAAAAAGATGTTCACGACAACTTCCTTCCAACTCCGCCGCGCCCAGCCGAAGTCCTTGGTCTAACTTGAGCCGCTATCATCTCAGAAACGGTAAAAGGCCATTCAGATCTCGGCATTGGCACCGTCTGACGTACCCCTCACGGTCTTGTGAATCTCAATGCCCAGCTTCGATCTAGCCAATCACAACAAGGAATCACTAACAAGCTCGTCAAAGACCGAGGCAAGCCGTCGCCAACCGTCCACTTTCAATAGAACACAAGGGTAACATTTACCATCGAAGACTGCCGCGGCTCTGGCTAGATGCGGTATGTTTGGAACAGAAGTTAGCGCTGGTTGGTGTAATTCGAGACTGGCCATTGTTAGTGGATGGCGAGGGGATGGGGGATTGCACAAGAGAAAGGACGAACTGAGATCATCCCGATTCGATTGCAACTGAACTTTTCTTCTTCTTTTTCTCTCCTTTTTTTCTCCCTTCCTTTGCTCCTCTAAGAATTCATTTCTTTTCGATTGCTATCATCACCAAGTAAACAAACCCGCAAAATGTCCACCCAAGGTCTCTCCCGCGCCTTTGCGCGCTCCACCCCCAGAATCCCCACGATTTCAAGGGTTCCCCGCCAATTGCGACCCCACAGCACTTACACGGCTTCGACCACCTCCTCCATCACAACACCACGGCGCCCATCACCATTCTCACGACACCAGACAACCGTGACTCCCATTGCTGTCCAACGCCGCAATGCCTCCCACAACAAACACCCCTCGGGCTTCACTCCCCCCTCCCCCACCGACCTCTCCGAGCTCCGCGAGCGCGTCCAAGAATTCGTCCGGCGCTCTCTCCCCGAGACCCTCGCCGCCGAAACCGACAAATCCAACGCCTTCCCTTCTCACATGTGGCAAGCCCTGGGCGACGCCGGTCTTTTGGGAATCACAGCCGACGAAGCCTACGGCGGCCTGTCGATGGGGTACCAAGCGCACTGCATCGTGATGGAGGAACTCTCCCGCGCTTCGGGTTCCATTGCCCTTTCGTATGCCGCGCATTCACAGCTTTGTGTCAACCAGTTGAGTTTGAACGGAAACGCTGAGCAAAAGGAGAAGTACCTGCCTGGATTGATTTCCGGAGAAAAGGTCGGTGCGTTGGCGATGAGTGAGAGCGGGAGTGGCAGTGATGTTGTCAGCATGCGGACGACGGCCAAGAAGGTGGATGGGGGTTACGTGTTGAATGGAAGCAAGATGTGGATCACCAATGGCCCGGATGCGGACGTGATTGTGGTGTATGCCAAGACGGAGCCGGATGCTGGAAGCAAGGGAATCACGGCTTTCATCGTTGAGACGAAGAAGGACGGGCAGAAGGCGGAAGGGTTCGAGTGCTTGAGGAAGCTGGACAAGATGGGCATGCGCGGGTCGAACACCGGTGAGTTGGTGTTTGAGAATGTGTTTGTGCCCGAGGAGAATGTGCTGGGCAAGGTCAATGGGGGCGTGAAGGTGTTGATGGAGGGCTTGGATCTGGAGAGGCTGGTGCTGAGCGCGGGACCCCTGGGTCTGATGCAGGCGGCGCTGGACGTTGCCTTGCCGTATGCTCACTCGAGGAAGCAGTTCGGTACCCCGATTGCTCAGTTTCAGCTGTTGCAGGGCAAGTTGGCGGATATGTATACCAAGTTGCAGGCGTCGAGGGCGTACACGTACGCGACGGCCAAGACGGTTGATGAGCAAGGGATTATCAGGACGCAGGACTGTGCTGGTGCTATCTTGTATGCGGCGGAGAGGGCGACGGAGGTCGCTCTTGATGCTATTCAGATCTTGGGTGGCATGGGCTACATGGAGGAGATGCCGGTGTCGAGGATCATGAGGGATGCCAAGTTGTATGAGATTGGCGCGGGCACTTCGGAAGTGAGGAGGATGGTTATTGGAAGGGCTTTCAACAAGGAGTATGCCCACTTGGCCAAGAACTAGACTGTATCTAGGAGATTATCATTAGACCGGCAATGACATTGGATACCTCTATGGATAAGCAAGTGCCTTTGAAGATGGTTTTTCGTTGCCATTTGACTTTGTGTCTCTATGTCACCAGCCTCAGGTAGAGAAGCCATCGGGGTGCCCTTTTAGAGATATTGCTTCGACTCTTCTTCGTCTCAGTTCTCCGTGACCATTTCTCATTCACCGTTGGATTTCTAGACCTGACGGGTAATTCGTTCTAGATGCTCGAATATCATGGAGATCCCCCATGTTTACCCTTCATTCTAATCAAGTCATCTGAGACGATCTCCTCCCGATTCCTCTCGCTATGCTTACCGCTCGCTACGAGTTTCCTACTCTTGTCTCATCTGCTTCTTGACCAAGCCCCTACCCTTGCTGGCTCTCACCTTGACCTCGTCCGCTAATCTCTAGTTGCCGTTAAAAAAAACGTGGAGATTTCCCCTTCCCGCCATTTGCATTTCCATATCCGCGGGTCTTAGCCAAGGCTTGTGACAAATATCTGGGCCAGGAGCCAGTGACGACGTCGAGACCGAAATCCAGATCACAGACGACATAACATGATCTCCGCACCGACAATTCCAGCTTACATCACTTTTGTGGACACCGACATTTCCAGCTTTTCCAACTCTCAAGAAAACAAAGCAGCGTAACCGAGCCGCGCTCGGTTTGGCGGTGTGCTGCGCAGGAGGAAAGACACAGTATGGCACGGGATGGAATTGGTGTCTGGATGTAAACCCCAACGGACGCCTCTGATAGGATCTCCCAGATATGCGAGAGAAGCAATTCACAAGTAGCGAGGGCTGGAAGATAGGCCGGTGGCGAAAGCCTGAACGTCTTTTCGAGCCGGAGATATGTAAATGTAAGGCAAGTGTCGTTATCGTGAAACCAGATGGCTGAGAAGGTTGGTTTGGATGGTATGTCACGTTGTCTCTCCATCTCCCCCGCCTTTTTTAAACCACGTCTTGGTCTTTTGCGGCTCATGACTTACAGCCCAGTGACCGTTGTTAATAGGCAGAAAATCCGTCTTATGAAAAGTTGATGTTGCGAGGTTCCCGCGTGCTTGGCTGATCATATTATGCCGGAGTCAGTCCTTTTCCAACCAATGGACCGGATTCGTGTGGTTGAAACGAGGTGTGGTTGGGTATGGTTGTGTTTTCTGACCCTTGGGTCTGTGATCTAGGTCACACGACCCGTGACCGTCCCGTGAGTGGTGGCCGTCTCGACCCGTTACCCGCTGGGTGGAAGGAAGGGAAACGTGCCCGTCTCCGTCCCTCCCCGCAAACGGCAGATCAGTTATCAGAGAGTGCGGCTGCAGTTATCCAAAGCGCAACTTGCCAGATAACCAAACAGCTTGTTTGTTGTCGTGAAGGGCCAGGCCGCTATGTAGACATACATGATTTGTTGCACTTTGTGCTACGACTTGTAAGTCAGCTGGGCGAGACAAGACGGGAAAGGATACGAGATGACATGTCTTGGGCCACCCCGTTGGACAGTCCCGTGGTAGAGGAAAGGACGATTTGACTGATAATGAAGCCGAGAAAGGAAGGCTGGTCGTTGTGAGAGGCACTTGTTGGTAGCTGGCTGTGGGTGACAAATGAAAGTCTAGCCGCCAGGGACCGGGCGTATTCTAGACTGAACGTAACAGAAGGCTTTTGGTGTGGCAGGCTGTTACCGCTATAGGGAGGTGATGCTTCAGTGGTATAACACAACTTAATGTTAGAGGGACGAGGGAGAGTGTGGGGGTTGTACTCATAACTTCCACTTCAACCTCGTAGGCTATAGGCAAATCAGTGATACAGGCTACTGCCGGTGGACCGTGATGAGCCCGGTCTGTAACCCACGTATCTTGTTCTGCCAAAGTTACATCGATCCCGGGACCTTGAGAAGCCGGGTGTTGGATGGTTACCGAGCTCAGGTCGGTGTTGTACCGAAAATGGGCATCTTCTCCCTCGAGTGGCGGCTTGATATCCGAAGGGAGGAAGAAGTGGAACTGGAGGGGCGCGAGGAGGGAGTAGAGCTGAGCTAGAAACATCTTATCTCGTTTGTGATCCCATCAAGGGGACAAAGAAAGGGAAAGGACCAATGCCCCATTCCTTCTTTCACAGGAACTGAGGAAAGACTCGAGAGGTGACAAAGTGCAAGAGTGAGAACCCGGATGGCCAGTGTTCAGGGTTACGTACCAGGTTGCCCAGGGAGCTAGGGTTACAGCAGCTATAGTAGGCCCCTGTCACAAGTCAGGGCAGTTGATCTGTCACCTGCCACCTCAACTCCTCGGGGCCCGGGGGTTTGTGTCGGCATGTGCCATGTGGGGATATCTTGGTGTTTGGGAAACATGGGATTTCATCCCCCGTGTCGCGTTGGGACTTGGGAAGAATTGGAAATGCTGTGATGAATGAATGCACGGTGAGATGGGTGAAAGAGAGAAGAGGAACAACCGGATCTCCACCTCATCTGCATTTGTCTAGAACCACTGGGTGGTGGAGCCGGGGTCTCGGTATTTCAATATCTGTCATGACACTAACAGTTAAACTATACGATTAGCAGGGATTCTGTTAGTGCTTAGTGTTCCCGTGGGGCGTGCCCAGCGCACCGAGCGCACCTCCCCTGTCTTCAGTTCAACCTTGCACTTTCCGCATCATCAGTCACCTCCAAGGTACGTAGCCGAGCATCAGTCCAGGCCCCAGATCCTGGAGCCCCAGCGCAGCAGACGTGCCTTCCCTAGACGAAACACATGATGCCGATTTGAGATTGTGCTTGCCTTCTTCCACTTGCTCAGATCCATAACCGCACCAGCTTCCCCTCGTCCTCTGGACCGACTTTGTTGGACTTTTCACACTTTTTTCAACCTGTCTATACACACCAGAACATCTCCGCACCCGGAATATCTTGTACACGCCAACACATAACACCAACTTGGAAGCACGCGGCGCCCTCGCAGCCTAACGACAGTACAGTTAGTGGTCGGGTTGATATGACCCGGACATGTACTTACCTCTAGCACCCCCTCTTCGAAACCGCGCCCAAGACTTGTGTCTCAGCTTTACCTTGATTATTCCCCCGGGTTGCCTAGGGTACTGTCCGGCGTCTGCCCGCCTCACAGAGACAGACACACACTTGCATTGGTACGTGATGTTCGCGTGCCACGGCCCCCCGTCACCGCACTACACTATTCCTGCAAATAAGCAAATTCCCTACACTGCCTGGCTGAGCTGGCAGCCCCCAGGCCCCAAGCCTTCGGAGCATCGAGGGTTTATCAGTTGCGGTGCGGTACTAGCTCCCACTTGTCTTAAGCCCAACTCGATCGTCACCGCCAGGGCAGCTACCTTGTCAGCCTGCCTCGAGTTGTTGCCAGTGCTGCGAATGTGGGTGTATAGGTGTGGGTGTGGACATCGGGCACTTGGCCTGCAAAAGTACGAGACTCCGAGAGCATGAAGCAGTGGTGCTGTGCTGTGCTCAGACTCACAGTCTATGTCCATGTCCATGTCCATGTCCATGTCCATGTCCATGTCCAGGTCCCAAAACATGAGAAAACACGCCCCCCGTCGTTGTCGTTGTTCCTGCTTCTTCTCAACTTCCACTTCTTCCTAACCTTTTTCGGCTGGTCTCCTGCTGCCCTGTTCGCGTTTATCCGTCTGTTTGCTACCTTGCGCTTGCCTAACCATCTTGCTCACGCCTCGTGCTCCAACCGTAACTGTTTGCGTGTTTTCTGACTTCTTTCCTTCAGAAACCCCAAACCTCCCCCCTGGACATCCTCCGTCACTTGTCCCTCCTCCCCAAGCAGTCTTTCATGGATCTGCTACCTTAGTGTCGATATCTACAAAAGAAACCGGCAGCTTTGGCTTGTAAGCAATGGTCGTCGGGCTACCCTGAGGTGCCCGTCGTCCTTTGCGCCCGTCTTGTCTTTCAGCCATGGACTTGGTACTGCCGCAAGGCATCATTATTAACGCCAGTGAGGTCTATACTCAACTAGCTAGTTTATCGGTCGTTTCCTCAGAGGTAATATGGCATTACTGGAACGGTCAGACTTCAACTCATACCAACATTTGCCCCCAGCATCTGGCTAATGCGCATCTTCAGCATACACGGTGATCTCCAAGAAACTTGGTGGTGATCCCACTCACCTCCGCCTAGAGAACTTTTGGTGGCATGTTTGGGGCAGCAATAGGAGGAAGCTTTCCGGTCCCACTCTCGCCAGGCTCTTTCAAGACATCTCGACCGGTCCAACAGATGTGCCTCTCGTGGTCCCAAAGAGAAGTCGTGAGATACTAGAGGTGGGTGATTCTCTTGACAAGTAATAGGGTCGAAAGATACTAATTTATCCTCAGAGATCCAAGGCCCTCCTGGAGCAGATTAACGCAAACGGACATGAGTCGGCATCCACACAACAACAGGAGGAGAACAAGGTAGATGACCATGATGTTATGGTCAAAATGAAAGCGCCAACCCCATCTTCCTCAAGGCCACCTCCGCCACACCCGATCCTGAAAAAGCATAGCGCTCCCGTACCAGGACCTCGACATACTGCCAGATTCGCTTCACCACTACGCGCCGGAGAGGGTGAATCTAAAGGAGGTGCCATAATGTCCATCACCAAGGTCGTGCCAGAGCCGTCAACAATGCCGCCTCCGCCATCACCGACTGCGAAAAAGACAAAAACAACAGCAGAATCTCCAACGACCATGAAACCTCCGCCGCTTCCATCGACAGAAAAGCTCGAGAAGCCCACCGCGCAGTTACCGACTGCGCCTTCAGGTGGCAAAGCTAGCAAGCCTGTAGCCGCCCGAAAAAGGGTCATGGCGACTACAAAATCAGCCAAAAGACGGCCGGTAATGCCACGTAGGACAAGTTCACAGTCATCAACTGCATCTAATATCCAACAGCGTATGGTGCCGGCGACAGCGGACCAGTCTTATCAAGGTACTCGGTCGTCAACTGTAGAGGAAGAGCCCTTCCAGGAGTCTCCCCCCTCGGTTGCAGTTGCGTCCCCAGCTTCGACCTTGGTAGATTCACTCTCAGAGGTCCCAGTCCCAAAGGCAGCAGAAATTTTGGTCCCAGAGGCAGCAGAAGTTTTGGTCCCAGAGGCAGCAGAGGTCCCGGTCCCAACGCCAGTAGATCAGTCCTCCCGGAGCTCGAAAGGTGGCTCAGCATCGTCCCAAGACGAGCAAAGGATCCCGAGTGCTAAGGCAGCCGGGAAGAGGCCGGCAAGGCCCACTCAAAGATCTTCCTCCGGGGGCATTCTACCAGTAACTATCGGCTCCCAAGAGCGGCGACCATTGTTCGTTAGTTCCGGATTCTTGCCTGCCCGGTCTCCCAGCTTATCTCGTAGTGAGCGGAATGTTCCGACGACACAGGAGGCTACGAAGAGGAACAGCGTGGAAAAGAAGCCACGTCGTGCGCCTGTTGCTGGGTTCGTGGCTGATCATGATATTGGAAGTGACACGCCCTCACCAGCAAGAACACGCACCACACGTGTCACCGAAGACCCTATAGTTGGTTCACCTCGGCCGCCACCCAGAGTCCCGTTGTTTTCTCAAAGGATGTCAGGGGAGCTCCCCTACTCATCACCACACGCAATGTCTCACAGGCTTTCCGGCGAGATTCCTAATGTACAGGCCTTGACCGAGGAACCCACAACACAGGTGTCCGACACCACTGTCCAGGGGCAGTTCGACTCCGACGTGATAGCAACATCGTCTTTGGTTGAAGCCCGAGATATACCTGACTTTGTGTCGCGCCGGTCGAGGCCTTCGCCATCGCTTCTCCAAGAAGCGTTCTCCCCAACACCTCCCAGCACTACTCCAACGATTCCCTTTGGCAGATCGAAGAGCCAACTCACGCTACTGTTGGCAAAGGATAATCACAGGAAGGTGAAGGAAACCCGTTAGTGGCGGATCAAGCAGTTTTTCGGACTGGTGTCGGATAGGAATAATCCATGGGGTGTGGCATCGCCGCTAGCGAGTCTCCCAGAGACTCCATCTCAAGAATCATCAGAAGGATCACTCGTAGAAGACAACCCTGTCCCAGACGGGCTTTTCTCGCCCCCAACATATAGCAGGGCCATCAACCCAGCATATAGCAGGACCATCAATGCCCCCGAATCCCTGGATTAAGGCCTACCGAAGCCGGAAGATCTGGTTGTTCGGAATTTTACAGCGAAACTTTGGTTGCATTTTACAGGCGTTTCTTGATTTAGGTTTGGAGAGCATTCAAAGCAGAGCGTTTTTCCAGCATGAGCATTTCAGAGGCTACTAGGCCTACTGGTCATTTGCATATACGCATGAGTTTGGAGAAAGGAAGCATATGGTTTACTTTGTTTGAGAATCTTATGCTCTCATCCTTTTAGTGTATCAGTAGATGATGTTGATTTTATGGGTGGGATGGGCTCAGATATGAAAGTGAGTGCAGCGTGGTGATGGGTGTACTGGGGCTGGATAATGAACTTTTGAGCGTTTGGCTTTGCGAGAGTATTATGGAAAGAACAACATTCTGTGTGTTTCTATGAAGAACTATGTGCAAATTCCTCAAGTGTCCGGCTCCGTTAAATTCTCACTTTGATACATGGCATCGAGGCCGAACGTGACGACTGTGATGGCACCACATGCCAGCACCTACCAGATCTTTTGTGTTACAATCTGGTCTTTGGGTCTTTCATCTCATATGGGCTGTTATTGCATATAAGAACCCCTACCCATTCCGTCTAATGTCAACAAGCTTCATCTTCTTCATTTCAATCTTATATTATTTTAAGTTGGATGTTGTGGTGCGTCACCTATCACTCTACGTGTGTGGACAATGACGGGATATCGCCATTTGACAATCTCTCTATGAGTAGAGAGGTGTATGAAGAGGCGAAGAGACTAATGAAGAGACTAATAAAGAAAGAGGTGAAAAGAGGGGTGAAGAGACAGGTGAAGAGATAGGTGAAGAGATAAATAAAAAGATCGGTGAAAAGACTAGTAAAAAAAAAAGTGAAGAGAAAAGTAGAGAGGTAAAAAGAGAAATAAAGAGAGAAATAGAGAGGTTTTAAAAAGAGGCTAAGAAGAGGATGAAGAGAGAATTGAAAAGAAAAGTAAAGTAAAGAGGGAGTTAAATGGAGAGTGAAGAGAACAGTAATATCAAAAGTAAAGAAGAAAGTAAAGAGAGGAAGGGGAAGAGATAAATCATCAGTACACCCACCTTCACTCACTCTATAGTCACCATCCATCGGGCACTTCGAGGTATCAAAACTCATTCCGTCGTCCGTCATTATTGACCATATTCATTGATCATTCGAGAAAAGAACTATTCGAAGAAAATAATCATATTATCAAAGCAGGCTGCTCCACGCGTGCTTTATAACCCCATCCATTTCCATTCCCTAACGTCCCCGATATCCGTTGTCCAACTAATGACACAGGAGAAAGAAATACGCATGAAAAGTGAAAGAAAACTTAACAGCATCTTGGTATCTTTTCATCATGAGTCAGTCACACTACGCATCCTTTATACCTTGCAAGAATCAAACCCCCAAAACCCTTCCCTTCCCCGTCCCCGAAACAAAACTTAACTTATTACCACCCGACCATCACCAGTATCATCCCCATCCCCATCGCCATCACCATGACCACGACGACCATTATCAACACACCCATCCCCACCCAGCCTCGCCCCATCCACCCTCCCTTCCTCATCCCCATCACTCCCCACCCCAGCCACCTAAGCCTTCTCCGCATGCCCATCATTAAGCAACATCTCCAACACGATCTGCCCCCCGGGAACCTCCGGGTGACTCATACAAATCTTGACCGTCTCCCTACTATCCTGCAACGCTCCCGCCTGCAAGAGGGTATGCGGCTGCGCATGCTGCTGGCCGCTTCCCGTGGGGCCTCTAAACCCGTAATCGAGACACCTTACATCTCTGCCGGCAATGATTTGCCGTAAGCGACCGTTCTCGGCGTTGCGGACTTCGACGTAGTCTTCGTTGAAGAGCAAGAGGTATTGGCCAAACATGGTGGCTGCTTTGGCTTTTTTCTGTTTACCGGAGTACTCCATGATCAAAGTGCGGGAGATTTCGCCGTGCTTGTCGACGTAGACGGCGCAGTCCTCGTAGGTGAGGAGGAATTCCTGGTCGTTGAGCTTGAACATCCCCAAGGGGCGTTGGTCTTTAATGCGGGAGGCGATGTTGGCGATGGCGGGGAGGTTGAGGTCGCGCGGGATGGACTGAGTTACTTTTTTGTCGAGGGTTAGGAGCTCGAAACCTTTGGCGGAGGCGACGGCGATGTACGACTGGAATAAGTTCAGTGAGTAGCACTCGGCGGGGAGGTAGAACTCGTCGTAGTCGCGGAAGGACTCGGTGGCGCCCGAGGCGGACTTGCGGCTGCCGAAGATGCGGGATTTCTTCTCCGTGGCCTTTTGGAAGACGGGCTCGAGAACTTTGAAGGTGTTGTGCATGCCTTCCTTGCGCTTGTAGAAGAGAAGGGTGCGGTCCTTCATGCGGGCGGTGGCGAAGAAGGTGACGTCCTTGGCGAGCCGCTGGGGCGCCCGTCTGGGGTTGTCGTGGACTGGGGACGGGAAGTTGGAGACGGGCGCGATCACGTCGAGAGGGTAGGAGATGAGCGACCTGTCGGCGATGAGAAGACAGACGGAGAAGTCCTCGAGGACTGCGATCTGGGTGACCTTGCTGATCTGGACAGAGCGTGTCCAGCCTCGGGGGTTGGACGCTTCGGAGATGTAGACACCATAGTCCGTACCAATGGCGATGATGGACTTGCCGAAGGACTTGAAAGCGGTAGCACAGTTTACCTGAGCTCTGCATACCGGTGGGGGACCGCGGCCTTTGCCGTATGCCTCCTCCATTTCTCGTATCGCCCTGTCCAAGGGTGTCCCACTGATTGGCACGCCCTGCTGCCTGCCAAAGGTCGAATAAGAATCGTACGCGAAAGCACCGTCAGAAAGAACTCGCAAGCGGAAAGGCTCGGCGTTCTGTGCATGTAGCGCTTCGGCGTGCCTTGTCTTCGCGTCCACAATCGCCTTACACCACTCCGAGCGGTCCAGGGCAGAGGAAGCGTAGAGCGTGTAAATCTCGTGGCCGAGGTGTTTTATCCTAAAGGGGTAGATGATCTTTCCATCGTCGACACCTGAACTTGTTAGACGGGTAACGGTACTGAGGGAGCCCATAGACGAACTTGTTGCTGAATGCTCCAGGCCGGGCCGATCGCCTCCATTAGAGGCAACCTTGTTAAGCTGTGTCCCGGATCCAGTGGTAGCCGCGGTACGGGTTAGAGGTGCTGCGAGACCCTTTTGTTTCGTAACAGGTTCATCGTGCATGCTTTCCAGGAAGAGGAGGGGCATGGGTATAGGCTACACGCAATTGTCAGCAGGGTACACGGTAGAATATCGCACAAGGGCTTACCTCTTTCGACACGTCGTATTTCTTCTCATTCCTGCCGTCCTTGGTTGAGACCGCCTTGGCCAAGATGAAATAATGATCAAACAGCAGGGCCTGTGTGTCAACCCAGCGTACTCCCTTCGAACCCTGTCGCTGAAGCTCGCCCTGCTTGAGAAGCTCTCTCCCAAGGTGATCAAGATTGAGGACTGACTGGAAACCGGGTCGAAGAACTAGCTGGTGTTGTAGCTCAAGCAGGGACACCTTCTTGGTCATCTCAGCAACTCTGTCATCGCACTCCTTTGTGACTGACCTGATCTCTTCAATTGCCTTGATGAGATTCTGCTTCTCTTCACTGTCTTCGATCGTGTTCTTCAAGACCGTGCTGAGCAACAAAGAGTATCTCTGCAGACGTGTAATGGGCGCCTTCACAAACGTGGTCCATCCCAAACGCTTGGACCGCCTATGGTTCTGTACGTGTCCCAGAAACTCACGGAAGAGAATATTCCTATTGCTCTCCTTTCGGATGAGGTACTCCGAGTTCGGGTAAGACGAGCAGTATTCGATGTAGATCGGCCTGGCCTTGCGAATCCACTCTCTGAACAAGTCACTAAACCCAACAATGAAGGGCGCCTGTTCCTGTTGGCGATACTTAAGCTGGGCAAGCAAGTGGTCCTTGTTGATCTGCTGCACCGTATCAACTTTACCAAAGACTGCCTCCAGAAACTTGTCCCTCCTGGTGTTGGGAAGAACAGGCGGCTGGTGCACGCGGAGTTGATCTCTGTAGAGGAGCCGAACGACGTCGAGCTGGGCCATGTACTCCTCTTCACTGGTGACAATCTCGTGCAGAACGTTTTGTCTCTCAATCTCCTTTTTGCTCTTCTTTTCGCAATCCTCCGGCTTGACTCCATGGAAGGTCGCCCAGTCCTGAACCACTGTATCATCAGAAAGCAGGTGATCCAGATTGGCCTTCTTCAGCGTTCTACCGCAGTGATGCGAGTAGCACCTTACTGGAATGCCGTTATCGTTCAGTTTGGGGGCAGACTCTTCAGCCTCATGCAACTTGGGCGCGTAGCAACCATGGCCAGTCAGTTGCCACAAGACACCTGTCATCTGGCCGGTTCCAAACCTGACCCATTCCTCATCTGGGATCAAGAGACCGGACGCATACATGGAGTCCACGACTGTGGCACTCAAACCTTCCGCGTCAGCAACGTTCATGGTAGGAACCTTGTGACAGAAAAGCTTCACAATTCCCTCCTCGATGGATTTTCTCTTAAGGTCCACTTCGCCGTCTGCCATTTCACGAATCCAGGCAGTAACACTGCTGAGAGCCCACGGCTCGGCACAACGCTTAATCTCCGTAGCCGTGAGTTTAGATGGGATGAACTTCCTCTTCCTGCCAGGCAAGGTGATCATATCATAGGCAGCAAGCGACGATGGTGTCCCCGAGTCGTAGCCATCCTGAGGTACGCTATGATGACCCAGATGAGAATGATGCTGATTCGCATGCTTCAATGCCCTCCTCCGCTCCTCAGCGGCATCGGTTCTGGATCGTGCCGGTGTGTGGACAGGAGGGGTATTGCTGTGGCTGGAAAGCGATATCGATCTCTCCACTGCAGCTTGACCTTGTTGGTCATACATGAGCCGTTGATTCACATCCATATTGTACCCCTGTTGAGAAGCGACCCTACTAGGGGGCAGTACCGACAGTGCTGGACGGCTTTCGCCAAGAGAAGGAACAGCCGGAAGAGGCCGGTTAGATATCCCGGGATGATAGAACATGTCGGGATACTCTTCCTTCGTAGGCGAGTCACTTCCGCTCTGCCTGGAGTGGATCGAGACATGTTCATCTCCCTCGTCGAAGCTCAACCGGTGAGTTTGCGGGGCCTGAAGACCACCAGTTCCGCCATAGTCAACCGCAGCTTGAGAGAACGGAGCATACTCGCTTCCCGTGTTTTGCGGATATGGCAACGGCCTGGGCCCTTGGTCAAAGTGGGTGGAGGTTGCGGGTGGGGAGCCAACTTCATTCCCGTAGTGCAGGGTTCCAGCATAGCCACCCCCATACAAGCCGAGATCCATTCCATAAAAATCACCATCGGTACCTTGTTCCTCAGGCGGCGGCGGTAACTCCCGTTGGTGTCCCGGCGGCTGTATCGGGTGTGACGGTGAGGCGGGCTGCTGCTGCGCTGCCGGAGGCTCCATATAAGCTGGGATTGATATCCCACCAAATCCAAAGCGTCGGTCGTCCATGTCCTCCTGCATGGCTAGAAGGCCAGCAGCACCTTCGGGGTCGCTCTCGTCGTCATCGTAGTCATAAGTATTGGGGTAAGTATTGGGGATATCATTCCTGTTCACTGTCGATGCATTAGAAGGATAGCGATCTACCGCTGCAGCGGATCCCACGTTGGTCGAAGCAGTCGAACTGTAGCGGTGCAGTCCCTGGTCGTCCTCCGATATGCTGCCATTAACACCATGGTACTGTCGTGGCCCCACCTCCGAAATGATATCACTGAACAAGGCGTCTTGCTCATCGCTTTGCCCATTGGGTCCCCAGCTTTGGTCCTCTGGCAAGTCATCCATGGGGCGGCTAGGGAGCGGAGCATTTGTTGGATGTCTTGTAAGACCCCCGGGTGCTTGTGAATGTGCCGGAGGGGACGGCGCAGAGACCTGGGAATCTGATCTAGAGTTCCGACCGGCAAACGCGCTGTGATCCGCAGAAGCGTAACTAGGTCCGCCGGGCATCTGAACATGTTGGGTGGGATAGGGAGCCTGAGACGTCATGGTATGATACGCCATGCCTGAGGCATTGTTCACACCGTTCAAAGAATAGGACCCGTAGTACTGCTGAGTGTTGTATGCATTCGCCGGGGGATAGGACTGGTCATATTGTGGCGATGTCGGAGGATACTGTGGACTACGGGCGGGCTCATGGGGGGATTGGCCAAACCCAGACTGCGGGATGCTGGGAGAAGTATAGCCATACGTGTATCCATTGTATCCCGAGGAAGCCACTGAAGCGACTGAAGAATGTCTCTGTGGCGTGGCCGAGTTTGTGTTGGCGTACGCCGCCGGGTTATAAGCTGGCGGGGTATAGGTTGTAGGAGTGGGCGCGTAAGTCGGGCTCGTCGGAGCACCGTATCTCGAGGCTGGGGCGGGGTGGTACGGGAGGGATGTCGATTGAGTGCGGGCGAAGGCCTGGGGGTTATATGTCGAGTGTGTCGGTGCGGGCGGCGGCGCGTTCGTTTGAGCCTGATACTGGTGTTGATAGCCAGCCATGGCGATATGCTGAGGATTGTAGCTGAGGCGGTTTTGGGCGGCCGGCGCATCCAGAGACGTGGGACTGGTGATGAACAGCTCCTCCTCGGCCCTACTGACAACAGGGCCCCCAGTGTAAATGGCGGGCTGCTGGCGGGCAGCGCTCGGGTCGAACATGGCGGCATCGTCGCCCGTGTTGAAGCTCAAGCGTCGCTGGGGAGGGTATGGCGGGTTGTTGTTGTTGTCCTGCGCGGTGCCGGCGACGGGATATTGGGCAGGCGGTACATGGCCATAGCGGCGTGAATCGTCGCCGCGAAACGACATGGCGCTCGAGTGTCTGTCGTCGTTGTCGTTGTCGTTGTCGTTGTCGTTGTCGACTGTTGGGTATAAGGAGACGACGACCTAGAAGCTGTCGCTGTCAATGATGGACGGCGCCGAGGTTCGGGCGAGCAGCTTTGTGCGATGTCTTCGTGGCGTCGAGCTCTCGAGCAACCTTCCACCGGAAGGAAGGCGACGGGTTGACAAGAGCGAAATTGGATGTCGGAAACAACGGCGACGGGGTTGCGGATTCAGGCAAGGTCGCTCGGTGGTGCTAAGGTATGCACGTGGGTATGATAACAGCTCTCTGTCGATTAAATGCCGTAGAGTCTGGAGTGGCATTTAGCGCGCGGCCAGTGGGGACTCTGCTATGTCCTATGGGTATCCTCTGTATCGTAATCGTATGTACACGTCTTTACACCAACGGTAGGTACGTTGTCGAAGTTGTTAGGAAACTGAAGTGGTCCTTGAAGTGTAGACTAGGTCCTGCAACTCGGGTGGCTGGCACGCGTGAGGAACGCAGATATGATGTATGCAATCAAACCGAGTCGGACTCAGCGTCTGACTCTTGTCGAACGTCCAAGTCGTCGGCGTGTCACAAGGCGCAGGCGAGGGCGATGTGTATGGGGAGAGTACGGTACTCGTCGGTTAGGTGTGGAGTCCACCCTCTGGGGGTCTCGCTTGCAGCCAGCCAACCGACTCTCATCGTCCCTTTGAGAGTCAGGATTTTTATATATATCTTGCAAGCGGTATATCTTTCAAAAACCTTATATAGCCAGAACTTTATTATTTTTAATTGTATGATATTGTGAATAGCTTCAAATTACTCGTCTTGATGTAATGGGTCTGCGAGAGTATTGCACAGCGAGCAGTCATGTAATGTTGAAATGCTATATTTAATAGAGAGGAAAAGGACTACTCCAGAAGGGAGCAGTCGAAAGAAGGTTTTGTACAACCAAAGCTAAGACCGCACGAGCTAGGCAAACATATAGGTCTAGCGAACCAAAAGGCTCGTATTAGCCTTAGCGTCATACAATAACCCCTAACTCGGGTTAGCACGCTTAGTAATAGCCAAGCATATTAACCGGGTGCTAGCCCCATAATATTACCCCCCTATTCCTCCTTAGGGAGTTCGGTCCTACGTATAAAAATCAACGTAACTAAATATACGAGAAAAGACTAAAATCCAATATAATTATACCTAGCCAAATACCTATTTAAATAGGGAAAATTAATAATACTAAAAAAGATAAAATCTCTCTATCTAAGCCCCCAAATAAACGCTACACAACTACCTATTTCCTACCCGAATTGGTAATAATATACCTATTACCTACCCTTATAAAGCTACGCTATAATTTAGTACTAAAATTAAATTAGGGGATATTTCTAAACTTTACTTAATTCCGGGGCCCTCTTTTACTACATTATATTAATAATTTATAATAGAAATAATTAAAATTAAGGCTATTACTTAATACTTTATATTATTATATTTCTCTTACTAATAATCGGCTACCCTCTCGTTCCCTTATTATAGAATAGCTTTAATAATTCTTATACTTACAAAATATAATACCTATTCCCTCTATCAATTATATTATAAATAAATACTAATATAGCTAGGTAGCGAAGGGTACTACTCTATAATTTATCTATTTAACTAATAAATAGCATACCCTAGTAAGCTAACTAAAAGTCTCTCCTTTTAAATATAGTAGCGCTCCTCTACCCCTAGTATTATTAAGGTTGCTATTAATATAATTTCACTTAATCTAAATATTCCTCCTCTTTATAACTATTACTATCGTAACCGCTTAAACCCCTACCGAATTATATTCAAATATTATTTTTCCTTATCTTTTATTTATATTATTTAAACTAGTAAGAACTATTCCTACAATTCGTATACTTACTCTCCTTCTTCTACCTATTTTTCTACTTCTAAAACGGCAATATCTTCGATGGGGTCACCGAAATATTATTAATCGAAGTATTTATAAAATTACTAATATTATTATTAACTAAGGCTTATTTTAATAAAGAAAAGTAGATTAAAAGAAAGAAATTACTATTAAATTTTCGTAAATACGTAAATAATACCGAATACTATTTAAATACGTCGGTTCGGACGAAAAAACGTTACTTCTAATTATAATTTAAAATAATAGTAATTTAACTAATTTTAACAATATTAAACTATAAGTCGGTTCGGGCATAATATAATACTTCTTTAAAACGAACGATAAAGGCCGCTATTAATTCCTTGAACCTCTATTTAAATTAATATGATTTCTAATCAGCGCGCTTAATAGAGTTAGGGTCCCCGTATATGAATTTAAATTTATTAATAAACTTATAGGGAGATTAAAATATAGCAGTAAATACAACGAAGAGTTTTTTAATAGCGGACGATAAGTAAGCAAATAAATAAAAGAATTGCGCTTTTAGATTACTAATAGCGAGGCTATCTATATAGAATTTAGCCTACGCATTTAAAATTTAGGTTTCGAATTCTTCTTTACTCCCTAAAAGTTTTTTGAAATACGGGAGGACTAATTTACATAACGGCGAATCGAAAGGAATAGTTTTAAGGGCGGAAATTTCGAGAATTAACTATTTAATCGAAGAAGCAAATTGTCGCTAATATTCTTAGGAATTTATAGATTAAATGATTTAAGGGCATTATTATTATTAAAATATTGTAAATAGGAAAATTATCATTAAAGAACGAGAGCGATAGTACGGAGACTCTTTAGCGGTGCTTACAAACGTTTAGCAATAGTAGTGCTTAAAAAGAGGGTTAAATATAATATAACGGATTTACAAGAGTATTGCATAGCGAGCAGTCGTGTAAGGTTAAAATGTTATATTTAATAGAAAGGAAAAAGATTGCTCTAGAAGGGAGTAGTCGAAAGAAGGTTTTATATAATTAGATCTAAGACTGTATAGGCTAGGTAAATATATGGGTCTAGCGAATTAGAGGGTTCGTATTAACCTTAGCGCTATATAACAACCCCTAGCTCAGCTTGGCACGCTTGGCAACAGCTAAGCATATTAACCGGGCGCTAGCCCTATAATACTTGACTAGATTATTTTATTTACTATACCGTATTTCAATTCTAATATTACTACGCGGGCGGAAAAGGCTATACGTTATTACTTCGCCCGCTAGAAGCATATAATACACACCAATTCGAAGGAGAATAATCGTAAAAGTAAGGGTAATAGCTATACTATAAAAGACGTTGTACAATTCTATAACGTTAGCAAGCCCGTTATTAAGAAGTATATATAGCTCATTTAAGAGGAGAAGCTATTACTAACGGATATAAATACCTATCGTCTGCTAGCGTTAACCCCTAGTGAAAATAAGGCTCTCAATATTGTAGTTTAAATCATTAACCGTAGCTACTTCCCTTTAAATAATACTTCCCTCGTTAAATTAATTAACTAACTACGAACTCAATGGCTATACCCCCTATTTATTAACCTCTATAGAAGCTAGTTTATAAATTAGCGTAAAAAATATTTAGAATTTGAATTTAAAGCGGCTAACTTCAAGGACGTAAAGAGGATGAGCGTTAAAGCTCAACTAGATTTTCTAGAAGACTAATTCAGTAGTATATTTAATAATTAATTCCCTTATTATAATTCTTATAATTATACCTAATATTATACTTTTACATTTAAAAGAGTTCATAGTACGCGGTACCATAGGATTTATACTCCCCGCGTATTTCTTACTTACAATCTTATTCGTTAAATTTATTAATCTCTTCTAATATTATATTAGTTATATTCTTCCTCCCTATATTAAATTTAAGAATAATAAATACGTATAATAATTATAGTATAGTAGTTATAAAGGGATTAATTATACTACAAAAAGGGGTAAAAGTAAAGGGTACGCTAATAATAGGGATAGGCGTTAATATTATAAGTAGGTTAATAAGGGTAAAGGTAAAGGCGAATATAAAAATATAATATTAAATAGTACTATTACGGATATATACCTTTATAATACCCTTACTATTAAAATTATAATTATTATTATTAAATTAAATAGCTATAATAATCTTTATATAAATTATAGCCTTATTTCTCCTATTATTATTATAAACGCTAATAGTATATATAATATTATAAAGGATAATTTAGTACCTAACCTTAGTAGCGGCCGCATTAGCAATAATCTTTTAAGTATACCTTATTTATAAACGAAGAACCTCCCTAACTAGGGTTATCCTAAACTGCTAATTATAAATTTTACTATTCTTTTATTTAATTTCAATCTCTTAATAATTCTTATAATTAAAAATAGTAGGAAGCTTAAATTTAAAGGTAATAAAATATAACCTAATAACTGTAAACTCTACCTAAATATAAGAAGGGAGAGCGGGCTTAAAAAGTAGCGTAATTTATTTACGGGTACGCGGTTGGGCTAAAGTACGCAATTAGGCTAAAAGCGCCCGGATTGAGGATACTACGTTTTTATCATTATTAAAGAAGCAAAATAATATATTAATAGCCTTCTTCTTAAGGGTAAAGTAAATAAAGAGATTAGGGATTATTATTCCTCTTCCTCTTCCTCCTTTTTCTCTTCTTCGTTATTATCAAATTCATTATCGGGGTCGCTAGAAAATTCGATAGGGGCTAACCATATAAGCGGGGAAGAAGATACAGGAATCTCGGGTTTTAAAAAGAGTTTTAAAGAGGGCTCTAGTTCTAGCGTAGGCGCCTTCCCTTTCCCCTTATTCTTAGGAGCGGCCTTCTTAGGAGCCTTCTTAGGAGCCTTCTTAGGAGCCTTCTTAGGGGCCTTCTTAGGAGTAGCCTTTTTAGGGGTAACTTTCTTCTTAAATAAATTAGCAATAAATTCCTCTCCTTCAAATTCAATAAAAGTACAACTCTTTTTTGTAGGGTGGGTGGAAGTACGTATTAATTGATTCGAACCCTAATCCTCGTCGAAGTAGACCGAAGTAACGCTAACGCAACGAGTCCGCTTCTAGTTCTTCTTCAAAATCGACTTAGGAGGCATTATTTTCAATTGATTAATAGAATGCAATTACTTTATTTACTTTATACGATAAAAGAGGTTATATAGCACTTCAATTCTGTATAGAAATCATGTAAAAAGACGATATTTTACGATGTGTGTATATGTTCTCGCTTGGTTGTTATAGCCAGCTTAGCAAGGTCTTAGTAACTGTCAAGGCGTTTGAGGGTGGGAAAGGCACATTGTCGTCACACACTGACACTCCAGCCCATCTGATACTCGCCATCCCATCTTCGTGAACATCATCTCAGATCTGTGTTATGGTTGACACTGACCTAAATTCTTTCGTATCTATAAGACAACTTCTAACGTCAGAGATATAAAGAGAGAACACATTCAGCCCAAGGGATGATGTTTCATGAAACAGAGAAACGGGTAGCCAAGTGATGGGGATGAAATGGTGAAGCAGCGCGTATGCCTTGGCTGCTGAGCGTTTGTGAATTGTGTTAAGAGAAAGAGTAAAGTGACCAATCAGCTCTGAGCTTTGCTTAGAGGTTCCCCTGGATCTGATTCAATTGCCAGGGGCTCCTTTCAACTGTTTGTTTGGCTTTCTGCAGTCCCCACGTTTTTCAAAGTTCAACATGGTCCTGTTCAATATCTCTGTTTCTTGGGCCGTTCAAAACCGATATGTTTTAAGCTGAAGGAATTGGCTCTGAAGTGCTTCAAGCCAAGTCTCGAGTTGGGATCTCCTTCACTTTTGGAGAAAAATTTCGACTGTTGGTGCAGCCCAAGGACATTGGACGCCGTGGCGTCTGGGGGGGAATACCTCAGCCTTCGGGTTTCCTTCTTGCCGCGGCAATATCCAACAATGGACTGTTTTCGGATTCAGAACCGCTGGAGCCTTCAGCCCTATGGCAGCCGCCGTGAGGTCTAGGTAGGTCTGTGTGGGTAGCTCGGACTCTGGGGGCAATCGTACATACTTTCGAATCTGCCTCAGCGTTGATGTATCAAGATCTTATCAGATGGTCGGATCGACCGAGTTGAGCCAAAATGGTGAGAACACAAAGGAAGCCAAAGGAAACACCCCACTCCATGAATTGCGTGCTGGCCTGAAACGGCCCCGCGATCAATGACACCAAAATGCTAGCCGATGTCGTCGTATCGGTAGGCTTTGCTGGCAAAGTTTATGTTGAGCTGTTGTTGTTGTTGTTGCTGATGGTGTTGCTGTCGACAATCGGTACCCAAAGATGCCGAGTAAATATGCTCTTCTTTTGGGAACAAGAATCGAAATGAATTTGATCTTCAAGCTCTCGAGTTGAAACACCAAAACAACAACATCTCCATGCAATGCCAAGACGCCTTATGACATGTGTTGCCGGAAGTGATGCCGAATTTGTAAGCGCCACTCAATCGTACCGCGAGAACGAGATGACGGCAATGCGGGGTTGTGGTTCGCTCATCCCCTGACGAACCCCACCTGGATGCCAGCGATCCTCGGACGCCGAACTTTCCCCCGTGGCCCCCCGCTTCTTCAGGTCCAAGTATAACGTACCCATTTTTCTCCCAAGATCTTCTCTGCTGCTTCCTCTGCTTCAGTAAACACACAACCTACTAGATACCCAAACAAACCGCTTCTACCCAAGCACTTCTAAATCCGTCAAAATGGTCAAGGCTGGTAAGCAACATCCACTGCAATGCGTCACATTCATCCCGCCGTCATGTTCTCGAGGTTGCCTTGCGGCTACCCATCCGCCATCAGACGATCCGAGTGGAGGGATCGGTTGCCCACGCGTTGGTTTGAGCGAGTTTCTGCTCGTGGCCGGACACCTTGATGGGCACCTTAATCATCACGTCCCTCGACGAATGACGCAGGACGAACGCGAGAACCTCTCTGGCTACCGGGTCCCTGCATTATTGGCTAGACGGCAGTACGGCTAACCTTTCTTCTTTCACCCATCCAGTCGCTGTTCTCCGTGGTGACTCCAACGTCAAGGGCACCGTGATCTTCGAGCAGGAGTCCGAGTCCGCTCCCACCACCATCACCTACGACATCTCCGGCAACGACCCCAACGCCAAGCGTGGCTTCCACATCCACACCTTCGGTGACAACACCAACGGCTGCACCTCTGCCGGCCCTCACTGTGAGTGATCCGAGATCCGAGTCCCCGGGAACGTGGAACGTGGAGAAGAGAGGAGGTGATCACCATAGCAGTAGACTGACCAATGTGCCCTTACCCATCCGCAGTCAACCCCCGTGGCACCACCCACGGCGACCGCACCGCCGAGGTCCGCCACGTCGGTGATCTCGGCAACCTCGAGACCGATGCCCAGGGCAACGCCAAGGGCTCCGTGACTGACAACCTCGTCAAGCTCATCGGCCCCGAGAGCGTCATTGGCGTATGTTCCTCCCAGATTGTCCGTTCAACTACAGTGTTTCCTCTTGCTAACTTTTCCAACAGCGCACCGTCGTCGTCCACGCCGGCACTGACGACCTTGGCAAGGGTGGCAACGAGGAGTCCCTCAAGACTGGCAACGCCGGTCCCCGCCCTGCCTGCGGCGTCATTGGTATCTCCCAGTAAACGTCTCAACCGGTCGGATAGTTTACGTTGTTAGACTGTTGTAACCTGAGATGGTCTGCTGTCAAGCGGCGTGAATAAAATTGTAAAAGTGAAGAACCAAGCCAGCCCATTTCGAAAGTTTCTATGACCGTGATCCAATCCTGTGTTTGGTATGCAGAGGTCGGTAATTATACTGTCATTGGAACCTTCAAAGCTCAAACTACTTGCCTCGTAGAAACCGACAATCTAGTTAGCTTTACAAGCAAATCTCATAACTATACTAAAGCGAAGAGACCGGCCTGTCACTCCAAATGGATGCCCTGCATGTCCTCTCCAAACCGTTCCTCTGATATGAAGCTTGATCCTTGCTTGGAGCTCTAGCTTAGGAGCTTGGGCAGCTGGGCTGTCACGGCAACTTAGCAATGTGGAGACGCCCGGCTACCGCTGTCATGCTCCCAGCCGTTTCCAGGTACCGCGGGGGATGTGATCGGAAGTTTGCAGATGAGAACCGTTGTTTAGAGATTAACGATATAAATAGTTCAACTTTCTCTAACCAAGTCCAAAAAGATGTTCACTATATCTACGGGCTTAAGCATATACGAGCTACTTCGTTAAACTCCTGATAGCTCCGCTCTCGCCTGTTCCTCCTTGTCATAAATATCAATCTCATACGCATCTACAATCAACTCATACCCAGGATCAATCACCAACACGTCCCACCTGGGAATAGGGAACTTCATCTCCAACTCGGTTTCGACGCCAGCCCAGTCATACACGTCTTGGCCATAGGCACAGACGATGTGGAGTTCCTTGACGTTGACGAAACTGGAAATCCGTCGAAGGTCTGAAATGTCAACCACGTCTTCGTCGAGGTCACGCTGAAACCTGAGCGCTTTGATCTTGGGTGCGTAAGATGAGAAATGGCGGAATAGACTGGGACCGATGGAGAGCATGTCGAGGTCGAAGTTCACCCAGACGTAGTGGCGCGGTTCCTTGTCGTCCAGATTTGGACCTGGCTCTGTTCGCTGCTCGGGATCCTTTTCGTCCAGTTCCAGTTCCTCGCCGGCGTGTCTTGCGATTGGTAAATCCTGAAAGGCTTTCTGGTAGTAGTTCCCCCCAAGGTGATTCCTTGCTTCTCGACAGGTCTGCAACGGCGCCGGCACCGGCGTAGACGAAAACAAAGGGAAGACATCTCCCTCTTCGGGAGAGACTTTGTTGAATCTCTTAGTAACCATATCGTAGTCATAGTCCTTCTTGCTGTACTCAACGCGGACTTCGACAATCCGAGGCTCGACCGTCATCTCCCATATGCGAAGTCGAACCTCCCGTGGGAGACGGGGGAACTGGGGGAAGGGAAACATGGGCAAGGGAGGCTTTATGTTCCCTCTTCCTCTTGGGGTCCCGTTAGGGTAGAGCATCACCTCTTCGTGGCCGTGGACGGCCCAGAAGGGGGGGTGAGTACGGCTTCGGTCTGGCATTTTTGAGGTGTATGAACTGTAATTTTCTTTTCTGTGTTAGAACGGAGCACTGCTCAACTTGAAAGGCTTCATTGATGACATGTCAGGTTGCAAAAACAACAGCTGAGGTGGTGATGCTGCCTGGAGAGACGCCAAGGTATCTTTGGGTGTCCTAGGTACTTCGAGGTACCTTGACTATTCAGCAGAAACAGAGCTTGGAAGAAGTATCGGTCAAGTACCCTTCAACAGCCCCTGAAACAGGTCCCCTGGCGGGGAGGCGTTTCCAGAACAGCTGTTGAGGGGCTCTTACCCCACATTTCAGATGGGGCGAGGATGGATGAAATGGCGAAAGCTGTCCAGATTGGACCAGCAAGGGAAACCGTGACACACCGACAGCTGTCCTTCCACCTGGAGTTGCCGCACCTTGAGAGCTTCCGTCCCATCCACCAACCGGTCAGAGTCTCAACTTCAAGTTGTACTTCCTCCTCTTTTGCCGTCTGCAAAATCTCTCCTTTTTCCATATCACAACTTCTCTACACGCTTTAGTATATCACGATTCCAGAGCTCTCTCTCCTTCCCCTTGCTGAGCTGCTGTTGGTTTCTTTTTTTATTTCTATCAGGTATGCAAGACAGCTCCCCCACCGGTTCTGCCCCTCTCGTTCTCCGATGTGCCTCCCGGCCGGACCACGGCATGATCCAAACACCAAGTCGAAGCTACATGGAAGCATGTCAGCCTTGGAATATCTGCATCCTCGAGTTTCGATGACGACTCGGAGACCAATACGGTCTCAGTTGGCACCTTGGTTGCCAAATTTTGTATACATGATACATCCCTAACACCTCCGTCTTCCAGTACTACACCTTAATACTTCCAAACACCCTCGACCGTTACCGCACGAGCTCCGCCTCGAACATCCTTAGCCATGTCGTTCTTCGCTCAAGTAAAATCCGTGCTGAGCGGTGACACCTTGATCCTCGCCAACCCCAAGAACCCAGCGGTCGAGCGCCAGTTCTCTCTTGCCTATGTCACTGCTCCCCGTCTGAGCAAAGATGGCGACGAGCCATACGCTTTCCAGTCCCGCGAGTTCCTCAGGGAACTGACCCTCGGCAAGCCCATCAAGTGCACTGTTCTTTGTAAGCTTGCTGCCCCCTCTACTTGCCTCAGTTGCTCGCACACCAACATTTGCTAACTTGGAACTCAAAAAGACACCATCCCCAACTCCGGCAGGGAATATGGCATTGCACAACTTCAGGACGGAACCGAGCTTCCCGAGGCTGCCGTCAAGGCTGGCTGGCTCAAGGTCAGGGAGGATGCCGGCAGGAAAGACGACTCCGAGGAGATCCTCGACAGACTCGACAAGCTTAGGGAATTTGAAACCCAGGCGAAGAACGAACAAAAGGGCCTTCACGCTGGCAAGGATGGCTTTATCGCGGTTCAGAACGACCTCGGTGACCCCGACTTCCTTAACCAGTGGAAGGGCAAGACTGTGGACGCCGTCATTGAGAAGGTCATTAGCGGAGACCGTCTCCTTGCCCGTCTTCTCCTTAGCGACAAGAAGCACTACCAGGTCATGACTCTCATTTCCGGTATCAGGACACCTTCGACCGCCAGGACGAACCCCTCCACTGGCCAGACACAGCCTGCCGAGGAATACGGCGAGGAGGCCAAGAGATTCGTTGAGACCCGCCTCCTTCAGCGCAAGTTGAAGGTCAAGATCGTCGGTGCCAGCCCCCAGGGGCAGCTTGTTGCTACCATCCTTCACCCCAACGGCAATATTGCCGAGTTCCTCCTTCAGGACGGCCTTGCCCGTTGCAACGACTTCCACTCCGTCTTCCTCGGTCCTGATATGGCTGCTCTCCGTGCTGCCGAGAAGAAGGCCCAGTCCGCTCAGCTGCGGTTGCACAAGGGCCACGTTGCCAAGGCTACTGGTGGTGGTAAGGACCTCGACGTGACTGTCAGCAAGATTGTCGGTGCCGATACCATCCTTGTCCGGAACAAGGCCGGCGAGGACAAGAGGCTTAGCTTGAGCAGCATTCGTGGTCCCAGAGCTGGTGAGCCTTCCGAGGCTCCCTGGAGAGAGGAGGCCAAGGAGTTCCTGCGCAAGAAGGTCATCGGCAAGCACGTTCGCGTCTCGATTGACGGCTCCAAGGCTGCCACCGATGACTTTGAGGCCCGTGATGTTGCCACTGTCACTCGCGATGGCAAGAACATCGGTTTGATGCTTGTTCAGGAGGGTTATGCTACTGTCATCAGGCACCGCAAGGATGACACTGACCGCGCTCCCAACTACGATGAGCTTCTTGCTGCCCAGGAAACGGCTAAGGAGGAGAAGAAGGGTATCTGGTCTGGCAAGAGCCCCAAGATCAAGCAGTACACCGACATGTCCGAGAGCGCACAAAAGGCCAAGCTTCAGCTTTCTACCCTCTCGAGGCAAAAGAAGGTTCCCGGTATTGTTGACTTCTGCAAGTCTGGTTCTCGCTTCACTGTCTTGATTCCTCGTGAGGGTGTCAAGATTACCCTGGTTCTCGCCGGTATCCGCGCTCCTCGTGCTGGCCGCACGCCTAAGGAGCAGGGTGAGCCCTTCGGAAACGAGGCTCTTGAGTTAGCCAACAGACGCTGCAACCAGAGAGATTGCGAGATTGATGTTCACGACATTGACAAGGTCGGCGGCTTCATCGGTGACCTTTACATCGGTCGTGAGAGCTTTGCCAAGCTCCTTGTTGAGGAGGGTCTCGCTTCCGTTCATCAATACTCCGCCGAGAAGTCCGGCAATGCTGCTGAGCTCAACGCCGCTGAGAAGCGTGCCAAGGAGGCTCGTAAGGGCCTGTGGAAGGACTGGGATCCTTCCCAGGATGCCGCTGAGGAGGAGGAGGAGGCTGCGGCTGCGGCTCCTGAAGTTGAGCTTACCATCAGAGAGAAGCGCAACGATTACCGCGACATCGTCATCACCAACGTTGATGCCAACGGCAAGCTTAAGATCCAGGAGGTTGGCAAGGGCACTGCTGCCTTGACTACCCTGATGAACGAGTTCAAGAAGTACCACAGCAACCCTGCCAACAAGAAGTCCCTCCCGGACGCACCCAAGACTGGTGAGCTTGTGGCTGCTCAGTTCAGCGCCGATGGCGAGTGGTACAGAGCCCGCGTCAGGTCGAACGATCGCAGCGCCAAGGTTGCCGAGGTCGTCTACATCGACTACGGTAACTCCGAGAAGCAGCCCTGGTCTAAGCTCCGTCCTCTCGACGCGCAGTTTGGCGTCCAGAAGCTCAAGGCCCAGGCCATTGATGCTTCCCTGTCCTTCGTTCAGCTTCCTTCCGCTACCCACTACCTTGATGAGGCCATCAACATCATCTACGAGCTGACCGAGGGCAGACAGCTCGTCGGCAGCTTTGACTACATCGACAACAAGGAGGGTCTCAGCTACATCACCATCTACGACCCCAAGGATGCCAAGGACCCTGATTCGTCTCTCAACCGCGAGATTCTCTCGACTGGATACGCCATGGTTCCCATGAAGCTCAAGGCGTGGGAGAGGAGCCCCGTGTTCGAGAAGACGCTCAAGTCGTACCAGAAGGCCCAAGAACAGGCCAAGGATTCGCGTCTTGGTATGTGGGAGTATGGCGATATCACTGAGGACTAGGATCTCTCGGTGCTTATGCCGGAGAGGTGTGTTATGCCAGAGAGATTTGTTGCTTTTTTAAAGTTATAAGGAGCAGGGCAAGGCAGGGGCGGGCAAAAGCTGATATCCTTTGGTGTTCATGACGATCAATAGGGAGAAAAAAAACATGGGATAATTGATATGGTTTTGAAAGAGTTAAACCGCTATTTTCGTGATGTGAAATGTTTATGTGAACTCAATACGAGTGGCTAGCCGTACATGAAACTGCCGATCGCCGGAGCTAACAAATGGGTCATGCTTTGGTGGTGGTGAAGATCTGGGAGAGTCTCGCCGTTAAAGTCGCCGGCCGGATAAAAAGGCAGTAAGAAACGTGGCCGGGTAAATTGGTCAGGTCAAGCTCCCCTTGCTCTTGTCTCCAGTTGCACCGAGCTGTGGAACCGCAAGTCCCCTGGAGGCTGGAAGAATGGCAGAATGTCTAAAGTGCCCAATGGTAAGAATCAAGAGATGCGCGTGAGCCTGATGAATGTTGGGAGAGGTTTCTTTTGCATTTCACTATTCTACCAGACCAACTTTCATAGCACAGCGATGGTTAACATTTCAACGAAAAGAAACGCCGGTAACCAAAGGGAAAAGACGTCGATGACTGTCACTGCACTGGTGACATAAAATCAGTGGAGTCCCGTAAACACGCCCGGCCGATCCGAATGGGGTCACTGGCGAGGAACTGGGTGTGACGTTATGGCATCACTAACATTCACGCTACGGCGCACTAACAAACCTCCAACCCCCCAAAGCACCCCCAAAGTCCCAAACGACCAACCCCCACGCAAGGAATGGGATACGAATTGGGATGAGGAAGCTAGTTGACAGTGTGTTGGATGCTCTGGATGAAAGGTGTTGATCAGGACAGAACATGAAATGGGTTGTGGCTGAAAATCCCGGGAGGAAAGTTCGGCAGTGCGGCCGAAGCGGAAGGGCGGCCATCGAGGTGCTTTCTTGGTGCTTGGATGAACAATACTCGCCACATAGGTGTTTCTGCGAAACTGGCCGTGCTGTGGCCTGAAATGGCAAATAGTCTGGGTCGGAGAAGTGCGCTTAGTGACGGGAAGAGGAAGACAGACAAGAACTGAAAAGTGTCAAAGCAAAGAACCACAGAGCTTCTCCAAGAAGGCGTGGAAGGGTAGATCAAGGGACCACCTTGATGAGATTTATAGCTACTTTTGGGTCCGAGAGAGTTTCCGGACCTTGCAGAAGAAGTGCAGAAAGAATGCCAAAGACTCGACGAAATGTGGGGATCATGCAAACCGGATGCCGGGATAGAAAGGTATATGACGATGGTGATGATATCCCCGCTATTTGGCCGTGGGACGGATTTCTAGGTGTCATATTAGTAAACCAGGACAAGAATTTATGACAAGACCCCTCCGTTGCAGGCACCATCCACACCATTCCACCATCCGCTAATGTAGCGAAGCGTGCCAAGACTGGACGTTGCCATTTTCACCGTCATTCTCCAATACCACTTCAAAGCGAACTCCCCCTTCAACAACTTCGCCTGATTTCCAATTCCTTCCCATCTTTCTTCTTCTCTACAACAAAACATTCTCTTTGATTGATACGCCCCCAAAACACCAACGACAAACCACCCCTTAATACTATTGACGCATACACATCACCCAAAATGTCTAACTCTCTCGAGCAGCTCAAGGCCACTGGCACTGTACGTTAATTCCGTCATTCCTGTTTCCCCTGTACCCCGCCAAACCCCTCATCCGATGATTCGGGGGCTTTTTGTGAAGCTTCCCACACGAACCATCGCAGCCCGATGGGGTTTTTGCGACGATGCGAGATGCTTCATTGTATCTGTGTCTGTTTTGCGACGTTCTGCGACAATTTGGTGAACAAGCTGCTAACCGCTGCATCTTTGCGCAATGTATAGGTTGTCGTCTGTGACTCAGGTAAGCTTCTTTCCACCAGCTTCCTCCGATGTAGGAGCAGAACACCATGACACCATGATACTAACGATTTCCTGCGTCCGACAGGCGACTTCGCTACCATGGCCAAGTACAAGCCCCAAGATGCCACCACCAACCCCTCCCTGATTCTCGCCGCCACCAAGAAGCCCGAGTACGGCGCTCTCCTCGACGCCGCCATCGCTGAGGCCAAGAAGGGCCCCGGCTCCCCTGAGGAGAAGGTCGATGCCGCTCTCGACTACCTCCTTGTCCAGTTCGGCAAGAAGATTCTCGAGATCGTCCCCGGCAAGGTCTCCACTGAGGTCGATGCCGCCCTCTCTTTCGACACCAAGGCTTCCGTCGACAAGGCTCTTCACATCATCAAGGTGCGTTTTCCTCAACATTTTCGCCTACCGGACTCCTTAACTTGGGGAAATACTGACTTTTTCTCCAACAGCTCTACGAGGCCGAGGGCATCTCCAAGGACCGCGTCCTGATCAAGATCGCCTCCACCTGGGAGGGCATCAAGGCCGCCGAGATTCTCCAGCGCGACCACGGCATCAACTGCAACCTCACTCTCATGTTCTCCCTTACCCAGGCCATCACCGCCGCCGAGGCCGGTGCCTTCCTCATCTCCCCCTTCGTCGGCCGTATCCTTGACTGGTTCAAGGCGCACACCGGCAAGGACTACTCCAAGGAGGAGGACCCCGGTGTGGCTTCCGTCAAGTCCATCTACAACTACTACAAGAAGTTCGACTACAAGACCATTGTCATGGGTGCCTCTTTCCGCAACATTGGCGAGATCACTGAGCTCGCTGGCTGCGACTACCTTACCATCTCTGTAAGTTTTTACACCGTCTGTCCTCCTACATTTAAATCAACAAGTACTAATACATACGAAAAAAAACAGCCCAACCTCCTCGAGGAGCTCCTCAACTCCGATGCTCCCGTCCCCCAGAAGCTCAACGCCGCCGACGCCCACAGCCTCTCGCTCGAGAAGAAGACCTACATCAACAACGAGCCCACCTTCCGCTTCGACTTCAACGAGGACCAGATGGCCGTCGAGAAGCTCCGCGAGGGTATCTCCAAGTTCGCTGCTGATGCCGTCACCCTCAAGGACATCATCAAGCAGAAGCTTGCTGAGTAAGCGTGCGGTGGTGGTAATGGTTATATAATTTAGAATGAACAAAAATGGATGATGATGAATTTTATGGCAATTCCTTGTCTTCCTGTTTGCGTGCGTGTGTATTGAGTGTTTTCGGTGTAGATATTTCGGCAACTACGTTAGATGAAGGTTAGGTTTCCTTGTGCAGTACTTGGTGGCGTGTTATGCAATTGGTTGAGTTTATAAAGTCCGTTGACTTGAGATGACTGAATGGTTTAACGGTAGATGTCATCCGAACTTGCATCCATTGGGATGAAATCACGACGGCCAATGTCTACCGTTGTTGATTGTGATCCTGAGCGGCATGTGAAGAGTGATATGATTCGTCTCTATGCTGTCCTTACTTAGAGAAACAACCACCATCTCTTCATCATCTCTTCACCACCATCACATACCCTTCCACTTCACTCTCATACAACCTCCATTACGTTATTATACAAGTCATCACAGTAATCCGCATTATATACCCAAAAAACTTGAGAAACATTATTTAAAACCAAACCCATAATATCTAAACCTCTTTAACCCACCAACCCACCCCTCTTTATACAACCCAACCCAACCCAATCCCAGGTGATTCATTCATCATCGTAATACCGTCTACTAATAATAATCGGCCTCGCCGGGTCCCACGGCCCGTAAATCTCGTTCTTGTACTTTTGCAACCCAATCAGCCACCAGCTGCACCCGCCCATGGCCAAGGCCGCGATCAGACAGGACACAATCATCCCCAGCAAAGAGTGTTTGAGCCAGGTTTGCCAGCATTGGGATATCCCCCCCATCCCTCCTAATAATATCATTCCTTCCATCCCTTTCATTCCTATCCCGTCTTCTCTAAGCATGATATCTGCTGCCCCGGTGGGTATACCAGAGAGGGAAGAAGTACCGGGTGGGGGACAAGGCGCCCCAATAATAATCCCCACCCCGGCCCCCGCTCCCAACAACAGTAGCACAGTCAAGATGAGATGATACCGAAACGAACGGTGGCGAGCGTACCGCCGGAAGACGGGAAATAAGCCAAAGACTTCGATGGAGAATAAGGTAAGGGAAAAGACTTGGCCGGTGGAGGGTAAGCGAGAGGCGAGAACGGTCGAGGCCATAAGAGCGGCGTTGGTGGAGAGCGAGGCGATGGGGAATTTGTGTTGGGTTGGGATGGGGGCTGTGCCACCTGTGGCTGTTGAGATTGCGGTTGCAGATGGAGCTCCGGTTGCGGTGGGAGTGGTGGAGGTACCGGGGACGGCCCTGGTGCCGGTGGCAGGCGTAGAAGTGCCGCTTGCGGTTGGGGAAGTTGAGGTTAAAGTTGGGATGGGCGTTGCGGTTCCGGTTGCGGCTCCGGCTCCGGTTACGGCTCGCACTGCGACTCCGGCTGGCGCTGGGGTCGAGCCTCCGGTCACGATACCGCCGGTTTGGTTCGAGTGAGGGTTGGTGATGGTTGCCTGTGTGAACGGGTTGTTGTTGATGGAGTAGTCGAAGAAGAAGATGTTGATGGCAAGCAGCCAGAAGGAGATGGCCCAGATGGAGTCGGAGGAGGTTGATCGGGTCAACGACTTGAGGATCGGGGAGAGTCCCAGGAGGGTGAAGTAGATTAGGATGGCAGATTTGATTGTGGATAAACGGAGCTGAAGGCGGCTGTTCCCAGGGATAACGCCGCCGCCGCGGATCGGAGAGGAGGTCGAGGACCGGTGCCGGTGGTGACCGTAGTGGGCTTCGTGGAAGTCGGCGACCGATTGGGCCCGCGAGCCGGCGCGGGAGGCGGCGGCGGTAGAGGGTTCGATGCTTGCGGAGCGCGAGTCGGTCGGGCCGATGCTGAAGCGGGGGATGTGTAGCTGTTGATCAGGACGCGGTGACGGCGCAGCCGAGGGTAAGGCGGACGCCGGAGTCGATGTTGCTGCTCCTGCTCCTGCTCCCGCTTCCGCTCCCGAAAGACTGACTATGCTCGCGTTACGAGTTGGGCCACCAAGAGAGTCCTGGCGCCGAACGGGACGAGGGTCCCGCCCCCTATACGAATGTGTAGTCCCATCCATTGCGCCTTGCGCTCTCAGACTCTCCTCCCCTACCCACCAATCCCATAGTAGCCAGCCGATGAAGGTCGCAAAGCTGCCAAAGCCTACCACGGACACGGGACTGACGCGCTCCTGGAAGATGCCGACGAAGCAGACGACGAAGATGATGACGGAGCATACTTGTTGGACAATGACAGTCGAGTCGGCAACGAGGGGCCAGAAGTCGTACGGCTTGACGCGCGGGTTGCGCTGGAGCTTCTCGAGGAAGGTCGCCTGGTCGGTGTAGTTGTCAGGGTATGACTGCTTCACCCAGAGTAACTTCTGAAAGCGTTTCTGCCTCCTCCTACTCCTGCTCCTGCTGCCATCTTTGCGCCTGATATGTCTCGGTCGTAGCTCGTTTGTGGAGCCATTGGGCGCGTTGCTGCCGCTTCCGCTGCCGTCTACATTGTAGAGACCGGTTCGGCGCGGCGGAGAGACGGGGGAGTAGGCATCTTCGGGGGCCAGATGGGAGGGATCGGTGCGGTGCGACTTGGGACCGACGGGCACGGTAGATGATCGGACGAGGGGCGGGAAAGGGGTCTCGAAGTCGGAGGATAAGGCGGCTTGGTGGAGGCCCGAGGGAGGGGCCATGGATCAGAGAGGCTCTCCCTCCATGCAAAGGTGGGCTCGTCACAAGGGGGGGTTTTGTCGAGATGTGGTCGCGCGTCGAGATTGCAGTTCGCAGTTGGCAACGAAGGGGGATATGAGGTCAGAGTGGTGCTACAGCTGCTGGTGCTCCCCTGCTGGACTCATGGATGCGTGACGCGATGCCGGATGTATGCCGGATGGATGACAGGTGATGGGTAAAGGTACTGTAGCTGACAGGTGATGGCACAGCAAGAAGCAAAAGAAGCTTTTTTTTTGGTGGCTAGCGCTGGTTGTTGGCGTCAGATGGAAAGGCCAGGGGAGGAGGCTGGGAATTGGTCCATCAAAGTGGAATGCGGATGAACATTCGAGGAACGAAGACTCCAGCCAGTGATGGTTGAGGCTGACCTCGGTGTCGGTGGAGATGCTTTCTGTTGTCCAGAACTTGAACCCCCAAAGTGTCCCATGTCTTGGCAGTCAATTGGCGGCTTCCTCAGCGAGTGCACGAGCCTTCCTTCAGTGGGAGAGTGGGCCATTGAGGCGGCGTCGGCAGGGCCAGATCGCCAAGCAGCAACCGAAGAACACAAGAATGACGGAATCTCTTGTCTGGGGAAAGCTGAAATGCTTGGCTCTTTCCATCTCCTTTCATTCGTTTCATCAGCGCCTTGGTGTTTCCGACTTGACAAACAGAAACAAGAACCTCCAAGACAAAACCAAAAGCTTATCTGGTTCAGCTACCATGAACCCGGTCCCCTGATGTCTTGACGGATCCGCAACACATCAAGTTACACCCGCTTATACTTGCCGCAATGCAAGCACCTCACTCAGCAGCACTCCTAATGACACTACACTACATGCTCCCTTGAAACGTACGGGGAGGTGATCGTCAAGCGAGGGCTGACTTGACTTTATACGAGGGCTGGAGGGGATCACCCACAAGACTCCAGTCATACGGACCACCCCATGCAATAAACATGCCCCGGAGTTCGGACAAACGCCGCAAGCGACAGCTCATGGAATGCCATCCGGGGGGGAATACGAACAACAGAAAGGTGTAATCTGCTCCCGCAAAGGATTTCCCCGCAGGCACTGAGAGAGTTTATGGGAACAAGCAAAGGCGTTCTCGGTCGGGTAACATCAAGGGGGAGGAAGGGGAACCAACAGCCAACTCGAGGAAAACAACCGTTGTTCCAACACCCCTGTCTGCCACATGCGGTCCACTGGCGTCTAGATCCCCTTCTCTCTTGGACGTTGCATAGCCTCTCCTCTGAGCCGATCAAGGTTTCGGAACCCGACACACAACCTCCCGTTTCTGCTCAACTATCACGTCCGCGATACTACCTCTTGTCTGTCACTACCCTTCCCTTTTGGCCCCTCACGCAAACGCTTTTCCCAAAAGAGCCTCCCGGATTGGGAAACGCCGATTAAAAAGGCATCAATGGCACCAGGTGATCGGGTGAGACCTCGAGATCCGGAGCGGGACTGCCGTTGTGTCTCGACGCACATGGTGCGGGAAGTGGTTGGAACAAGGTTTGGACTGCCTTGTAAACAGTCAAAGTCTCACACCCCATCAGCCTGTCCGCCGAGAGGTTGCATCTTAATGTGATGCTAGGGGAAAACACCCGCTGCGTTTCTGCGTGGCGTGGCATTGGATCTGACCCAAATTGGATGAGATGAGGGACGCCGACGGCATATACATACGAGCCATTGGCGAATCCTTCACGACACTAAGCTCTGCACAGCCGGCCATCCTCTCAATATACCGGCCCAATATAAACACCACCAGCTGCTTTGTTGTTCTTGACAACGGATCACCATTCTGCTTTCTCTTCTTGTTAATTCCTTCTCATTCCTCATTCCTGCCTCTGGGCCGGGGTTGAGCACAAAGAGCTGTGCCTTACCCTTTCTGCTTGGGCCCTGCTTGCCTTTACAGCTTGCCACCTCGCGGCCTGCGTCACATATCGAAAGCCGACAAGCCGTGGCTGTACGTTGCTTTAACCAGTGGTGCAACCACCCGCATATATAAGGCCGGGGCGGCATATATAATCACGAAGCGAGCTTTCGATACACCCGGACGCGCCGGACGCTGTGATTGTCACATCATCCATCACACCTCAATCTCAGATCTCGCAAGTGTCGGCAAGCATCGCGCGGATCATAAAGTCAAGCGCCTTCCTTGCAGCTCCATCTTCTCAACATCCACATCAAGTCGCAAAATGAAGTCGACTGCCCTTTTCACCACTGTCACTATGGCGCATATGGCGCTATGCGTGCCGGTACCGTGGATGGCTGGCGACAAGATCTTGCCTTTGCTGAACAAAGATGCGCCGAACAGCGCAACATCCGGCCGAAGTCCAAAGACTGACAACACATTTGCGCTTGCCTCCTCCCACCTTGCTCCTGGTCCGATTCTCCAAAAGGCTGAGCAATCATTCAACTCGTTATGGGACAACTGGAAGAAGAAGCATGGCTCAAGCCCGGCACTGAATGTCGATGACGCGAAGAAGGATATCCCGGTGTTGATCATCACAGAAATGGGGGAGCTGAGCGTCGCGATACCTTCATCATCGCAGCCGTTATCAAAACAGGCGTCCAACTCCAAGCAGAAACCGGTATCGATACCACCTGGCAACAAGAAGGCGGATAATGTTTCGGTTACGGAATTGGGGGAGTTAAGCATCGGGATACCTTCGCCAGTGCCGTCGCCACCACCGTCGTCGTCAACTTCGTTACCCTCATCTTCTCGACCGTCCAATGGCACATCGCCGTGCCCATTCTATGTCGGAAAACCTCGCGATCATGACGATGTGCTGATCATATTCCTGGTGTCGACCTTCTTACTTGTTGTCGTCGTGGTCGAAGCTTGGGATCCTGTCTGTCGAAGGTTAGTTGTTCACCACACATCTCCTGTGATGCGCTAACCCTCCATCTTTTCCCGTCCCTTTTGCGATCGTCAGAGTTCCCGCTGACCCTCGGTATGATAGTGTAAGAAACAGGTTCTCGTCGAGACGGAAGGGCGCCATTCGGTTGGTCGAGGAGACAGAGACGAAACCCAAGTCGTTTCGGAATGATTCGGTCCTGGTCAAGTCGGAGAGCGGTTGAGGTCGGGAGGTACATGGCACCCAAAATAAAGAGCTTGTCGTTGTCACTGATCGAGGGCACGTCGTTCAGGTGGAGCCTCGGATGGAATCATGGGGAGTGGATCGGATGAAGGTGCGTATATGGGAGTTTTGGATCGTAGGCTATGGGCGGCATATCGGACATCGTTTTTGACTTTGAATCTTATTATCGGTTTGGTTTGCATCCCGTTTCTGTGTCGGATACTCGGGGTTCCATTCTTCCTTTGGGCTCCGGATACTCTTGTCGGTGTTGATTCTGCGGACGTGTTCGATGCGCCAATTGCATCTCCGTGGATGCTCGTTGTCGAATGGACTTTGGTGGCGACTGATCGACATTCTCTCGCTTTCCCATGTTGGCGTTTTCTCCACCACTTCCTACCCGCATTTCGTGTCGACCATCGCGCGTTTTATCGGTGTCCTCGCTGTCGTGTTAGAAGTCTCGAACCTCAGGACATCGGTGAGAGAAAGGAAAGTGCAGAAAGATGGCATCTGACAGATATTATACTCGGGCGCAAAGGAAAAGATTTTCGCAATCCGGAACCTTCGGCTTTCTCCTCAGCATTTGACATCCGGTCGACGCGGATGGTGTCTTGAATGTGGGCCAAATGGTCTTGGCAGCGTCGTCAGCAGCATTCAGCAGCACAGCAGCGTCCCGGTGGTTCTGAATGGATCAACAAACAACTGAACCGCCAAGTCAGCAATGAGGAATGACACGCCTGACACGCAATAGAGCCCCAAAACTGCTCAATTCACAACATCGACCAAACTGCACCTGTCACTCGATGTCGCATAGAGGCACTCTTTGTTTGCAGTCGGCGTACGACATATAAACCTGTCTAGGTATTCATTCAAACTTCGCCCTCGAGGCTCCGACGAAGGCTTAGACTCCTCACAGCCTTGTTAAACCTTTGTTTAACTCGAGGATACACAACCACACCCTCACCAACCCATGACGTGCTTTATAATGTTCCGGAAAGCAGCATCTCAGCACCATCCCGAATCTCACATGATGGTTTTGATTGTAATGGAGGTGACCTCCTGTCAGATTATGGGAAAGCCAAGTCCCAACGTGATGGTCCAGCGGTCCGATCCCTACCAGCCTTCGCTAGTCCTCGCGGCCGCTTTTGCAACACGCCATTGGTCAAAGACCGCTGAGAAGTGAAAACACACCATCTTTTTGTTTCTCTTACGGGCGTCGGATTGGCATGGAGAGTGTGTGCCACAACACCCTCTCTCACCCTTCAGCAAGCCTCCATGCGTGGTGTTTCAAGACACACCCAAGACACCCAAGACACACTCTCTGCAAGGTGATCCTAACGGGTGACCAGAACGTGCGTGTGCAGCCGCAACGCTGTTAATGGTGTTTCAACCTGTTCCTGTTGCTATCCTCCCGTCTTTTTCTGTGTCTCGCCGTCGGTTGGCGTGGTCGCCTTGTCTACCATGCCCCTCTCCGTTCTCGTCAGAAGAAGAAGAAGTCGAGGATCTGATGGAAAAGGAAGGCCAACGGAGCAAACGACCCAGACTTGCCAGCCAACAACAGTGCCAGTAAGCGCCATCATCCAGCCAACCACTCAGGCAGTGACATTCCTCTCTGACACAGTGGATGTTCAGCCCATCCACAGCGTTGCCCACACAGATTCCCACACACACTTCATCCGATCCATCTTAGCACGCGTTGGAGCCGTGTTAGTGGCTCCATATCATGCATGGCCTGCATACCAACCCCGCCCTCCTGCGTCTTGCTCCCTCGCTTCTTTTCTCAGCCTCTTCTTCTCTCTGTTGCTGTTTTTAAAAATCCCATTTTCCATTTTCTGCAAGTTCCGTTAGCCTCTCCAAGTCGAACTACTTTTAGGTGCTTCTCTTTCAAGCTTGCGCAGGAACCGACAAGTCTGCGTGCGGTGTTGCTGTGCAACAAACTTGGACCCTTCTGCGCCTTTGTTTACCTGAGAATAGGGGATCGCGAAAGCCAAGAAGTGACCCCTCACTTTCACCAGCCCCCAACTTTCTGACCCCAGAACCACCCCAGGACGAGTCGCGAAAAATTGCGATATCAGCCCTACACCTCGCTACTTCATAAACCGAGTCTGTCAGTTTCACAAATCAAACCTACATCTGCTTCACAGGCTCGAATTGCGAAACAGACTTTTTACGGCCAGAATCAAAGCATGTCGTCCCTACAGGTGGACGAACGGAGCCGAGGCGGGCGGTCCCGCTCCCCCGCAGATCCCCGCCGGGAGGACGAGGACTGGCCGCGAGACCGGGAGCGGAGCCGCGCCCGCACGTCCACGGCAAACGTTGTCGAGGCCGGTGTGTACCCGCCAGCCAACAACAACTATCGCGACGTTGACCCTGCCCTCGCTTACGAGCAGCTCGCCAACTACCCGCCTCCCGCTGGTGATCGCGGCGGCGATTACTACCGCAGCAGCCCACCTTCGGGCGACCGCGACCGCAACCGGGACCGGGACCGGGACTACGGCAGCAGCTATAATGCGTCAGCGCCATCGCTAGGCAGGCCCCGTGAGCGGTCGCTCTCGCGTGACCGGTTGAGGGACCAGTCGCGCCCTCGCGCACAGAGCCGTGATCGGAGACCCGATCCCAGAGAATCCCCGGAATGGGGAAAGAACATCAACAGGGAGCGTCCGGGTGAGTTCGGGGGAATGTATCTCCCGCCCAAGTATGCCGCCACCGTTGTCTCGGCCGACCCCGCAGGATCACCACACGGGTCACGCGACTTGTTCCACGGTCATGGCCGCACGCCCAGCACCTCGGGCAGAGAAAGAAATTCCAGCCGGGAGCGCCCGCCATCACCAGGCTACCAACGTCCTCGCCCGTCCAGCTATCACGCGGGTGCTGGAAGACCCGATGACAAGTACGGCGAGCCCATCGGCCGTCCCAGCGGCCGCACCCACAGCCCGAACATGAGCATCAGCAGCGCCTACGACCTGCGGCCCCCCAGCGTCGTAACCATCGAGCCCCCCCACAGCGGCGGCGGCGGCTACCCTTCTTCCCCCGGTCGAGGCCACCACGAAGACGACGGCAAACCCCCCCTCAAGTCCGCCATGCGTCCCGGCCGCGAAAAGTCTCCCATGCCGCCTACCAACCGCATGTCCCTCCTCTCCGTCAACACGCACACCCCGCACATGTCCAACGGCAACCTCTCCGTCGCCAACGCGCCCGCCTCCCCCATGCTCGAATCCTACCACGGCACCTACCAATCCATGTCCCCCATGCCCTCTCCCCTGATGCTGCCCACCCAGCCCGGTCCCAACGGTTCCTCCTACAGCTTCGTCGAGCCTTTATCTCCCCTCTACGGCTCCTCCTCGTCCGACGACGAGCACCATCGCAAGGGCGGTTCCGGCAGCGGCGAAAAGAAAGGCCACACCCGCACGCACTCCCGCCGCGCCCGCTTCCACGACCCCATCGACGACGCCGCCCGCCTCGCCCAAGCCCTCAAAGGCGAAACCCGCGCGCCCGACACTCTCACCCTCATCGAGATCTTACCGGGCCTCACCCACGAGCAAGTCATGGACCTGCGGGTCGAGTACAAACGCCTCGTGAAAACCGGCGCCGAGCGGAAGGGCGTCAACATCGCCAAGCACATCCGCGCGCGGCTCAAGGACGAAGATCCGACGCTCATGAAGGCGTGTTATACCGTTGCGTTAGGAAGGTGGGAGTCAGAAGCGTACTGGGCGAATTTTTGGTACCATGGGGATAAGACGCGGAGGGAACTGTTGATTGAGAGTCTGATGGGGAGGACGAATGAGGAGATTCGGAAGATTAAGGAGGGGTTTAGTGATAAGAAGTATGGGGATAGTTTGGTGAAGTGCATGAAGATGGAGTTGAAGGAGGACAAGTTTAAGAAGGCGGTGTTGATGGTTTTGGAGGAGAAGAGGCAGGAGGATGTGGATCAGTTTGGACGGCCGGTCAGGTTGGATTTTGAGCTGGTGGCGGACGATGTGAGGACTTTGCGGGATGCGATCAAGTCAGAGAGAGGTGGGGAAAGTGCCATGTTGGCGATTGTGGTGATGAGGAGTGAGGCGCATTTGAAGGAGGTGATGAGGGTTTATAAGGAGACGTTTAGGGGGGCGAATTTTGCTAGGGATGCTTTGAAGAGGAGTGGGAATCTTGTCGTACGTCTCTACCATCCCCCTCCCCCACCCCCCCCTTTTTTTTATCCCAGACACTAACACAGAGACAAAAAAAAACAGGGCGAAGTCCTAGCCCACATCCTTAACGGCGTCATCAACAAGCCCGTCCGCGACGCCATGCTACTCAACCACGCCCTGACCATGTCCAAGCGGGACGAGCTGCGGCGCGAGCTTTTGATTTCCAGGTTGGTCCGCTTCCACTGGGACGCGGGCCACATGTCCCGCGTGAAGAAGGCCTACCACGAACACTACGGCAAAGACCTCCAGGAGGCCGTGAAGGAGACTACCAGCGGCGAGTGGGGAGAGTTTTGCGGGCAGCTGTGCGTAAGCAGGATGCCGGATGATGTCAAGAAGATTGAGAGGAGGCCGACGGACGATTTCTAGGAGAATAACGCCGCGGTTCTTTTTATGACGACGTCTGAGGTGGGTGGTGAGGATGGGGCCTGAGGATTGATGGGCTGTGTGGTGATGATGTTCTGGGTTTACGTGAGTGCGGTATGGATGGTATGATATGATATGATCATGATGGGATGTCACGATGATGGTAGCCTACAGGTATATGAGATGGATGAGAATGATGGGATTGATGATTTGTTTACGATGGATATACCAATTCTCTCATACGCATACTTTGTTTACCCTATACACAGATTGGATTGCCATGATATATCTGCCACTCTTGCGGGCCCCATCTTGTCTTGCTTAGGTTGATTCCGGGTTTAATTCGTTCACTCATCGTGAACCGGGAAGAGATACAGTGGAGGGACGCACACGGGCTACGATTAAGGTAAGCTTCTAACACTTCTTTCCCATTGCCTCACACAGAAGGACTATTCTCAACGTCAACTCACTCTAGGGTCTCTCAGCTTGGGCTACTACCTATCATCCCAAATACAGATTAATTCCTTCTCCTAATTCATCCGATATGCCACGCCGGAGCTAAGCTTCAACAAGCTTCGACAAGCTTTCCTCGTTCATACCTGAACACTCCTTTGTCTGAACTTTCAAGCGAAGTAAGTACCCCTAAACACTGTGTACATCACCCCTTCTTCCATCTAGTCCCACTTGACACCTTCACTTACTTGACCCTCAGTAGCTCACCAGCCTCACCTCATTGATGGCGGTCAACGGAGTTCCAAGGCGTCATGAAGGCTGGTCCAGTCCCGAAGGGGTAAATCCTCTTTCACCCACCTCGCTCTCGCGCCTGGCGCGTAGGCCTATGTGGCACCTCGATCGAGCGAGGCTCGGAACTTTCCCGCGGCGGCGAGATCACGCACGCAGTGCCCCACGCGGTATGTGTTTACGCACACCGTTCCTCGATATCAAGGCCGTTCCGTTTCATGTGAGGTAAGGGTGAGCGCTATCGACGCTACCACAGACCTGTTTCCGCGGGAAGGCGATCCCCCCCCCCCAATTGATCAGACAGGATTCAACGTCACTTGATAGCGCTTGAAAGCGGGAGGTGGAACCCAATGACCCAATAAGGAGGTTTCGGTAAGGGAGGACGGATAAGGCTCTATCTAGTGTGTGAGTGTCGCAGGGCACGGTAAAGGTAAGCGGGAAGGAGTCGCCGCGACCATGGGCAATCAGGGAAGCTTTTGGTCCACATCTATACAGACAAAGGCGAAGGCGAAACAGGACGGATAATGATACTAGAGGTAACAATCAATCAGGAGGTGAAATAACATGGAAAAGGTGAATGATGGTCTTACCGCTTCACCGGTAACTAGATTCGGTAGCTAGGACAAGGTGAGGTCCCCGAAAAGGTGGCTTGGGCGGACAGGTAGGTAGCAAGAGCTATGAGACAAAGAACTTTGGGCTTGATGTGGCTTGGATACCTCTAGGTAGGTTCCTTATCTCTTCTATTTTATTGAGCATTGATCGAGTTGTCTCCGATGAAAATTACAGAAACAGTAAGTCATCTCAGTTTGGCTTCATGGTTTCTAGGTTCTAAGTTCATATTCAGAGCATCTTGCGCCGTGTATCACCACCTACACTGTTCGGCCCTGCGGTCAGGTTGTTGTTTTCAACTCGTTCCTGAGCTTCTTGTCAACGTTTCGATAATGCTCAAGGAAAAGCAAAATCCTTCTTCGTATAATGATGCTTCTGGTCCTATGAGAATGGGAATCTGTGAGCGAGTGGCATTGTCAACGGGCTGTGGACGTGGCTGGACGGTAGTTGTGGCGGGTACGGTTGGTGATTGAGACAATCTTTGTTTGGCCGATTTACGCTGAACTAGTTGAAAACTTGGTAGTATTGGAACTTTCCCTTGATTTTTTGTGTCGCTCATCGCTGTTTGATAATCGCGCCGCTGTTCAGCTGCGAGTCATTGTTTGAGGAGAAGGGGCGTTGACGGCATTGGGGACGGGAAAGATAGCCACATCCAACCCTAACCCGCTATCACCTTGCACAGCCGACTCCAAGTCCCGAAAGTCGACAATAGTCAAGTCAACCACCCATTCACAACTTTCATCCAACTGCACAAGGTTTATCCTTCATAAAAGCGTTTGCATAAATTCACGCCCATTCGATGGGATTTATCCCCAGACTCTTCTGGCCAATTACAGGTCTGCTAGGCACGTTGAGGCGTCTGCCTGCCAGTCCTTCTCAGGATATGATTGGCCGAACAGCGTGGGGATAAATCCCATTTGAATAAAAAAAAGCGGTTACATCAAGTCGGGCCTCGCGAACAACGCGCGCGGCCGACCGTTCTAAGCTTTAGTTAACCCCGACTCCGATCCCCGATCCCCGATTCCAATGTGACGGTACCGCAAAGTACCCTTCTCAAATCCGATGTACCTCGGGGTACACACTCTCGTCCATCCAATCCGCGTTCTTTCATCCAACGTGGTTAAGCTTAAAATCCGACTAGGGTAAAGTCCGACGAGGCACACGAGGTGTTGCGGGAGGTTCCTCCGTTTGTACACAGTATGAGCTTTGGGGAAGAGATATGCTAACATCATGATGAATCATGAATAGGTAAACCGAGAAATGCATATGATAAATGATGTGCAACAGGGCTGCTGTGTCAAGAGATGGGTTGCCAAGAAGATCAACGGGAGTTGGAGATTTTTCCCTTCGTGATGTTGACTTCAAGTTGGAGACTTCGGTTGTTGATGTCGCCAACTCTCTGCTCCTGAATGCAAATGCTGCAAATGCACTGCTCCTGTGTAAGAGGGTTCGACGGGTTCGATCTTGATGTCCTATACCTTAACTCGATATGGAAGCCGCAGCAACATCTTAGGTACCGTACTAATCGACGAACATGAAGAGAATGCGAAGCCTCTAGGCACTCTGCCTTGCCGCGGTCCAATGCTTTGAAACGTCGGATAGCAGCCTGGCAAGATGACAATGTCGTTGGCTTGGCTTGGCGTCGTTTTTCAAGGCTTGCGAGAAGAGTTCCTCATTCCATACTTCATCTCCGTGCATGGCGGCACAGCTATAAGGCTAGGGCCAGTTAGGTATTGTTTCAACTTCCAATCTGAGCCGAGCCACAAGGCCACGTACTACGACAGCGCAACACCACGCCAGTACACAGGTACGCGTATTACGTACCCTCACCGGCGGGTGCCCTGAGTTGTCCTTGTGTGCCCTGGAGGACGTAAGCGGGGCGGAAACGAGAAGGGTAGTGGAAAGACAGGCCAAGCACCAACTGCGCGGAACCAAGCATAGAACCCATTCGGTTATTACACAGCCCAAGGCCCAAGATGGGCTGAGATGCCTGAAGCGGGCCAGATGAATGAGTGGTTGAACAGCGATAAGACCAAGAAGAGCCCAAGAGGGCTTGAAGATGCGCACGGCATTGTTGGTGCAAGTGTTGAGAAGGATTGAAAGGACAGGACGAAAGGATGAAAGGAAGAAGTGATGATGCTACATCAGCAGCAGCAGCAGCAGCAGCAGCAGCAGTCTGGACCGTGATCGTCGACATTCGATCCAAATCTTAAAAGTCGCTGATCTGATAAGTGGGGGTCATACATCATCAGGATGAGCTGATCGTCAGTGATTCTTCGGATATAAAGTCGAAACTGGTGTCGCCGCCGTTGCATCGTGCACCAAAATGTCAGGAACAGATACTAACAACCGAACCGGTACCGTTAACGCACGAACTTAATATCAACAACCGCGGAGCAGCATATACCACTTCAGGTAGGCCGTCTGACACTGGACTGCGCCCTGATGCCGAGTTGATAACTGTAAAAGCATAGTGTAGAGCAGAATAAGATAGTCGTGGGAAAAAGTGAAGTTATCACGAAGCACTAAAAGAGCGGGCCATTGTTTAAACACGGCGTAAGTACCAACGTATTGTATCCAGGAAAACATACTGTGTGCACCAGGATCCCCCTCTAAGGATTTCTAGGCAAACGAACGATGGTGTTCTTTGGCCGAAGCTAGTGTGGAAAGATTTTCCTCCTTGCTCGCGATCGTCAAACTAGCGGATGAGCGTTTCATGTTTTCATTGACAAAACAGAAAATATGCGAAGCTGTGCTGTGCTGTCACGTACCTCGGTTCGATCCCCGGTTTATTTCCTGGTCAACGATGGAAGGGCTTCCTCTGAGATCTTGTAAAGATGGTCCCTGAAGCTAGGGCACTGATCGAGTGATATGGTTCGACACCAAAGACTCGGTGAGAAATCTGCTGATGGCACAGAATCACAAAAGAGCGGTACAACGATTGGTGAATCACACTAAAAGAGAAAGAAGGGTTGGGGACGGGGTCCCTGAGGCATTTCAAGATTTTTTTTAATTAGTCATGCCGAGAATTGTTTCTCTCAACCCCGATCGAACACGTCTGGAACGCTGACTATCAAACCCGTCCACGGATTTTAGGACACTGTTATTTCCGATGCCCGTGCGGCAGTTCATCCCGAACCGCACTGAAACCCCAAAACGCGGCGAATGAACACTGCAGCTGAGATGAATTCCACACACACCCGGACCCCAACATGCCCGGCCCCAAGCAATCGCCCGCCGGCCCGTCACCGTCCACCGAACGCAGGCCCCACCATGTTTACGTTGGGCCGACCGCTGTCAGCTTTTTCCCGTCATGCTTACATATGTCAGCAAATAAAATCTTGAAAGGTTGGCATTTGTCAAGCAATTTCTGGGTGCACCACCCGAATTTGGGGAAAAGACAGAGTTTTAAATGCGCTCCGCTGGTGTTCCGTCACATTTTGTAATGGGATTCATTTATGCTGAATCTGCTGGGCTTCGGTGTTACGTTAGAGGTGGCAGCAAATCACAGGGCACGGACGGACGACGGACCCGGGAATTCGGCCAAGAGGCGCTAACGTGCACCAACACTTACACGGGACGGGATAGCGGACAGCGGACAGTGCTCAAACTCCGTTCCCCGAGATGCCTGTCGGGTGCATGATGTTCGAAGTTTGGATGATAAGAGATGGACAACGACATCGAACGACTATCTTCTACTACGCAAAACAACATTGATTTCCACCCTTCTGTCCAGAACTCCCTCAGGACCCCATACCCAAGCGAGCCAGGGACAGTACCTAAGCACGCCAGGCGGCCAGACCCTTCCAAATCCTCCTCTTACAAAACCCCCAAGCCAAGCCAAGCAAGTGTCACCATGGGCCGTCCCTGAAAATCAACACCACGATCCTGCCTGCCTTGCCTGCTCACAAGATCTTCTCGGTCATCACAGTCACACGCGTTCTGCTGAAGGATCAAGGGTCCAAAAGGATCCTTCTTCTGACGGACAAGGCCGGACAAGGCTACCCATCCGGATGCAAATTCTAGAACGCCGCGGTAACAAAAGGTCCGGACATGCATCCCGCCCGAGTTCAAGGTACACAAGGTTTTATGTCCTCGGTGTTGTTCTCCTGCCGCCGCTGAGTAACCACCTTATGCTTCACTCCCGCGTTATGTGCAATTGTTCCATGGGGTCAGGGTTCATGGCCGACAGGACAGGACAGGTTAGATAGACATTTCACCGAGCGGCAACGCAAGGCACGGCAGACTTTGTGTCTTTGTGTGTTATCGCTGTGTGATGTGATGGCGATGGTGAAGTTGATACACATTCAATTCTCACAGTATATAACTATGCTGTGCCGCCCCCACGAGCGTGAGCGTGGCGTTCACCGTGCCTCGTCCGGGTGGTTTTGTGTCTTGGTTCTTCAGCCTTGCCTCAATGAGTCCAGTTCCAGGATTTTATACCAATCTGGAAACCTACTTGTATGAGAACCAAGTAAGAGGATTGTGTCGAGTGTGTATCTTCTACTAAAAACCAGTTTCTTGGCGTCATGGCGATCAATCTTCTACTAAAAACCAGTTTCTTGGCGTCATGGCGATCAAAGATAATCGGATCGTACATTTCCTATCCACAGAATCTACCGTACTCTTGATATCATAACGGGGCCACTGCCACCTGCCATGGTGATCACCGCCGTGTGCGAAATCAGAACCCCATATTCCCACTATCATGCTTTCTCTTTGTGCCCTTTTTAACCCAGCATCTCTTGCAGGTCCGCGGAACGGAGAGTTTTGGCTATTTCTTCCTATCAATGTCAAATGGAAATGATTGGCTGACTGGCTTTGGGGTTTGCGGCCGCTTGTGGTGTAGAGGTATACATACTTGTGCCTGCCTTGTGACTCAAAACACCTACATAACAGGTCCCAGGTCATGTCTGAATGGACCCTTAAGTGCTGTGCTGTGCTGTCTGGTGCTGACTTGCATGGAAGCCAGAAAGGTGTCATATGCATGGTACCTTGTTCCAGTGCCCATGAATGGGCGAATGTATATGTAAAGGCGGGCGCCACGATTACTCAAGAATCGGTAGTAGTATGTATCACTTACTCTCAGTCAGTGTGATTGTGAAAAAAATGCACGCAAGATGAGGAGGACCGTAAATCCGAGGTTTTAAACTTCGCTGCTGTATTTGTACCTGCAGGTACGCAGTATATCTACGCGTGAATGCAGAAGTGACTAAAGATCTCGCTGATGGGGGACACACAGAAAACAAAACTCGGCGTCCGGTAACCGAAACCACCGACTCTTTGTGTGACTGTGTGACTGTGACCCCCAAACCTGTGTAAGGCCCTGAGAAAGCGAAAGAGCGAGTGAAAAAAAAAGACCCCGTTCGGGCTGCTGACTTGGACTACCATCCTTTCAAGGATAGGCACCGTAAGCAGCCATGCTATGCAAAACAAAATGCGAGCAAAAACCAAAAAGGCCAACCAACCGACCAATCCCCATCCAAAAAAACACCTGTATAAGCCAAAAAGCCAGCCCAATCTCTCCCTGAAAATGCAAAGCCACACACAAATCCCACCAACGTGCACCGTAAACTCCTTGCCGATTGGAATGACTGATAAAATAAAGGATAGAGAAAGAGAACGGAGGTGTGCTCTGTGCTGCTGTGCTTGTGTGAGAAGTCGCGAGCGAGCTACCCCTCCATTTGTTGTTGTTCCCCTTGTCTGTTGATACGCCTTTTGCAAATGCTGCCTTGCCCCGTATTGCCGAAACCGTAAGAAAATTGTCCGATCCGCCCAATGAATTACCCTTGAAACCCTTTAGTCGCTTACGTAGCCATTTTTCGTTAACCCCGATCCGATGATGCGATGTACTGATTGTAGTGATGTACCGTAGTGCGTGTGTGTGCGTGAGGTGTGCGCGAGTTGTTGTCGGTGCTTGAGCACTTATGCCCAAAAAATATTGGATGCATCGATCGCTTACATTCGCAAGTCAGCGTCGTAGCCCGAGTACATCATCGGATCGCCCATTCCCATCATGACCTCGGGGTTAGGACACGAAAGGACGTGGGGCTTGATGGTGCCAAAGTTGGACTCGTAGAGGCCCTGGTTCAACATATCCATGCTGAGATACGACAGATTATCCGGGGCTGTGAAGTCCATCGAGGTCGGACGGCTGAGCCATGTCGTCGGGAAGGTGGTAGGCGGCACGACAGGAGACTGGCTGGGGAACGAATCGGTAGGGGTAGCTGTAGCGATGTCGAAATCACCGTAGCTAAGGCTCGCAGGCGACATTGTGACGGCGGTACTGTTGTTGAAGGTCTTGCGGTAGTCTTCGAAGTCCGAGTGGTCGACTTCCGATGAGCTGGCACGGTCGGTTCTACTTGAGTCGCCGTCCTGCTTGTTGTTGTTGCTGTTGTTCGCAGCGTTGGTCTTCTGCTGCTCTTCCAATTGTCTAGCGAGCTCAGCGAGACCTGCCTCGTCCTCAGGGAAGATGGAATGCACGGGGAGGTCCATATCGCTGTTGGGTCGGATGCAGCCGAGCTTGGAGGCAATGTTGTGAATGACCGGTTGGCCACGGTCGTTGAGCTCCGGCTCACCAAGATCCCATTTTTGCCCGCTCCGTACCATGGCATAAAGCTTGTGGACTGTGGCAATGAGAGCAAACTGGGTGTTTTCCAACACCTCGGCATACCTGTTGGACCATGTTAATCAATGTCTCAGAAACACTACTCGTTCCAACACATTTTACATACCCTCTGGGCAATTGCTTGTACTCGGTCTTTTTCCTGGTTCCGGCGGTACATACTAGGCCGTCGTCCTTACACCTCTTGCAGGGGAATTCTCCATCACACTAGATGAGACATGTCAGCACAAAGCTGTTGCTCAATACTCGGAATCTCCCGTATTTACCTTGGTCTTCTTCATTCTACACCTCTCGCAGGCCTTCCACACTCTCTTATGCCTCCCATCGCCAACTGAATGGCTATGGCTGTGGCTGTCTATTGATGGTGACTGAGGGTGTCCATGTGCGCTGGTGCGTTTTGAGCCGCCGCGATGTACTGGCTTGACAACCTTGGAGTTGGAGGGTGTTCTCTTTGGGGCCTGCGTTTTGAGATGCTCCTCGTTCGGCGGTGTGGGTAGGCTTTCCATTGTGGATGTGGTGAACTGTTGCGAAGAGCAGGGAAAATGGGTGAGGTGGTGGAGCTCCTTGTTGATTGTTGGAGAAATAGGTGAGTCGTCGAGAGGTGTTAGTGATTCTCTTGGCGCAAGTATGTTTAGTGTAAGTCGTTCAACTTTTGAGGAGGGGTAACTGCAAGACTTCCAAGCTGAGTTGTAGGTGATAGTAGCTCAGAGAACGAGGGGCTAGCGATAGATATATAAACGAAAACGAGATTCCAGAAGAAACCAAGGACAAGGGCAAGGTACAGTTGGTCTGCAAAGTACGTACTTGAGGAATGGGATGAGCATAAGCCCTGGTCGGGGACTGACTCGAAGGATTAATAATGGGACACGCCGCATCGAGTGGTCAAGACAGCGAGGATGGAGTCTCCGTAACAGGAATTTAGCGAGGTGGTGCCTACCAGGCCGGGGGCTTTGTCCCTACCACCGTGCACGAAACAGTGGGATACTTCTCTCGGGCTCCAAGCCCTCACAGCGCGGCGCGGGTAGCATCCAAGGCAATTCAACGGTCGGCTCGTTCTTTCGTCCGAGCCTGCGGGTCGATTCCCGCCCAGGTGTCCTCCAGTTACCTCTACTCCCCTGAGTAGGGAGTACATACAACAGGTTGAGGTAGGCCATTTGACTTGCAATAAGTTCTCTTTTGCATTTACTGGTACCCTCATGCCATACAAATCTGGAAGTTTGGCTCCCAGAAGGCTTGCACCATGGGGGCGTTTGCATCAATGGGGCCTTGCAGTATGAGGGCACCTAACTGTACACCGGGTAGAAATTGCTGTACCTGAGAGGGGACCCTGTAAGGAACAGTGCGTCGACTGTGTACTTGTATGCCATCTGCTGGTGGATTTGGCGACCGCTGTGCGTTGCTGACATTCCCGCCTTCTGGGTATAATGCGGAGCACTTTTGGAGCGAACTGCTGCTCTGTACTTGGTGGTATACCTTGATGTTCAGGATGACGAGAGAGTGAAATCCCACTCCCATTATGGAAACTGCTCGTAGTGCCCTTGTCTTCCAACCCTGGAGGTACTTCTCTCTAGTTGGAGATCTTGGATTTGATCTGGCACTGGAGCTCTTGTCTGCTGCCAACTGTCTCCATGCCGAGAACCGGAACGGATCGATCATGGATAATGACGGCCAGGGTCGACAGAAACTGATACCTGTTAGGGATGGGAAAGGAGATGGATCGGTTATGTATCATCCTCGAATGGGTATGGGACAAACTGATGGTCTGGAAGGGAAGGCATTGTTGCGCGGGGTTGGGTATGTTCAGCGTCTTACTTCGATCACCCCTGATCGTGATTTGAGAGCCATCGTTCAAATTCTTCGAAGACCAGCCTGTACCCCAACTCTCCAACTCGACGTTCCCCAACTTCTTTTCGACACCCGAACCGTTAACTGTCGTCTGTGCTCGCTAGCCGTCACTCGGCCAGCTTCGGGTTCTGTACTTGATCTTTTGAAGAGTTGTTGCCATACCACACGATGGACTTATCCACAAGGAACATTTCCTTCATTGAAACTGGATCCTCTTGGAACATCTTTTTGCTGTCAGGGCTGCCCACCGAACAATCAATCGCTTGGAGGCCATCATGTTCTTTCTGCTGTCGCATGTCAAGCCAGTGTCAATTGTCCAAGGTGCCTACGCAGCCCCACTTGGGAATATAGGTGGGTACCAGGAGATACTTCGCGCTACAATCGGAGTTTAAATAGCAAGCATCCGACTACATCTTGAAGCTCATTCGTCAGCCAAGCTTTGAATAGCGAGCCCTCACTGATGAAGACTTCAGTGAACATGTTTCTCGACAGGACATAGCCCAACAACATTCGAATCAGGGCTCAGGCAAGCAAAGAGATTCCGCTTATGTTTCATTGCTTCCCAGCCGTCGTCGCCTTGCGATTAGATCCGAACTCTCACGAGTCGATGGTGAAGCAGAGAACTCACACTCAAACATCTTCTCGTCCCATTTTTTTTTCTCTTCGTTCTAGAATTCCTCTGAGCCCGTTTATGCTGGTCACCACCTTATTACTAGGCGGGACCGGGCAATGTTTCTCGCGCTTGCAAAAGAAATCTCTGAAGAGGCTACGTAGGAAAAGCTTGTCGAAAGATGGATCGTACCTCAACAGAGTGGGCCGCTGACTAGTAGGACTAGGTGGTTTGTTGCAACGCTGTTGGACGAAGAACTGGTGGACAGGGGCGCCACGCAGGGGGTGATAAAATCATCGTCATCACGACTTGTTCGTCTCGAAGATTTTTGAACGCACTGACAAGCAGGTTTGGTACTTACAAAGTTCCACACGACTTCATGAGATCTATACCAGAAGAAGCGCCGTTTTGAAAGACTAGAATGTATCATCCATAGTCGCGGAACCCGGTGACGTGCTCGTGCTTGACATGTATTGCCACTGATCAGTGTCGGCGATATCAACAGAGATAGTGAAGAGATGAAACTTATCGCGGGTCATATTGTCTTGCAACTGAGGGTATGCACGAGCGCAGGTTTATGCCATAATGGTAAGATAGAATGCCTGGCTGTAAGAGAGAAAAGAGGTGATCCACATAAGCCCATGAAATCGAGATCGTCGACGTCGATGAGCCCTGGTCCACAACAGGTGTGTGGCCCCATTCACAGCTATGAATGTATCTTAGGGTGATACCGTAGATAGACTCGAGATAGGTTGTTGGTGATCGTCCACCGATGAAGTGAATGCTGTTCCTAATTGGATCATTAACCGAGAACCACAAGCTAGTTGCTGCTTCCTGTGGGAGGCTTAAGCAATATAGCTGGTCTCGCTGGTGTTGTAGAAACAACGGGGTGTTCGCTCGCTCTTTACACGATCGGTTTGTTTGCAGGTAAAAAATTTGTGGATTTTTGGTATACCCCAACAGACATCCAGGTGGCAGCTGAATTTGATGGTCCAGCGGACGATGTCCCTTGTGCTGTACCCGAGGTTGACGCATCCGCAGCAGCTTCTCATTTGGTCCTTAGTAAGCGGTTATGGCGGCCAACAGTCAACACAGCACAGCCGGAATCGGCACCAAAACATTCCAGAAGGCTTCTTGAAGTTACTCAAATCGGAATGGCGCATAACGAGGATGCTACCCTGTAGCAGTCAAGGACGGCAGCAAGTGTGGAGGTTTCTGCCGGAATATAACGGATTGAAACAGCCATCTCCTAGCCAGTCTTGGTCAACAGACACCTCATGACCGCCTGAAGACTGCAGTGCAGGCAAGCCGCAAGAGACCCTGCCTGGTTTACTTTCACCTCCCTCTACCTCCGCGTTGTTTTTGTTGTTGTTGTTTTTTAGGGGTCCTGAACAGGGTGAGGGATAAAGGCCGCTGGTTGGGGATGATGTGACCTGCAAGGTTACTTTGTCGTAGCCCTTGATTCTCCAACTGCTGCCCTTTTCGGATGACTCGACGGGATTCAAAATGTCGCCTGGGGATTGGCTTGCCAGAAGCGTCAGTGCGTGCGATAGGGTCTGACATTGGCACCACAGCAACTTCGGCGTCCGAACCCAAAGCCGACCTGGCGGTGACGGGCCCGTGGTCTATGTTTGGCAACCACCCTCTGGTTCATCCTTCTTTCTCTGTCAGACCTTGTCACCTCACCCTCCCTAATACTGTCGAAGCGAACATTGTGTATGTCTTGACGCTGGAGTTTTTGACTCTGACAATCAACGCCGTCTCAAAGCTAACCTTGCCCATATTCGAGGTTCAGGGGCTTGTGCTTGTTCATTTGACGAAGGAAAATTTCTCGTCTGGGCTGAAAATGCCGAAGGGCGAGTTCCGCCGAGCGTGTTTGAACAGTGTGGGCCACGACGGGATGTGTTGCCAGGGCTGAAAATCTGAAAAGCCTCATCGCATGGCCGGTGGAGTCGATCGAAGTATCGGTGGAGTTTGCCTGTGGCACATTGTCTCGTAACTCGATGTATGAGCGCTTGCGGGAAGCCGAATTGGAATCTCTAAATACTAGCACCCGCGTCTGAAACGGTCAGTCATCACCACCATGTGAGTCTCTTCAAAGTGTCTTTTTGCGTGGATATTGTTGTCGACGGTGCTGGTTGTTGCGCCAAGCATTAACTCGTAGCGTGAAGCTGTTACTTGGTGTGCTTGACGTCATCCCGTGTCGTGGTATGTGTAGGAGCTCGCGCTTTTGACAGACTTCAGATCGCGAAGCCAACTTGGCGCGTTTCTCATGATTGTGGATTGCTGATTGTGGTAGGTTGTGGGACACCCGACACGCTGCGACTTTTTGGAGCCCTGGAAACCCTCAACCATCTGGATACTGCCCGATCCATTCCGACCGCCCAAAGCTGTGACTAGGCGATGCTCAGGGGACCTCAGGGGATCTCAGGGGCCTCGATGATCGATCTCAAACGGCCAGGGGTAGTGCTGTCGAGTTGTGTTCGCGGTGGCGACGATGTGGACGGCGTTGCCAACAATAGCTCGACGATAAGGCATTGTGGACGATAGTGTCGTGTCATGTCGTGTCTACCTCAGAAAGGAGATGTTTCGGGGAAATGGAGAGCGGGCACTGGAAGGGAGCGGAAGCCACTACAGTGATTTGGATCACCGCCCGAGATGGATATGCGTCATGTTGTGTGAGAATGAGGTCGTGGACGCGAGAGGAGAAGTGGGTGGAAAGAGGCAGAGCCAGGCAGAGCGAATGTGGAAAAAGCGACAAGAAGCGACTCGTTTCAAGAGACGACAAGAATGGTTGCTCGTAGCTTCCATCTATTGTCATTGATTCTCCTCGAACCCCGAGGTTGAGGCGTTTCGAGTTTGCGCGTTCTTGCCTGCCTGGGCGCCCAACTTTTCTGCCTGTGTTGGCCCCACCCAGAAAACAGGGGGTCAATTTCGTGGTGGATCCTGCCAAAAGCTTGTTTTGCAGGCACCTTTGCGGCTCAAGTGCACAGGGCTGGTACACAGTGTGCACGATCACGCCTTCCCTCCTCAGCTTCTCACCAGACTCCTCATCAAACTCACAATGGGTCTCTGACCAGATTGGGAAGCGGCTACCTCTACAAGCTGTGCGGTGAGAAAAGTCTGCAAAGGAAAGGAAAAAAAAAAAAAAAATTCACAATCTCCGAGTCCCCAGCTCTATCTTTACACCGCCAACAGCCCCAGTGATGTTCGCGCCTGCCTTATGAGACTCTGGAGAACAATGAGGATTCCGATTGTTCACCCCTCATTGGCCCACTTCCATTGTGTGAATGGACTCGAGTCAGGCTTATCAGTTACCCGAAAAGCGAGCTCATCTCTGAATCAGGAGAATTGAGGTTTCCTTCCCTTCTTTCTTTCACCGTTATCGGCCTCGAGTTTCACCGCCTCACATCGCAGTGGACTACAACGTGGACCGACCTCCATCGGCCATGTCTCGCTGTCTCAAGCGGTCTGGGAGCCTCATCCTTCTGACATTCATCTACAAATTCTCCGAGAGCCCTACGAGGCCCTCCTGCTGACTACATTTACAGTGTCCGGAGGGAACACTGGAAGGAAGATGATCGCCTTGATCTACAACATCGTACGTTTCGAGGTCGGTGAAGCCGAGCCAGAGATGGGATGCTCATCCATGAAGCTTACCTTAGTTTCAAGTGAACCGGTGAGCAAACCAATGAGATGTCGTACTATAACAATTGTCTTTCTTAACCGTTAGATCTTCCCCGGAAGCACCTGTCAAACAGTCTCGGAGAATTTCTCACATGAAGCAAGCTTCAGCTATTCAAGCTCCCGTCTGCCAAGCCAAGCTCACCACATGTCTTACACATTGAATTCCTTCCCGCTTCTAATCCGTACTGTGGGGTGTCCGGTACAGTGGCCCCCGTCCCCTTTCCCGTTCCGCGTCCCCAGATCCGGGGTGCCGGGACGGGCCTTGTGCTTGGCACACCTCGAACTATAGGAACATTGCAGCGACCTATCATCGATAGGGCATGTATCGACAGCCTCCTACCCGATTTCAATGCCGCCATGTTACATCTAGCACGGGCTTGATCTTCGGATAGATCTAGTCAAGATGTTGGCTTACCGATCCTCGATATCTCACACACACACGACTACCGCATGAACCATCCCCGGACCCCGGATGGCCCGGAATCTTCGGATCACAGTCAACGGTTCACCGGTCATGGCGTGCGAGCTAACTTGTTCTATGTATCAGGGTTTCCTACTGCAAACGTTCACTAACCTTCTACCGCATATTCTCACTCGGCCCGGAAATATCCCCACACTCTACGGCCAATTACGTTGTGAAGTGCCGGCCTGCAGGTTCATTCTCTCAATGTAATTGGCCGTAGAGTGTGGGGATATTTCCGGGTCGAGTGAGAAAAAGCTGTATGTAGCAGTCCACGAAGATCATTCATGCTACACATTCGCTGTTTGCCATCGTCGTACGTTTCCCATGGTTCCAGAACACCTCACTTCGCAGTTCAGCACTAGCCGGACCATCCACAGTGACCATTGTCAGCATGTTATCCTCAAGGTATAGAGGTATCTACCTATCTTACTCCCGGACACGATAAGGGTCAACATACACATTTGGCAAACAATGAAGACTCACCGCGGTACACCTTACCCAGACGCCAATACTATAATTCAGAGGTCTGTCAGTAAGTATCAATTATTGTCTATAGGCACCTGCACGTCCTCAGTTTGGTACTTAAAACATCAAACATTCCACCCCAACCTGGGAACAAAATAGACTGTTGGTCTAAAACCCAACATTGTGAAGCTGAGCAAGTTAAAGTCCGATCTTTCCAAGCAAGTGCCTGATCAGTTACTGCTCAATGCTTTTACGATCTCGATCAACAACCCACGTGGTGTTTGAAAGGCCGTTGCTCCTACAAAATAGGGGCCCTTGATTAGGGCGCATTCTCTATTTCCTGTAGGAGCTCCACCGTGGCAACACGAATCGTGGAACAACATCGCGATTGTCGATCTGAGGATCCTGCGATACGCTATTCTCACGAGCCAGGAAGAAAATCTTCTTCAAATCCTCCAACGTCGTTACTATCAGCTGGTGAATTCTTGTAATCGGGTTTGGGAGTACTTCGCTGTGTTCGCGCGAGTGTAATGACACGAGTCACGACTAACACCCAAGTCCACCAACCCACAATCACGAACTCGGCGAATCTACAAGCCCTTTTCACATTGAACACTCCGACTTGTTTTCGATCTTGATGTTCCACACCCAACATAAGATCTCCTAGCCAAGATTTCCCCAGTGCTCAAAAAATCATGTTGTGATGATATCTACTCGAAAGACGAAGAAAGTGCAAGAACGACTGGTAACCGCGACCGAACAAAAAAAAAAAAAAGAAGTGGCGTCACTGCTTCTATTTAATTCCATGAACTTTCCTCCCGTCGCTGTCAAGCTCCTTCACCTGTGAGGGCTCGCGAGGGCGAGCTACCAGTTTGCACACATTGTTAGGATTTTTAAAGTTCACACCCCCAAGCCTTTTGGAACTTCACAGCACCAACCGAAAACAAGTATTCCTCCCAAATACCGTCCAAGCAAAGTAACTACCCACCCCTATCCTCGCCGTCGCGACTTCCCACCTACTGCACTGCACTGCTTTCGTCACCGCGCACCGCGGCACTGGAGCCCGATTCGACTCAGCCTAGGCCTAGCCCTCAGCAAGGTAAACTCGAAAACGGATACAACCATCGGCATCCCCCGACAATGGAGTACAGTCCAATAAAAGGCGAATTTGACCAGCAAGATCATAGCACGTGGTTCAATTCTTTTTACCACGGCTATCGCGGCACCCGCCACCAAAGCAGCTACTAGTCTACTAACCTACATGCTCCAAGCTGAGCATCTACCTACATATGTACACTACTTACCACCCACGTAGCATAAGGAAGTCACATAAGGAGAAGCCATGACGAAACGGTACGGTATCGTTTCATCAGACGAGTCGTCCGTCGACATAGAGAATGTGGGAACTCCAGACAGACAGACGGACAGACATACAGATGGACAGACAATCATCATCATCATCATCATCATCATCATCATCATCATCATCATCATCATCGTGAATCACGATGAGCAGGTGGTCAAGGTTTTGCGGATTGGGAATGGGGATCCGTTTAGGTGATGAGTTAGGTTGGCTCGCCCGGGACAAAAAAACGTAGACTGTGCGCGGGCCGCACTACCAAAATCATAACATTGCCGAAGCCAT